CCCTTCACCCCCATCACCCCTTATCCGTTATCCCCCCTTTATCCCCTTTATCCCTTTATCCCCCCTTATCTCCCTCGCCCCCAGTCCCTCCGTCACCCCCTTATCCCTTTATCCCCTTTTATCCCCATTCCCCTTTATCCCTCTCATCCCAATCCCTCCATTCCCCCTTTATCCCCCTTATCCCAATCCCTCCATTCACCCCTTTATCCCCTCATTATCCCAATCCCTCCATTCCCCCTGTATCTCCTTTATCCCCTTTATCCCTAAATCCCTCTACTCGCCTCTTTTCCCTGTATTCCCCTTTTCCCCCTTTAATCTCCTCTTCTGTCCCCCTTATCCCCAATCCCTCCATTCTCCCTGTATCCCCTCTTTATCCCCCTTATCCTAAATCCCTCCACTCGCCCCTTATCCCTGTATCCCCCTTTATCCCTCCTTTTATCCCCCATCCCTCCGTTCCCCCTTAACCCCGTATCCCCCTTAACCCTCTCGTCACCCCTTATCCCCGTATCCCCTTTTATCCCCCTTTCATCCCCCTTTTATCCCCAATCCCCCTTAACCCTCCACCCACCCCTTATCCCCCTCACCCCTTTATCCCCCTTTTATCCCAAATCCCTCCTGTTCCCCTTACCCCGTATCCCCCTTAACCCTCCATCACCCCTTATCCCCCTTCACCCCTTTATCCCCCTCTTTATCCCAAATCCCTCCGTTCCCCCTTCCCCCGTATCCCCCTGTATCCCCCTTTTATCCCCAATCCCCCTTAACCCCTCCATCCCTCCTTATCCCCCTCACCCCTTTATCCTCCTTATCCTCCATCCCCTTCACCCCCTTTTTCCCCATTTTTCCCCCTTTTCCCCTCTCTTTTCCCCCTTCTCCCTCCGTCCCCCTCCTCCTTTTCCTCCTTCCCCTTCCCCCCTTTCCCCTTCCCCTTCCCCCATCCTTTGTCTCTCCTCTCCTCCCCCGCTCTCAAGTGTTTTCAATTTTATTCTGAGTGGAATTAACTACCCCTGATGTCAAATTGCCGCCGCAATCGATAATAATATCTTTACAAAAGAGGATATTCTTCTCTCGGCGAACGGCCCCTGAAAAATGGAAAATTTAGTCGAAATTGATTCATTACTTGACACTTGGGCGGCCGGGCCCGTATTGATCGGGGGCTGTCATGTCCCATCTGCCCTAATCGAGCCTGAGCCGCGCTGTCGATGGGCGAATTTTTCATAATTCCACGAGACCAGACAGATACGAAAACACACGCGGCTCCTGCTGCCCCCTGGTCACCCCTGACCCCTGACCACCTCAAAGACGCCCCCAATCCTAACCCCCTGTCCTCCATCGGCTGCTCCGGGTCCTTCTGCAGCCCCCAGACTCACCCTGGGTACCCCGGACCACCCTGGCACCCCCCAGACCCACCCCGGTCACCCCCGGACCCCCGACCACCTCAAAGACGCACCCCCAGTCCTAACCCCCTGTCCTCCATCGGCTCCTCCGGGTCCTTCTGCAGCCCCCAGACCCACCCTGGGCACCCCAGATCCACCCTGGCACCCCCAGACCCACCCTGGGCACCTCGAACCCCCCGACCACCTCAAAGACGTCCCCCACCCCAGTCCTAACCCCCCATCCTCCATCGGCTCCTCCGGGTCCTTCTGCAGCCCCCAGACCCACCCCTGGCACCCCAGACCTCCCAAACCCACCCTGGGCACCTCCGACCCCCCGACCACCTCAAAGACACCCCCCCATCCCAAAACCCCCATCCCCTCCATCGGCTCCTCCGGGTCCTTCTGCAGCCCCCAGACCCACAGGCACCTCCAGACCCACCCCTGACCACCTCAAAGACATTCCTGACCCCTGGTCACCCCTGACCCCCGCCGACCACCTCAAAGACACCCCCAGTCCTACCTCCCATCGGCTCCCTCTGGGTCCTTCTGTAGCCCCCAGACCCACTAAACCCACCCCCGGGCACCTCCGGACCCCCCGACCACCTCAAAGACGCCCCCCACACTCCTACCCCCATCCCTCCATCGGTCCTTTGCAGCCCCCTCAGACCCACCCTGGCACCCCTAGACCCACCCTGGGCACCCCCAGAACCCCCGACCACCTCAAAGACGCCCCCCCAGTCCTAACCCCCCGTCCTCCATTGGCTCCTCTGGGTCCTTCTGCAGCCCCCCAGACCCACCCCAGGCACCCCCAGACCCACCCCGGGCACTCACAGCCTACCCAAACCCGTTCCCTGGCACCCCAGACCCTCCAAATGCACCCCCGGTCACCACCAGACCCCCTGGCTCCCCCCGGCCACCTCAAAGACAGCCCTGTTACCCCTACCCCTCCATCGACCCCTCCTGGCTCCTTCTGCAGCCCCAGACCCACCCGGGCACCCCAGACCACCCAAACCCACCCCTCAGGCACCTGAACCCCTGACCACCTCAAAGACACCCCTGACCCTCCCCTAGCTCCCCCTCCATCGGCTCCTCCTGGCTCCTTCTGCAGCCCCCAGACCCACCCTGAGCACCCCCAGACCCACCCAAACCCACCCTGGGCACCCCCAGACCCCCAAACCCACCCCCGCTCACCCCCGAACCCCTGACACCCCTGAGACCCCCAATCATCCCTGACTCCCCAAACCCACCCTCGAACCCTCCAAATGCCCTCCCATCACCCACAACCCCCAAGAGCCCCTCCTGGCCCCTCCAAGCCTCCCCGGTTCCTTTCGAGCTCCCTGAGCCCCCTGGACCACCCAATGAGGGGAGGGGCGACAGGGAATGGAGGGTCCCTAAAGAGGGGGGACACAAAATGGGGTCCCCCATCCAAAATCGAGGAGATGGGAGAGGAGCAGGACCCCAGAGAGGGGACTCCAAGGATGGAGAGGAGACCCCCAAGGAGATTTGGGGTCAGAGGGGGTTCTCCACGCCCAAAATGGGGTACCTCCCAAAAACAACCCTCAAGGAGTCTCCCAGAATGAGGGGGAGGAGACATGCCTCCCGGCCCAAAATAGAGGGGTCTGGGGAGGGTTCGGGGTTTGGGCTTTCGGGGATCCCTAGACCTCAAATGGGGCGAACGCCCCCAAAAATGCAGTTTGGGGCTGAAGTGACGCCCTGACCCGTAAATGGGGAGGGGCATATGTGGGTCACGACGAGTGTGGGGGTCACACGGTGTGGGGACACACGGCGGGGGTCACGCGGTTGGGGTGTCACCTGTGGGGTCCCCTTTTGGGGGTCACGCCTGTGTGTTTAGGGGGAATCACCTGTGGGGTCCCACGCGTGTGGTTTGGGGTCCCACGTCCGGGGAGGGGAGGGAACGTTTGAGGGGTCCCACGCGCGCTCGAGGACACACTGGGGGTCCCACTCACGTCCCCCTGCCACGCTTGTCCCCCCCACCCCACGTGCTTGTCCCGCACACGCGTGTCCATCCTGAGGGGGTGGGGGTGGGCGCAGAGCTGGGGTCCCTAGGTGCCCCCGCCCCCGATCGAAGCCCATTTCGGCCGCGCCGCCGCAGCTGGTTTTCAAATTTGATCAGCGATGAACTTTATTTTCCGAGTTTGAGGAAAATTATATCCATCGATCCGCCGGCCCCGCTCGGCCGCTACTTAAAGCCCGGCCCGCGGCGCCCCCGCGCCCGCCCGGCGCCTTCCTCCCGCTCCTCTTCCTCCTCCTCCTCCTCCTCCTCCTCCTCGGGCCCTTCTCCCTCTTCCTTCTCCATCCCCGTCTCCTCCTTCATCCCCCTCTCCTCTTCCTCCGGCCCCTTCCCTGCTCTCTCCTGGCGCTCTTCCCCTGCTGCCTCCGGCCCTTCCTCTGCTTCCTCCTTCCTCCTCTTCCTCCTCTTCCTCCTCCTCGGGCCCTTCTCCCTCTTCCTTCTCCATCCCCGTCTCCTCCTTCATCCCCCTCTCCTCTTCCTCCGGCCCCTTCCCCGCTCCCTCCGGCGCCTTCCCCGCTGCCTCCGGCCCTTCCTCTGCTTCCTCCTTCTCCTCTTCCTCCTCCTCCTCGGGCCCTTCTCCCTCTTCCTCCTGCGCTCCCGTCTCCTCCTTCATCCCCCGCTCTTCTTCCTCTGGACCCTTTTCCCTCTCCTTCCATCCCTTTCTCTCCTTCCTCCCTGCTCTTCCTCCTTCTCCTCCCTGCTCTTCCTCTCCTTCCTCCCTGCTCCTCTTCCTCTCTCCCTCTTCTTCTCCTCCTCCATCCCCTTCTCCTCCTTCCTCCCCTTCTCCTCTTCCTCCGGACGCTTCCTCGCTCCCTCCATCCTTCCTCTTCTCTTCCTCCTCCTCTTCCTTCCTCCTCCTCCTCCTCCTCCTCCTCCTCCCCTGCCCCGTCCCTCTCCCCTCCCTCTCCCCTGCCCCGCTCCCACCTGCTCCTCTCCCTCCGTCCTTCCTCCTCCTCCTCCTCCTCCTCTTCCTCCTCTCTCTCCCTCCATCCCTCCTTCCTTCCCTCCTTCCCTCTCTCCGCTCCCGCCTCGTCCCGACCCCGATCCCGCCGATCCCGGACCCCCCTCTCCCAAATTCCACCCCCTCCCCGCCGTCCCCGCTTCCCGCGGCTCCTTTTCCCGCTGTCCCGCTCCCTCCCGTCCCGCTTTTCCTGCATTCCCGGTCGCTCCGTCCCCTCTCCCCGTCTCCCTCCGATCCCGTTCCCGGCCGATCCCGCTCCCTCCGTCCTCTCCTGTCCCGGTTCCCGAATTCCCGATCCCTCCGTCCCCGATCCCCGCCGATCCCGGTCCCTCCGATCCCGGTCCCTTCGTCCCCGATCCCACCGATCCCTCCCCGTCCATCCCTGATCCCGATCCCTCCGTCCCCTGATCCCGATCCCTCCATCCTCGATCCCGGTCCTTCTCATCCCCGCCGATCCCGGTCCCTCCATCCCCGATCCCGCCGATCCCTCCCCGTCCATCCCTGATCCCGATCCTTCCATCCCCGATCCCGATCCCTCCATCCCCGATCCCGGTCCTTCCATCCCCTCCAATCCTGGTCCTTCCGTCCCCGCCGATCCCGACCCCTCCATCCCCGATCCCACTGATCCCTTCGTCCCCGATCCCTCCGATCCCTCCATCCCCACCGATCCCGATCCCTCCGTCCCGGCTCCATCCCCGCTCCCCACATCCCCTTTCCCGTCCTTCCCGCTCCCTCCGATCCCGCTCCCTCGTTCCCCGCTCCGTCCGTCCCGCTCCCCGCATTCCCGCTCCTTCCCTTTCCCGGTCCCGGCTCCCTCCCTTTCCCGGTCCCGGCTCCATCCCCGCTCCCTCCCATCCCGATTCCAGCGATCCCGCTCCTTCCCTTCCCCTCTCCCCCCGACCCCGCTCGCTCCATCCCGGCCGTCTCGGCTCGCTCCGTGCCCGCATTCCCGGTCCTTCCATCCCGCTCCCTCCGACCGCAGTCCCTCGGATCCCGCTCCCACTGACCCCCGCTCCTTCCCGCTCATCCCGATCCCACTCCCTCCGGTCCCGGTCCCCGCATCCCGCTCCCTCCATTCCCGCTCCCGCTGACCCCGCTCCTTCCATCCCTTCTCCCGCCCAGCCCCGCTGCTTCCCAATCCCTGTGTCCCCGGGCCCTGGGATCCCGCTCTCTCCATCCCCGCTCCCGCTGATCCCCGGTCCTTCCCGCTCCCTTCTCCCTGCGACCCCCGGTTCTTCCCGATCTCCCCCTCCGACCCCTCTCCCTCCATCGCTTCTCCCACCAGCCTCGCTCCCTCCCTCTCCCTCCGACCCCGCTCCCGCCGATCCCTTCTCCCTCCGAACCCTCTCCCTCCATCCCTTCTCCCTGCGACCCCCGATCCTTCCCTCTCCCTCCAATCCCGCTGCCCCACCGACCCCTCTCCCGCCACCCCTTCTCCCACCGACCCAAGTCCCTCTGTCCCTTCTCCCCCATCCCTTCTCCCACTGACCCCAATCCCTCCATCCCTTCTGCCTCCATCCCTTCTCCCTGAGTCCCGCGGTCCTTCCCTCCCATCCCTCTCCTTCCACCCCTTCTCCCACCGACCCCTCTCCCTCCATCCCTTCTCCCACCGACCCCTGATCCTTCCCGTTCCCCCCCATCCCGGTCCCTCCATCCCTTCTCCCTCTCACCCCGGTCCCTCCGTCCCCTCTCCCACCGACCCCGATCCCTCCATCCCTTCTCCCTCAGACCCCGCTCCTTCCCGTTCCCTCCCATCCCGGTCCTTCCATCCCTTGTCCCCCTGACCCCTCTCCCTCCATCCCTTCTCCCCGCGACCCCCGACCCTCCCCTCTCCCCCCGACCCCTCTCCCTCCATCCCCTCTCCCCTCCCGACCCCTCTCCCTCCCGTTCCCTCCTCTCCTCCCTCTCTCTCCCCCTCCACCTTCCTCCCCTCTTTTCCCACCTCCCGCTGCGGATGCGACGGACCTTCTGAGGGGTCCCCGACCCCCTCGCCCCCAGGACCCCTGAGCGGCTCCCGCTGCTCCCGCTCCTCCCGCCGGGCCCGATGCGGGGCCGCTCCGCGGTGAGTTCCGAACTTTCCCGACGGCTCCGGCTCGGGGGCCGAGCCCGCGGTTTTCTCCCCCTCCGGAGCTTCGGGACCCCCTCTTTTTGCTCCGAGAGCCCCCCGCACCCTCCCCCCAACCCCTCCCCGCTCGCGGCCCCGATCGAAGTTTCTGGCAACAAAGGGAAATAGCGAATCGATCGCGCCGGAGATTGAGAGACAAGTGCGGGAATCCATCAGAGCCCGCGGCCCCCGCCGACCCCGCGGGGACCCTGCAGGGACCCTACAGACAGCCCGCGGGCACCCCAGGGTCCTACAGAGACCCTACAGAGACCCCCCAGGCCCTATAGAACCTATAGAGACCCCTGGCCCCCACCGACCCCGCAGGGACCCTACAGACAGCCCGTGGGCACCCCCAGGGCCCAGGGCACCTATGGGGACCCCGGAGAGGCCTTGGTCCTACAGAGACCCTACAGAGACTCTACAGAGGCCCCCAGGCCCTACAGAGCCTGTAGAGATCCTATAGAGACCCTACAGAGACCCCCAGGCCCTACAGAGCCTGTAGAGATCCTATAGAGAGCCTGTGGGCACCCCCAGGGCCCAGGGCACCTACGGGGACCCCAGGGAGGCCTTGGCCCTACAGAGACCCTATAGAGACCCTACAGAGACCCCCAGGGCCTATGGAGCCTGTAGAGACCCTTTAGAGACCCCCAGGCCCTACAGAGCCTATAGAGACCCTAGAAAGACCCTGGCTCTGGAGATACCCTATGGAGACTCCCCCCAAGCCCTATAGAGCCTGTAGAGACTCTAAAGAGACCCTGGCCCCAGAGACATCCCCCAGGACCTATAGAGAAGCTGAGGCCCTATAGGGCCCATGGAGACCCCATGGAGCCTGTAGACACCCCATAGAGCCTATAGAGACCCCCAGCCCCACTGAGGGCCCGGCCCTATGGAGACCCTATAGAGACCCCTGAGGCCTTGAGAAACCCTAGAGAGACCCCCAAGCCCTACAGAGCCTATGGATACCCTCATAGACCCCCCCAGACCTCACACAGCCCCTCTGCCCTTCACCCCCTTAACCCCATAACCCCCCCAACCCTATAGCTCCCCATAGCCCTATAGACTGCCCCACGGCCCCCTATAGCCCTCCACAGCCCCCACGACCCTATAGCCCTCCCATAACCCTATGGACTCCCCCATAACAATGGGCTCCCCCACGGCTGCTACAGCCCCCCAGCCCCCATAACCCCATGGCCCCCATAACCCCATAGCCCCCATAACCCCATGGCCCCCATGGCCCCTACAGATCTCTATAGCCCCCCATAGCCCCTCTGGAGGCTGCACTGCGGCGCCGGGCGCGACGCGTGACCGGGTGCAGAGCTGGGGGAGGGGGCTGCGGCACACGGGAGGACACGGCAGGACACGGGAGGACACGCGTGTGCACACGCAGCCCCTCCCAGTGCCACCAGTGCCACCAGTGCCACCGGGGCGAGGGGGAGCTGCGGCTGCTTTTGGGGTGGGGGGCCCTGAATGGTTTTGGGGGGTGGGGCAGAGCTCACACATGTGACGGGACACGCGTGACGGCACGTGTGGAGGGGACGGGTGTGCCTGCGGGTTGGCGTGTTGGCGGCGCGGCAGCCGGGTTGGCACACGCGTGTGGCACGGCCCGGCACGTGTGGGCTGCGCTGCTGGGCACGTGTGTTCTGTGTGCCTGATCACGTGTGTTGTGTGCCTGCACACGTGTGCTCTGTGTGCCTGCACACGTGTGTTCTGTGTGCCTGATCACGTGTGCTCTGTACACCCACACACGTGTGTTCTGTGTGCCTGCACACATGTGTTCTGTGTGCCTGCACACGTGTGCTCTGTGCACCCACACACGTGTGTTCTGTGTGCCTGCACACGTGTGCTCTGTGCACCCACACACGTGTGTTCTGTGTGCCTGCACACGTGTGTTCTGTGTGCCTGATCACGTGTGCTCTGTACACCCACACACGTGTGTTCTGTGGGCCTGCACACGTGTGTTCTGTGTGCCTGCACACGTGTGCTCTGCAGGGCCTTGCACGTGGGCTCTGCGTGCCTGTGCTTACAGGCTCTGTGCACAGGTGTTCTGTGCACCTGTGCACGTGTGTTCTGTGCACCCTCACATGTGCTCTGTGTACACCCTCACGTGTGCTCCTTGTGCCCGCACACGTGTGCCCTGCAGGGCCTTGCACGTGTGCTCGACACGCTTGAGCACGTGTGCTCCGTGCCCCCTCACGTGTGCTGCGTGCCTGTGCACGTGTGCTCCGTGTGCCCGCACACGTGTGCCCTGCTCACCCTCACGCGTGTGCTCCGCGGGGCCCCGCACGTGGGCTCGACACGCCTGGACACGCGTGCTCTGTGCGCTCTCACGTGTGCCCTGCACACCTGCATACGTGTGCTCCGTGTGCCCGTGCTCACATGCTCCATGTGCCCTCACACGTGTGCTCTGCGTGCCCTCACGTGGGCCCTGAGCACCTGGGCACGTGTGGGCTGTGCACCCTCACGTGTGCTCTGTGCACCCTCACGTGTGTTCTGTGCTCCTGGACACGTGTGCTCTGTGCACTCTCACGTGTGCTCTGTGTGCCTGGACACGTGTGGGTTGTGCACCCTCACGTGTGCTCTGTGCACCCTCACGTGTGTTCTGTGCTCCTGGACACGTGTGCTCTGTGCTCCTGGACACGTGTGCCCTGGACACCGTCACACGTGCTCTGCGTGTCCGTGCTCACGTGTTCCGTGTGCCCTCACGTGTGTGCTCCCATTCACGTGTGCCTGTACACGTGCTCTGTGCCCCCTCACGTGTGCTCTGTGCACACACGTGTCCAGGCATGCAGAGCATGCGTGTCCAGGTGTGCAGGTCACACGTGCCCAGGCATGCAGAGTACGCATGCAGCTGTGCAGAACACGCGTGTACAGGCGTGTTAAACCCTCACGTGGGTGCTCGGGGCACGCGTGAGGGTGCACAGAGCACACGCGTGTACAGGCGCGCAGGGGCGTTCACGCGTGTGCTCCACATGTCCTGGACACGCGTGCTCTCCCCGCGCTCTCCCCGGACCCGCACACGTGTGTCCCACGCTCCACGTCCCTTCGCACACGCGTCCTGCACGCGCGCTCCGTGTTGTGGCACACGCGTGTCCCACGCGTGCGCTCCGCGTGTTCTCGCCCCCTCCCCGGCCCCCCCAAAAAGGCTTCGGGGGTCGGGGACGCCCCCCGGGCTTGTGGGGCCGCGATGCGTGACCAGGGTCGGAACCGTGTCGTACCCGTGTCGTACCCGTGTCGTACCCGTGTCGTACCCATGTCACACCCATGTCACACCCATGTCATTCCCGTGTCCCACCCGTGCCCCACCCGTGTTCCCGCCGCGTTTCCCGCCGCGCCGGAGCCGCCCCCGCCCCGGATCGATGGGGCTCGGGAGTCGCTTCTTGTCACGATAATTTATTGCTCCCATCCCGCCTGATCGATGCCGGGAATCAGCGCCCGGCTCCGGCGGCGCCCCTCACCAACCCCCGGCACTGCCAACCCCGGGCCCCCAGCACTGCCGGAGCCCCCGGCACTGCTGAACCCCAGAGCCTCCCAGCACTGCCGGAGCCCCCGGCACTGCTGAACCCCCGGCACTGCTGAACCCCCGGCACTGCTGAACCCCGGAGCCCCCAGCACTGCCGGAGCCCCCTGGCACTGCTGAACCCCCGGAGCCCCCCAGCACTGCCGACCCCCTCCAGTACTGCTGAACCCCCGGAGCCCCCAGCACTGCCGGAGCCCCCTCGGCACTACTGAAACCTCCCGAAGCCCCCAGCACTGCCAGGGCCCCCGGCACTGCCGACCCCCGGAGCCTCCCAGCACTGCCGGAGCCCCCAGCACTGCCGGAGCCCCCGTAATGTTGAACCCCCGACCACCCCAAGCACTGCCGACATCCCCGGCCCCCGGCAATGACGGAACCCCCCGAGACCCCCCGGCATTGCCGACCCCCGGCACTGACGGAACCCCCGGCACTGCTAAAGGCCCCCGACCCCTAAAACTCCCGAGCCCCCAAAACTGCCCTGATCCCCTCCCCGGGATTTGAGGGGTGTGGGAGATTTTGGGGACGGTCACCGCGTTGTGTGTGTGTCCCCCACACACACCTTGATCTAGGGGAGGTCACCCCAATTTCCCCCAAATTTCCACCCCAATTTCCCCCCTCGAATTTCTCTCCCAATTTTCCCCCAATTTTTCACCCTACACGTGTCCCCCTCTCTCAGGGGGTCTCCCAAGTCGCCCCCTCCCTTCTCACCCGTGTCCCCTCGATCTTTGGGGGTCGCCCCCTCCTCACGTCCCCCCTTTTTTCCTCCCCGGAGCCGCCGAAGCCTCAAATCAAAAGCGGCGTCAGGACCTAAAGTGGCTCCAAATGAAGAAAAATGGAGCCGGGGCCGCCACGCGGCGGCTCCGGGACCCCAGGACCCCGGGGCTCGGGGGCTGGAAGGGTTATCAGGACCCCCGATCCCCCAAACCTCCGGGGAGGGTGGGGGCGTTTTCTCAGGGATTTTGGGGCTTCGGCAGCGGCACCGGGAGCACCCGGCTCGTTTTCGGGGGCTTTGGGGGCTGCGGCTGCAGCACCCGGAGCACGGAGGGGGTTTTGGGGTCGGAACCGGGACCCCCGGTGGGCTTTGGGGAGGGGTGGGGGTGCTGGGGGGGCTCAATGCGCACGTACAGCCCCTCTTGGGTCAGGGGTCTTCGGTGCCCCTTTTTCCCCCCGTGTGACCCCCCCCCAAGCTCATGCGTGACCCCCAACATGTACGACCCCTCCCCAACCTTAACGACCCCCCAAATATCCACGACCCTTCCCCAACCTCCACGACCCCCGCCCACATCTCCAGCCCCGTCCCCGCCTCATTAATCACCCTCTAATCGCTCATTAACGCGACCACTCCCCTCCCGCCCCTTCCCCGCCCCTTCCCCCTCAACCCCCCTAACCCCCTCAACCCCCTAGGCCCCCGGGACCCTCGGATCGCAAACACCCCCGGGCCACGCGAGTTCGCGGCGGCTCCGGATCCACCCGCGGGCGGCTCCGCTTTGATGTGGCGGCGCCGGGACCCCCAGGACCCCCAAATCCCCGACACCCCCCTCGCCCCTAAATCCCCTCCCCCTCCCAAAATCCCCCGACACCGCAACGGAGCCGCTGCCGGTTTGGGCGTGAGACCCCGACCCTATAGAAGGACCCCCGGCCCTATAGAGGGACTCCCGACCCTATAGAGGAACCCCCGGCCCTATAGAGGGACCCCCGACCCTATAGAGGGACTCCCGGCCCCTATAGAGGGACTGGATGGACCCCTGGCCCCTATAGAGGGACCCCCGGCCCTATAGAGGGACCCCCGACCCCCATAGAGGGACTGGATGGACCCTCATCCCCTATAGAGGGACCCCCGGCCCCTATAGATGGACTGGATGGACCCCCCGCCCCTATAGAGGGACCCCCAGCCCTATAGAGGGACCCCCATCCCCTATAGAGGGACCCCCGGCACCTATAGAGGGACGCCCATCCCCTATAGATGGACTGGACGGACCCCCGACCCTATAGAGGGACTGGATGGACCCTCATCCCCTATAGAGGGACCCCCGACCCTATAGAGGGACCCCCATCCCCTGTGGATGGGTTTGATGGACCTCTCCCTCCAACAGATGGACCCCCGGCCCCTATAGATAGACCCACACCCCCTATAGATAGACCCACACCCCCTACAGATGTTCTGGATGGGCAAAGGCCCTATAGATGGACCCCCTTCCCCTACGGATGGACCCACCAGCCCTATAGAGGGACCCTCAATCCCCCATAGGTGGACCCCCAATCCCCTATAGATGGACCCCCAATCCCCCTAGAGATGGACCCTCAATCCCCTATAGATGGACCCCCATCCCCTATGGATGAGCTGGATGGACACCCCCGGCCCCTACAGAGGGACCCCCATCCCCTATAGGTGGTCCTATAGGACCCCCTCCCCCTCCCCGATCCCTGCAGGGGCCGCTCTGTTGACGCTGTTAATGATTATTAATTAATTGCCGTTAATTAACGGTTATTAATCACCCTCCGGTTCGGGGCGGGGGCGGCGCCTACAGAGGGGCCTATGGGGACCCCTGAACCCCTCAGACCCCCAAACCCCCAACATCCCTCCGACCCCCAGTACCCCCAATCCGCCCCCGGCCCCCAAATCCCCCAAATCCCCCAAAACATAGGTGGGGACCCCCAAATCCCCCAAACCCCTCGAGCCCCCCAGAACACAGGGGGACTCCCAACCCTTCCCAACCCCCTCACGCCCCCACTCCCCCAGCCCCGCTCCATCCGCGGCGCATCAAAGAGGCCCCCATTGATCCCCTGATCGATCCGGGGGTCGGGAGGGTCCTGGGGGTCCTGGGGGTCAGGGGGTGTGAGGGGTCGCGGGGTTGGGGGAGGGGTCGGGCCTCGCTGCGATCGCCGCGGGTCATAAAAACAAGGAGGCCGTAATTGGGGTCGTGAATAATTCATGGGAGGAGAGGGAGGGAGGGGGCCGTGGGAAAGGGGGAGGGGGAGGGTCTCGAGACCCCTCCCCATCAGATTTGGGGGGAAGGGGTATAGAGGGGCTGAGGGAGGGCAAGGGGTTTGGGGGTCTCTGGGGGATTCGGGGTGTTTCGGGGTGTTGGGGAAGGGGGGAGGGATTGAGGGTCCGTAGGGTTTATTTGGGGGGTCTGTAGGGGGTTTTGGGGGTCTCCAGGAGGTCTATAGGGGGCGTAGGGGAAGGGGGGAATATTTGGGTGTGCAGGGGTGGGAGGGGGTACAGGTGTGCACACGCGTGTGCAGGGGACACGCTACACGTGTCAGGGATGGGTACACGTGTGTCAGGGACAGGTACACACGTGTCAGGGACGGGTATGTGTGTGAGGGACACACAACACATGTGAGGGACACACAACATGTGTGAGGGACACGTACATGCGTGTAAGGGACATGAACATGTGTGGGTGTGTAAGGGCTGTGTGTGTTTAAGGGATCCCTGTGTGTCTATAGGGGATCTATAGGGGACCCCTGTGTGTCTATAGGGGATCTATAGGGGATCCCTCCGTGTGTCTATAGGGGATCTATAGGGGACCCCCGTGTGTCTATAGGGGATCTGTGTGTCTATAGGGGACCCCCGTGTGTCTATAGGGGATCTGTAGGGGACCCCTGTGTGTTTATAGGGGATCTGTGTGTCTATAGGGGACCCTCGTGTGTCTATAGGGGATCTATAGGGGATCTATAGGGGCCGTGTGTGTATCACAGGGGCACGAGGGGCACCCCCTGTGTCTGTAGGGGATCTGCGAGTTTAAAAGGGCTGTGTTTGTCTATAAGGGGCTGTGTGTGGGTATAAGGGACGTGGGTGTGTGTTTAAGGGATGTGTGTCTATAGGGGCTGTGTGTTTAAGGGATCTGTGTGTGTATAAGGGATGTGTCTATAAGGGATCTGTGCCTATAAGGGATCTGTGTCTATAAGGGCTGTGTATTTAAGGGATATCTGTGTCTATAAGGGGGTCTCTGTGTGTCTATAAGGGGGTCTCTCTGTGTGTGGGGTGTCTATGGGGGCTCTGCATGTCTATAGGGGGTCTGCGTGTCTATAGGGGGTCTGTGTGTCTATAGGGGGTCTGTGTGTCTATAGAGGGGCTGTGAGTGTTTAGGGGGTCTCTGTGTAGGGGGTGTCTATGGGGGTCTCTGTGTTTAAGGGGGTCTCTGTGTTTAGGGGGTCTCTGTGTGTCTATAGGGGGTCTCTGTGTTTAGGGGGTCTCTGTGTGTCTATAGGGGTGTCAGTGCATCTATAGAGGCTCTGTGTTTGGGGGCTCTAAGGGGATGTTCCGGGCGGGTCTCTGTGTTTAGGGGGTCTCTGTGTTTGGGGGGTCTCTGTGTTTAGGGGGTCTCTGTGTGTCTATAGGGGTCGGTGCATCTATAGGGGCTCTGTATGTGTTTGGGGGCTCTAAGGGGATGTTCCGGGGGTCTCTGTGTACTGGGGTGGGGTCCGGACAGGGAAGGGGTGGGGGCTGTGCAGGTGCCGGCGGTGGCCGCGGGGCCCCCAAATCCCAGCGCGGATCGTTAAAAATCCGACAACTTGAAAGAGGCCGAAAAACCCGAATTGCGAACTAACGAGGAGCCGGCGGCTGCCGGGGGCACGGGGAGGGAGGGAGGGGAGGGGGCTGCGGGGGCGAGGAGGGGAGGGGGGCACGGGGAAGGGGGCTGGGAGCCTTCCGTGGCTCCGGCAGTCTTGCCCTTCAGCCCCCCAAAAAAAAAAAATCCTCCCCGTGACCCCAAAATCGGCCCCCGAACCACCCCCCAAACACTCCTTGTGCCCCGAAATCTGCCCCCACACCCCGAAATCCTCCCTGTGCCCCGAAATCTACCCCTGAAATCACTCCCTGGACCCCCAAATTCACCCCACACACCCCAAATATCCTCCCTCCCCCGAACCCCTAAATGTGCTCCAGTGCCCCTAAATCCTCCTCTGGATCCCTAAATCTTCCCCAGTGCCCCAAAATCTTTCTCTGGACCCCCAAAATCACCCCCACCCCCTTAAATCCTTTTCTGTGCCCCTAAAATCACCCCTCTCCCCCTAAATCCCGCCTGGATCCCCTAAAGGTGCCCCCCCGCAGGTGTGACCCCGCCATGGACTGCACGTGTGTGTCGGACCTGCTCCTGAGCACCCCCGTGCCGGCGTTGTGGACCCCAGGTAGCCCCCAGATACACCCGGGACTCCCTAAAATATCGGGGACCCCCAGATACACCCGGGACTCCCAAAAATATCGGGGACCCCCCAAAAAATATCGGGGACCCCCCCAGACACACCTGGTGACCCCCCAAGTACACCTGGGCACCTCTCCCACCCCAGGATTTCCAGGAGGGGACAATGGGACGACCCCCAGATCCTTCCCCGGGATGGGGGTCCACATGTCTGTCCTGCCCCAAATCCTTCCTCTGCCCCCCTTACCCCCTCCCCCCAGGGTTCACGTTCCCCGGGGGGGCTCAGGGGGGTCCCCGGTGGGTTCAGGGGGGTCTCAGGTGGTCTCAGAGGGTCCGTGCTGTCCCCCCGCAGGGTTCGCGTTCCCCGAGTGGGCATACAAGGCGGAGTCGAGCCCCGGGTGGGCTCAGGGGGCCCCGGGATCTCAGGGGTGTCTCAGGGGGTCTCAGGGGGTCTCAGGGGGGGTCTCAGGGTGTCCCAGGGGGGTTCTCAGGGGTCTCTCCTGCCCCGCAGGGTTCGCGTTCCCCGAGTGGGCGTACAAGGCGGAGTCGAGCCCCGGCTCGCGGCAGATCCAGCTGTGGCACTTCATCCTGGAGCTGCTGCGGCAGGAGCAGTACCGGGAGGTCATCGCCTGGCAGGGCGACTACGGCGAGTTCGTCATCAAGGACCCCGACGAGGTGGCCCGGCTGTGGGGGGTGCGCAAGTGCAAACCCCACATGAACTACGACAAGCTCAGCCGCGCCCTCAGGTCAGGGACCCCCGAAATCTGCACCCCTGGGACCCCTGAACCGACCCCGGGACCCCCAAACCCACCCAGGGACCCCCAAACCCCACATGAACTACGACAAGCTCAGCCGCGCCCTCAGGTCAGGGACCCCGAACATCTGCACCCCCGGGACCCCCAGACCCACCCAGGGACCCCCAAACCCACCCAGGGACCCCTGAACCGACCCCGGGACCCCCAAACCCACCCAGGGACCCCTGAACCCACCCAGGGACCCCCAAACCCACCCAGGGACCCCCAAACCCCACATGAACTACGACAAGCTCAGCCGCGCCCTCAGGTCAGGGACCCCCGAAATCTGCACCCCTGAGACCCCCAAAACACCCAGGGACCCCCAAACCACCCAGGGACCCTCAAACCCACCCAGGGACCCCCAAATTCCCACCCCAGGGACCCCCAAACCCACCCAGGGACCCCCAGACCCATCAGGGACCCCTAATCCCCTGGGGACACAAGTGCAACCCCCACATGAACCACGACAAGCTCAGTCAGGGACCCTCCCCCGAAATCTGCACCCCCGGGACCCCAACCCACCCCAAACCCACCTGAACTGATCCTGGGACCCCCAAACCCTGCGGAACCCCCGTTCATGGGGGGCTCCTCAGGCTGGTGCTGGGGGCGGTGGGTTCTGGGGGGGTCCTCGGGAGTCCTGGGGGGCTCCGGAGGGTTCTGGGTGTTCCGAGGGGGTCCCGGGGGGCACTGGGGGGATCTCGGGCTCCTGAGAAGAGCGGGGATACTGGGGATACTGGCGGTACTGGGTGTGCTAAAGCACTGGGGATACTGGGGGTGTTCCGGGGGTCCCTGAGGGGTCCCGGGGGGGGTGTCCCACCCCCTCTGCCCCCCTCACCCCCCCGTACAGGTATTACTACAACAAGCGGATCCTGCACAAGACCAAGGGCAAACGCTTCACCTACAAGTTCAACTTCAGCAAGGTGGTGCTGGTGAATTACCCCCTCCTGGAGCTGGGCGGGGGGCCCTGCTGCTGCTGACCCCCGGCCCCTGCCCGGGGCCTGGCCCCGACTGCGCCCCCTCACCCCCGAGGTACGGCCCGAAAGGGGCGGGGGGCACGACACGGGAGAGACCCCGAGGCACTGGGGGGGCACTGGGGGTCTCCACTGCAGCCCCCGCCCCGTTAAGATCCCCCTGTTCCCCCTCCCCGTCCCCCCCAGACGCTGCAGTCGCTGTTCTGCGGCCCCCGCCCCACGGACCCCCGGGAGACCCCGCCCTTGTTCGAGAGACCCCCCGAGGCCGAGAAGCTGCGGCTCGAGGCGGCCCTGCCCTTCCTGGGCTCCGGTGAGTGAGGGGGGGGCGCGGGGACCCCCAAAATGGGACCCTCAGACGGGGAGGGGAACCCCAAAAACGGGACCCCCTAAGTGGGGGCAGGGACCCCCAAAAATGAGACCCCAAAGCAGGGGCGCCCCCAAACAGGGAGCTCAAAACTGGGACCGAGACCCCCAAAACAGGGACCTCAAAAGGGTGGACCCCCAAAACGGGCAGGGATCCCCAAAACGGCGGCCCTAAAACCGGGACCCCAAACTGGGACGGGCACCCCCCCCCCATAAAACCAGGGACCCTCAAAACCGAGAGGGGGGACCCCAAAACGGGACAGGTCCCCCGATCCCACCCGGGGGAGCCCCCAGTCCCACGGGGGGGTTTCCTCCCCTCCCTCCCCACTCCAGGGAGCTCTGAAGCCCCCCCGGGGGGGTCCCTGACGCCCCCTTTTTGTGTGCTCCCCGCAGGTCTCTCGGGGTACTCGAAGGCTCCGGCGCTTTTGGGGGGCTTCGGGCGCCCCCTGCCCGGAATACCCTGGGGTGGGGGTCGTACGTGCCGGGGGCTCTGCTGCTGCTGCCGCCCCCACGCCAAGCTGGGACCCCCGGCCGCCGCCGCCCTCTACCCCCTTTCTACCTGCCCCCCTCCTCCGCGCCCCCTGCCCCGCAGCCCCCGGGTGGGGGTGGTCGAGGGGGTCGGACTCGGGCTGGAGGTGACGGACGGCGGCGGGGGGCGAGCTCGAGCGACGAGGCCGCGACCCCCCGCCCCCTCCCGCCGCAGCCCCCGCCCGCGGGAAGGGCCCCGCCCGCACCTGAGAGACCCCCGGGAGGGGGGTGCAGTGGAGAGACCCCGGAGTGGGGGCGAGGGGTCTCTTGTGCAGCTCAGGCCCCCAAATAAAATAAAATGGGGGAGTTCCCACATCCACCCTGGCCCCCCCCCCAATAATCCGAGGGGGCCACATTGGACGGAGCCAGAAACCCACCCCCCAAAAAACGCGGGGGAGTCCCACGTCCAGTTCTGACCCCCAAATAAACTGGGGGGTCCAACGTCCAGTCCCGGACCCCCCGCCCCCACCATGGTCCGGGAGGTGCCAATCCCACCCCCAAAAATACAGGTGGGGGTCCCACCCCATTCCTGCCCCCAAAAAAGGGACAGAACCGGGGGTCTCCAACACCCTCCTTCCCGTTCCCAGTTCGGGGGTGGGTTTGTGCCCCCTTCCCTCATTTTTAACCCCCCACTGGAAGTGTAATATGGTTGTGCCCCCCACTTGTGCGTCGTTGTGATGGAGGAACGAGACCCCCCAAAAAACCACCCCCAAACCCCCCACGACCCCCTCCCTTGTAAATACCCCCCAAAATCGCCTCCGCCGCCCCGGGGCTGCTCAAGCAATAAAATCACCTCGCTCGGTCTCGCCTTAATTTGGGGGGTGGGGACGGGGGGCGTGCGAGGGTTTGGGGGATCTCGCTGTGACCCCTCCCCCCAAAAAATATCACAACGAGCGTTTATATGGGGGGTTCCCCCCCGATTCTTTGGGTTTCCACCCAAAATTTGGGGTGAATTAACAAGGGGAGGGGTCAACTGAGGTACAAAAACAGAACAAACTGGGGAGGGGGAAGACCCTGCCCTCAAAAAGGGATCATGGGGGTCGGGACCCCCCCGCCCCCAAAAATAGGACCCCAAAAAATCAGGATGGGGGAGAGGGGCGCCCTCGTGTGGCGCGTGATGGAATCGCACCCCATGAACTGGGGAAGGGGGGGGGTCCCGGGTCCTCCCGGGGGGGTCCTGGGGGTCTCATCCACCCCTTTCACCCCCCCAAAAACTCACCCCGGGCCCCTCTCCCCCACCTCATGGGATTGGGCACGAGCTGCCACTGGGGGGGGCTTCGATTTTGGGGGGGAAGGCGGGAATTGGGTGCCCCTTTTAGGGAGGGGCCACAGAGACCCCCAGACCTCCTTTTTGGGGGTCTCAAATCGAGTTTTGGGCGGTCTCTGACCCCAAAACCCACATTTTACGGGGTCTCAGATCTCCCCCCACCCACCACCCCATAACACTCCCTCCTGACCCCAAAGCCCCTCGCAGACCCTCCCCCATCAATCTCCTTCTGGATGGACTGGTTTATTTTGGGAGGAGGGGCGGGGCCAACGAGGAGGGCGTGGTCCGGCCACAATGAGGGGGGCGTTTCTCGAGGGTGTGGCTTTGTCCGGGTGGGCGTGGTTTAGTCCCAGTAGGCGTGGCCATTCCCGAGGGGGCGGGGCTACGGCTCATCCTGGATCCCGCAGCGGAGATTGGCGGGAACAGCCACGTCTGGGGGTAAAAGGCAGGTTATGGGGGTCCTGGGGGTCCCAGGGTCGGGGGGGATCACAGGGGGGGTCCCTGGCAGGGCAGGGGGGATCGCACCGATGAGGCGGGGCCGGGGCAGGTTCAGCCCCTCCATCAACGTCACAAACTCGTCAGGGCTCAGCGTCAGGCGGGGGTTCAGCCGCCGCTCCTCCCCCACCGTGGACATCGTGTGGCCTTGGGGGGAGGGCAGAGGTGAACGGGAGGGGTCACAACCCCCAGGCCCCCCAGACCCTCAGGGGACCCTCCCTGACGCCAACAGGCACTCAAACCCACACCCTCACCCCCCATCCCTCAAAGACCCTCTGAATATGCCCTGCCCCTCCCCAGCCCCCAACCCCTTCAACAACCCCCAGCCCCTCATTATCCCCCTGCTCACCCCCAGCCCCCCAAACTACCCCCACCCCTTTAAAGATGCCCCAAATGCCCCTTGGCTCCCCAGCCCCCAAACCCCCCCCAGCCCGTGGCAGTGCCCCCACCCCTGTAGTCGTGGCCGGGGTAGATCCTGCAGCTCTCGGGGAGGGTGAAGATCCTCTCGTGCACCGAGCGGTGCAGGGTGCGGGGGCAGCCTGTGGGGGGCGCCAGGGAACGGGGGGGCAACTGTCACCATGGCAACAGGGATGGGGTATCACCCCCCCCATCACTGTCACCATGGCAACAGCGATGGGGTATCACCCCCCCCCATCACTGTCACCATGGCAACGGGACTGGGGCATCACCCCCCCCATCACTGTCACCATGGCAACGGGGCTGGGGCATCACCCCCCCATCACTGTCACCATGGCAACGGGGCTGGGGTATCACCCCCCCACACTGTCACCATGGCAACGGGGCAGCAAACAGCTTATCCCTATAACTGTGGCAATGAGGTGGAAAACACCCTCCCAGCCCTGTTACCATGGCAACGGTTACCATGGAAACAACAGCTCTGGGCGCATCCCAGTCCCTCCCAGTGCCCCTCTCCAGTCCCTCCCAATCTCTTCCCAATCCCTCCCAGTCCCTCCCAATCCCCTCCCAGTCCATCCCATCCTCTCCCAGTCCGTCCCAGCCCTCCCAGTCCTTCCCAATCCCTCCCAATCCCCTCCCATCCCCTCCCAGTCCCGGCTCGGACCCCCCTGGAAGTCGGTCCTGCCGCAGCCCCGCACCAGCAGCGCGTCCCCCGTGAAGGCCATCGAGTCGTCGTCCAGCACGAAGGTGACACAGCCAGGGGTGTGGCCGGGGGTGGCCACCGCCCGCAGGGCCTGGGGGGGCCAAAATATCCCATTGGGGGGACCCCTAAACCCACCCCGGGGACCCCAAACCCCCGTCATCGAGCAGCGGGTCCGCCCGGGCCCCGCCGGCCCTGGATGTGCCCCTGTGCCCCCCCTACAGGTGTCCCCATCCACATTGGGTGACACCAACCCCCCGTGCCACCCCCACGGGTGTCCCCATCCACAGTGGGTGACACCAACCCCCGTGCCACCCCCACGGGTGTCCCCATCCACAGTGGGTGACACCGACCCCCCGTGCCACCCCCACGGGTGTCCCCATCCCCAGTGGGTGACACCAAACCCCCTGTGCCACCCCCACGGGTGTCCCCATCCCCAGTGGGTGACACCGACTCCCTGTGCCACCCCACGGGTGTCCCCATCCCCATCCCCAGTGGGTGACACCAACCCCCTTCCCCCCGACCCCTCCCGGTCTCACAAAGTCCCCGAATCTGATCTCGTCGCCGTCGCTGAGCAGCACGTCCGCCCGGGCCCCGCTGGCCCTGGAGATGACGCTGCGGCCGCCGAGGGCCCGGACCAGGGACCCCGAGCCCGTCACGTGGTCAGTGTGGCAGTGGGTGTTCACTGGGGGGACAGGGCGTGGCTTTGTGGGTGTGTCCCCAGGGGCGTGTCCCCGTGGGTGTGTCCCAGGGCGTGTCCCCATGGGCGTGTCCCCGTGGGCGTGTCCCCATGGGTGTGCCCCAGGGCATGGGCGTGTCCCAGGGCGTGTCCCTGTGGATGTGTCCCCATGGGCGTGCCCCAGGGCGTGTCCCCGTGGGCGTGTCCCCATGGGTGTGCCCCAGGGTGTGTCCCTGTGGGTGTGTCCCCATGGGCGTGCCCCAGGGTGTGTCCCCATGGGCGTGCCCCAGGGCGTGTCCCCATGGGCGTGTCCCTGTGGGTGTGTCCCAGGGCATGTCTCCATGGGCGTGGCCGTACCTGCGTATCTGAGGTTGAGCCGCAGCTCCCGCAGCAGCTGCAGGTCCCGGGGCACCGTCTCCAGCACGGGGTCGATGATGACGGCGTCGCCCGAGGCCCCGTCGGCCAGGACGTAGGTGTAGGTGCAGGAGGAGGACTCGAACAGCTGCACCCCAAAGTGGGGTCACCCCAAATCCCTCGGACCCCCCCATAAACCCCCAGACCCCTCAGGCCCCCCAAACCCTCTCAGAACCCCCTTTGGCCCCCCCTCAACCCCCTCAGAGCCCCCAAAGCTACACAAACCCCCTCAAAGCCCTCGTCTCTCCCCCCCCAGTGTATCCAGGTAGCGCCCCCTGACCTTTGCCCCCTCCTTGACCCAACGGGCCAGTTGAGCCCCCTCCCTGTTCTCCCGCCTCAGAAAGCACCATTCCTGAGCCCCCTCCCTCCCCACCTGCCGCATCAGCAGCTGCCGCTTCTGTCGTGGCCCTGTCGCGAGCCCACGGCCTATCGCGACAGCGGCGGCAGGGACCCGGCGGAGCAACATGGCGGCTGGTGGGGCCCACCAGGGGGAGCGGCCGCTTTAAGAGCTGGGTGGGGAGGGGCCTAAAGCAGCGGAAGCTTAAAGGGGAAATGCCCTTAAAGGGGCAACGTCATGAGGAGGGGTCGCGATTGCAGAGACAATGGTTATTAAAGGGGCAATGCCTGAACTGCAACCTCCTTAAAGGGGCAACACATGAATGGGGGCTCTCCTTAAAGAGGAAATGTCTGAAATTGAGGCCCTCCCTTAAAAGGGCAACACATGAAATGGGGGTTCTCCTTAAAGGAGCAATGTCTGAAATTGAGGGTCTTCCTTAAAGGGGTAACACATGAAATGGGGGCTCTCCTTAAAGGAGTAATGTCTGAAATTGGGGGTCCTCCTTAAAGGGGTAACATCTGGGTGGGGTCCTCGTTAAAGGGGCAACATTTGGGGGGGGCCCTCTTTAAAAGGGTGACATTCTACTGACCCAACGCCAGATTATTTTACCCAAAATCAGTTTAATTCCGCTTGGAATAGGGCGTGGGGGAGGGTGTAAAGTGGGGGAGGAGCTGTGACAACGTCACCCTGATGACGTCACGCGCGGGGTCCGACGGCGAAGGGCGCGGCCGGCAGGGGGCGCTGCCGCTCCCCGCACAGCTCCAGCCAATGGGGGCGCACGAAGGTCAGCGAGGGGCGGAGCTCCAGTGCCTGAGGGCGGAGCCAAAGGTTAGGGGTAGGGCCAAGGGGAGAGGCCCCACCCCCACCCAGTGGCCACACCCACCTCCTGGAAGGCCCCACCCACCCCAAGGTCCCCCCAGGCCCCACCTCCTCGAGGGCGGGGTCCCAGTCCTGCGCTGTCACCACGTGGGTCACCGAGTCATCCAGGGAGGGGGACAGGGTGCTGTGTGGAGCAGGGCGGACCAGTATGGACCAGTACAGACCAGTACTGACCCACACGGACCCCTATGAACTCCCCACATCAGTACAAACCAGTATAACACCAACAGACTCCTCCAATTCCCTCCCAGTGACCCCTAAACCCTTCCCAGTCCCCCAGTGCCCCCAGTCTGACCCTCCGAAGGCGATCACGAGCCGTCTCAGCCGCCGGCCCTCCCCCTCCGGGAACTCCCCGTGCAGGAAGAAGGTTTTGTCCTCAAAAAAGTCTGTGGGGGGAAGGGGGAGTCAGAAATGTGGGGGTCCCGTTGGGGTGCCAGGGGTGGGGGAGGGGTACCCACCAGGCAGGGGGGGGATGGACTCCTCGGGCCCCTCCTCCTCCTCGCTGTTCTCCTCGGTGGAGCCTCCGTAGGGGTCGTCCCTGGGGTGGGGGAGGGGTCAGGTGGGTGTGGCAATTCCGACCCCACCCCTCCCCAAGCCCCCCAAATAAACTCACTCCTCTGATTGGTTGTCGCTGTCACTCGACTCAGGGGGCGTGGCCGGGGCTGTGGCGGGTGGGGGAGGAGCAGGAGGTGCCCCCGCCCCCTTTTTTGCGTTGGGGGATGGACGGGGCCGTGGAGGGGGCGGGGCATCCTCAGACTCCTCCTCCTCACTGCCCGAGGAGGCGGAGCCGTCCAGGAGGTACCTGAGGAGGGAGGGGCAGGGAGACCACGCCCATTGTGGGTGTGTCCTCATTTTACCCCTCCCAAGCATCCACAACCTCTCCCCCTCCTCTCCACCCACCCCTTTATCCCTCATGTCCAAGTACCCAGGTGTGGGGGCATCCCCACCAGATACAGGTGTGTCCCCCCATGTGTCCCTGTCCCCAGGTGTGTCCCTGTCCCCAAGTGTCCCCAAGTGTGTCCCCCCATGTGTCCCTGTCCCCAGGTGTGTCCCTGTCCCCAGGTGTCCCCAGGTGTGTCCCCACATTTGTGTCCCTGTCCCCAGGTGTCCCCCCAGGTGTCCCCAGGTGTGTTCCCATGTGTGTCCCTGTCCCCAGGTGTCCCCCCAGATATCCCCAGGTGTGTCCCCCCACGTGTCCCTGTCCCCAGGTGTGTCCCTGTCCCCAGGTGTACCCCAGGTGTCCCCCCACGTGTCCCTGTCCCCAGGTGTGTCCCTGTCCCCAGGTGTCCCCAGGTGTCCCCCCAGGTGTCCCCAGGTGTCCCCCCAGGTGTCCCCAGGTGTCCCCCCAGGTGCGTCCCCCCAGGTGTGTCCCCAGGTGTCCCCAGGTGTGTCCCCCCCTGTGTGTCCCTGTCCCCAGGTGTCCCCAGGTGTCCCCAGGTGTGTCCCCAGGTGTTCCCTTACGGGCCGCAGGGCAGCCTCCTCTGCTCCCTCTGGCAGTCCCAGATCCAGTCGGGCCCCACCACGACCCCCCCGAGCTGCCGGGCCTGGGCGGCCTTGGGGGTCCTGGGGAAGGCGCACCTGCGTGGGGGAGGGGCGGGGTCAGGGGGTCACCTGGGCGGCGGGAGGGGCTGGGGGTCGGGGGTCCCTTACACCAGGTGGGTGCTGTCGGGGGTCCAGTCGGGCCGGTACTGGGCCCCCAAGGCCACGGCGGCCGCGCGGATCTGGCCCCTCAGGGGGTTCTGGAACCCGCTCAGCACCAGCACCACCCCCAGCACGGGACCCCGGGGCTCTGGGGGGCTTGGGGGGCCTGGGGGTCCCCGAGGCCCGGGGGACCGGGGGCTTGGGCTGTTTGTGGGGGTGGTGCCGTTGGTGCTGGGAGGGCGGCGCGCTTGGGGGCTGCGGGAGAGAAAGGGGGTGGGTTAGGGGGCCTGGAAGTGTTTGGGAGTCCCCAGGGAGGGTTCTGGGGGTCCCCACAGGCATTAGGGGGGTTCGGGTGGGGTCTGGGGGTCCCCCTGTTTTTGGGGGTCCCCTCAGGGGGGTTTGGGGGTCCTTACCTTAGGGGAGGAGCCTGTACTGGCCTAGAAGGATATTTAGGAAGAGTTGAGGGTCCCAGGGTGGCCTAGGGGGGTCCTGGGGGGTTTTCAGCCCCCTGAGTTTAGAGGTCTCCTCAGGGGAGGTTGGGGGTCCTTACCTTGGGGCGGAGCTTGCACCAGCCTGGAAGGAGATTCAGGAGAAGTTTGAGGGTCCCGGGGGGGTCTCAGGGTGGGTTTGGGGGGGGGTTTTCAACCCCCCATGGGTTTGGGGGTCCCCTTGGGGTTTTTTTGGGGGGAGGATGTCTTTACCTTGGGGGCGGAGCCTGCACTGGCCTGGAGAGAGATTTTGGAAGAATTGGAGGATCCCCCATGAGTTTGGGGGTCCCAAGGTGAGGTTGGGGGGACTTTCAACACCCTCTTCCCCCCGAGTTTGGGGGTCCCCTCAGGGGTTTTTTTTGGGGGGGTCCTTACCTTGGGGGCGGAGCCTGTGCTGGCCTGAAGGGAGATTTTGGAAGAACTGGAGGATCCCCCCTGAGTTTGGGGGTCCCAGAATGGGTTTGGGGGGTCCCAGAGAGGGCTTGGGGGGGATTTTCAGCCTCCCCAGAGTTGGGGGTCCCTTCAGGGGGGTTTTTTCGGGGAGATCCTTACCTTGGGGGCGGAACCTGCGCTGGCCTAGAGAGAGATTTTATAAGAATTGGAGGGTCCCCCCTGAGTTTGGGGGTTCCAGAGGAGTTCACAGGGGTCCCAGGGTGGGGTTGGGGGGATTTTCAGCCCCCCCTGAGCTTGGGGGTCCCCTCAGGGGGGTTTTTGGTGGGGGAAGTCCTTACCTGGAGGGTGGCGACAGGCGTAGTGGAGCCGGGGGTCCTTTGGGGGTCCTTAGGAGGGTCTGGGGGACAAGGGAGGGGTCAGGGGGTCCTGGGGGTCCCAGGGGGTTTGGGGATGTAGGGAGGTTACCTGTGGTGGAGGAGGGGCGCTGGTAGAACAGGGCCCGGGACGGAGGGGCTCCCCACCCTCCCCCCGGAGCACGAAGGGGCCCAAGCGCCGAACCTGGGGGGGCACAGGAGGGATTGGGACCCCAAAATCACACCTGGACCCTCAAAATGCCTTCCCAGATACCCCCAACACCCAAACTACCCCCAAAAATCCAATCCAGACCCCAACTCCCACCCCAGCTGTCCCGAAATCCCCCCCCCACAGACGCCCAAAATCGCCCCGGGGGGGTTGGGAGGGTGTCTAGGGGGCAATTTAGGGGCTGGGGAAGATTTGGGGAGGATTTAGGGGGGCAGTTTGAGGTGTCTGGGAGGGATTTTGGGAGGCTGGGGGTGGATTTTGGGGGGTCACTTTGGGTTCACTCACAGATGTCTCAGGTGGGGCCTCGTTTTCCTCAGGGACTGAGAAAACCCGGATGAAGGAGAGACCAAAGGGGCGAACCTGGGGAAGGACACAGGTGAGTTTGACCCCCCCCCCGCTGTGTTTTACCCCCCCAGGTGTGTTTTACCCCCCAGGTGTGTCTCACCTGGCAGTAGGGCTGGCTCAGCACCACCTTCAGCCGGTCCCAGGTGTGTTTGGCCCCCACCAGGTGTTCGGGTCCAAAGAGCCGAACCCGCCTGGGCCCCGTCCCTGCCCGGCTCTCGCTGGGGGACATCAGGGCTGAGGAGGGGAGCAGCACCTGCACAGGTGAGACAGGGACAGGTGAGACAGCAGGGCTGAGGAGGGGAGCAGCACCTGCACAGGTGAGACAGGGACAGGTGAGACAGCAGGGCTGAGGAGGGGAGCAGCACCTGCACAGGTGAGACAGGAACAGGTGAGACAGCAGGGCTGAGGAGGGGAGCAGCACCTGCACAGGTGAGACAGGGACAGGTGAGACAGGAACAGGTGAGACAGCAGGGCTGAGGAGGGGAGCAGCACCTGCACAGGTGAGACAGGGACAGGTGAGACAGCAGGGCTGAGGAGCAGCACCTGCACAGGTGAGACAGGGACAGGTGAGACAGCAGGGCTGAGGAGGGGAGTAGGTGAGACACGGGAGGGCAGGGAAGGGTCAGGGGTTACAGGTGAGGCTCAGGAGCCCCAGGTGAGGTTCAGGTGCCCCAGGTGTGCTCAGGACTCACCTGGAAGTCCCCCCCGGCCGAGGACCCCCCGAGCACCTCCACGAAAGCGGCTCCGTCATTCCCGATGTGCAGGGAGTGGATGGGGCGGGACTCTCCGAGCTGGGGGACAGACCACGGTGAGACCCCCGGGAGACCCGCCGGGAGAACCCCCAGTCCCTCCCAGTGCCCCCAGTCACCTCCAGCACCACGCTGAGCTGTTTCTCCCCGGCCGCCGCCCCCCTCCATTTCCCCCCGCCATCGGGGTCCAGCAGGTTCTGCGCCGGGTGCCGCTGCGGGGACACGCGGGAAGGGTCAGCGCGAGACCTCCATAGTCCCCCCGGTCCCCCAAAGCCCCCCAGACCCCACCGGGTCCTCGCTGGACACGGACACGACCCTCGTGAAGGGGATTTCGGGCATCGTCCCCTTCGCCGCCATTCACCGGAAACCGCCTCAGGACCCCCTTATGGAGCCGCTCTGCGCTTACGCCCCCCAGACTCTATGGTAGCGGCACCTTCTCTCGGTTACTGCGCATGCGCTGGAGGACCGGCCCAGGCCACTCTGGTCCTCCAAGGCTGGCGGGGTTCCCGCCCTTTTTTTTCGCGCCGTTTTTTTCGCGCCCTTTTTTGAGGCGCGAAGCCGTGAGGGGAAAGGGCGGAAGGGGCGGTTGGGGGGCTAATTTGGGATAATTAAGGGTTTGGGGGTAATTGAGGGATAAGTAATTAAGACACGAACGAGGCATTTTGGGGGTTTCCAGGCGGTTTATTGATGCCCTGATCCCCCTCCCAGTGCCTCCCAGTCCAGCCCAGTTCAGCCCAGTAACCGCCCGTACTCGGCCAGTGCCGATGATTTCTTCACTCCATCCCAAATCCGGGCAGCATAGTGGAACCTGCACCAGTACAGACCAGTACGGACGAGTAAAGACCAGAACTGGTCACATACACCTTTCCAGTTCCTCCCAGTTGCCCCAATACCCCTCCCAGTCCCTCTCAGTTCTTCCTCAGTTCACCTCAGTGTCTCTCAAACCCCCCTCCCAGTACCTCCCAGTCCCTCCCAGTTGCCCTAAGCCCCCTCCACTCCTTCCCAGTGCCTCCCAGTTCACCCCAGTGCCTCCCAAACCTCTCTCCCAGTATATTCCAGTCCCTTCCAGTGCCTCCCAGTCCCTCCCAGCCCTCCCCAGCCCCCCCAGTCTGACCAGTTGCGCTCGGTGAGCAGGCTGTGGGATAACTGGGACCGCGCCGCCGCCAGGACTCTCCCCCGGAGCCGGGCCAGGAGCCCCCCGAGCCCCCCCCGGCCCCGGAACGGCGGCAGGGCTGGGAACAGAGCCCCCCCTCCACCTGGGGGGACACGCTGGGGTTACTGGGAGCACTGGGAGGAGAACTGGGGGGCACTGGGATGACGTTATGGCTTTCTGTGGGGGTACTGGGGTGGACTGGGAGGGGTTTGGGGGGATCTCTGCTCCATACTGGTCCATACTGGTCCGTACCTGCCCGCAGGGGGGGGTCGTCGCCCTCGTCCTCCAGAGGGGGCAGCAGGAACAGGTTCACCTCGGCCTCGGGGGGGCCTGGGGGGGCCCCCAAACCCCCCGGGAGCAGCTCCCGCATCGACAGGGACCCTGGGGGACACCAACCCCCCCCAAAAAACCACCTCAGTGACCCCAAAACCCCCTCAGGGACTCCCAAGAGTCCCCCCTGGGACCCTCAAAAACCCCTGTGGACCCCCTCAAACCCCTGCAAAAAACTCCAGAACCCTCTAACCCCCCCAGACCCCTCAAAACCCTCCCAAAGCCCCTCCAACACCCCCCAACCCCCCCCAGGATGCCCAGCTCCCTCCTACCCCGGTACTTGAGGCGTGAGTGGGCCATGAGTCGCCCCAAAACTTGCTGCATCTGCCCCAGGCGGCGGGGGAGAAACAGTCGGGGGGGGCCCGAGTCTGCACAAACACTGGGGAAAAAAGGGGGCTTGTGGGGCTGGAACTGGGAAAAATGGGACTGGAACTGGGGAAAATGGGGCTGGAACTGGGGTTGTGGGGCTGGGGAGGGGGTTTGGGGGTGGTTGTGGGGTCAGGATCCAAGGGTCAGATCCATGGGGCGGGAGCCAAGGGGCAGGATCCATGGGGCAGATCTGTGGCTCAGGATCCATGGGGCAGGATCCATGGGGCAGATCTGTGGGTCAGGATCCATGGGGCAGATCCCCAGGACTCACCCAGGTGTGGATAATACTCCGAGGGCTCCTCAGCCCCGGCCCCGCTCGAGTCGTGGCTTGGGGAGGGCGTCGGGGGCTTCACCATCTCCGCCGTCTGCAGGAACCTGGGTGGGAACGGGGCAGTTTGGGGGTGTTTTGGGGTCAGTCTGGGGTCAGTTATTGGGTCGGTTATTGGTCAGGTTTTAGGTGAGTTTTGGGTGGGTTTTGGGTGGGTTTGGGGTCCCCACCTGTAGAGCCCCAGGTCGGTGAACCAGTCCTGCACCAGCAGCACCACGTGGCACACGGTGAACAGGAAGGCGGCGATCTGCAGCGACTGGCGAATGTTCATGAGCTCAATTAGCATCCCGCCACCTCATTAGCATGCCAGGCCCCTCCCACCCTCCCCTGTGCCCCGCCCCCTCACCTGCGTCTCCACGTACGCGTGCGGCAGCGCGAACTCTGGCGGCAACTTCCGGTCGTTGTTGATCAGGTGGTCCAGGTGGGCGGGGCTGAGGATGGGCTGGGGGCGGGGCCAAGAGGGGTGTGGTCAGTGGGAGAGACCACGCCCCCCTGTATGGTAATGAGGGACGGGAATCACGGTAATCGGTTAATTAGCGCTAATTACCTGCGTGTCCAGGAACAGCACCCGCTCCTGGGTGACGAACAGGTCGATGCCCCCAGTCTGGGCCCCGCCCCGTTCCCGCAGCTCGGGGGCTGCGGCCGGAACACGAACGACCTGGGGGGGGCACCAGTGAGGGTGGATGGGTGAGACCCCAGGGATGGGTGAGACCCCCTCCCAGTCCCTCCCAGTGCCCCCAGTACCGCGGGTCCTCCTCGGGCTGGTTCCCGGCCAGCAGTGACAGCACCGTGGACTTGCCTGTCCCCTGCAGCCCCAGGGCCCCGACCACCAGCACGTCCGTCTGCTCCATGAGGAACTGGGAGCACTGGGAGTCACTGGGAGGGCTCTGGGACACCCCAGATTCCCCCCAGCACATCCGTGTGCTCCATGAGGAACTGGGAGCACTAGGAGTCACTGGGAAGGCCCTGGGACCTCCCTGTGACCCCACAAAAGCCCCCCCAACGCCCCCAGGGCCCCCCAACCTCCCTCAACTTCCGCCCCCCACCTCCGCAGGACCCCCTGTTGCCCCCCACCTCGAGGGCGCTGTCGCACCAGTTCATCTGCTCGTCCACCAGTTTGATACTGGTTTTCATCTTCTCGGGCGCCGCCAGCCGGGCCTGGGCCTGGGCCGCTGGGAGGGGGCAGGGCCAGACAGGTGGGGCCGTGCCCGCCAAGGGACCACACCCCATTTTGGGGGACACGCCCACAACCCCCAAGCCCCTCCTACTCCCATTATCCGACCCCCTTGTTGATACCAGTCCCAGGTTTAGCCCTGCCCACTTAAGTCTGGCCCCGCCCACACCTCCAAATCCTTAACCCCGCCCCCTCCTGCTGTCCAACCCCCTTGAGCTCAGTCCCCTCCCACAACCCTAAACCACGCCCACAAACATCTGGCAACACCCATCACATTTAACCACGCCCCTCCAGCCCCACCCTCTCTGTAATCCCGCCCAGAACACAAACCACGCCCCCAACTCTTTAACCACACCCACAGCCTTTAACTCCACCCCCTCCAACCCCACTCCCCTGAGCCCCGCCCCAAAGAACCAGCCTTGCCCACAACCGAGCCCACCCTCATTTACATACTCCAGCCCCTCCCCCATTTTAAGCCCCCCACTCACGGTCGGGTGCCCCTGGCGGGGGGAGGCCCCTCCCGTGCAGTTGGTACATGGGTTGGGTGGGGCGGGGCCCCTCCCTCTCAGGGGGTGGGGCCTGTGCCGGCCCCTCCCCCTGGGGAGCTCCACCCCCAGGGAGGCCCCGCCCCTCCTCTCCCCTCGCCTTCATCAGCACGATGGGCGGGGCCGGTGCAGGAGGGGGTGGGGCCTGCAGTGGTCCTGCCTTCTGGGTGGGTGGAGCCTGCTGTGGACACGCCCACCGAAAAAAAAAGGTGACATCAGAGGGTGTGACTCCCTCCCAGTGCCCCCCAGTGCCCCCCAGTGCCCCCAGCTCACCCGTTCTCCAGGGGGCTTCGCCAGGATGATCGGGGTCTTCTGGGGGAGCCCTGGGGGCTCCTCCCCCACCTCCTGCGGGGGGAAACGGGGTCAGCAGGGTCATGCCCCTGGCTCAGACCACGCCCCCAAGATCCAGACACGCCCCCTCACCGCGCAGGCCCCGCCCTAAGAAAAAAGCCACACCCTCTCCCACACCTACAGCTGTCAATCATTCCAAACCCCGCCCTCACACCCGAGCCCCGCCCACCCGTCTCTCGGCCCCGCCTCCTTCCGGCTCCTTCTCGCGGTTCCAGCAGCGCCTGCGCGCGACGGGGGCGGGGCTTTGCCCCGAGTCCGACATCCGGGAACCCGGGGGCGTCTGAGCGGGCTCTGAGGGCGCCCGGGAGCTCCCGGGGGGTCCCGGACCCCCTCGGGGGGGTCCGCAAAGGTCCCGGGGGGTCTCTGTTCCCCCTCGGGGGTCCCGGAGCTTTCCCCGCCTCGGGCCCGGTTGCGGCTCCGGCGCGGGGAGCGCGGCCAAGCCAGGGGGAACTGCGCGTGCGCCACCAGGGGGCGTGGCCACGACCGAGAGGGGCGTGGCCAACACAAAGCCACGCCCTCGCGGCATTTAAAGGGCCGGCGCCCTTTTTTTAACGGGGGCGTTTCTTGCACCACGTGATTCGATTTGTCGCCCCCTCCACCCCCAAATGTCCCCTTTTGTTATCCCCCCCCGGCCCCCAAAATAAGCGGCAGCGGAACCTCGTTGTGGTTTTTATTAACGGCGAAATAATCAGTAATTAATTAATTAACAGCGCAGGAAAGGGGGGAGGGGAGGGGGGACACGGTGACACCCCGGGGAAGGGGACACCAAAAGGAGGGTGGGGGTGACACCGGGAGGTCACAGCGCCGGTCACATGCGGGGGGGTCCCGGGGGGGGTCAGGCCAAGGCCAGCACTGCAAGGAGGGGGGACAGGGAGGTCACGGGGTGACCTCGATGTCCCCAAATGTCACCAGAGCCCACCCCCTGTCCCCCCACAATGTCCCAACGCCCCACGATGTCCCAACACCCTCCCCAAGGTCCCTCCTGTTTCCCCCTCATAGCATCTCCCCCACCCCCAGGTGTCCCCAGGTGTGTCCCATTTCCCCCCCAGGTGTTCCCAGGTGTCCCTCACCTGTCAGTGCCTCCTGTGCGAAATACTTGACGTCGACGTCCTGGTCCTGCGTCAACTTCTCCAGCACCGGCTTCACCTCCGTCTGCAGCGTCCTGGGACAGGTGGGACAGGTGGGACAGGTGTGGGGATGGGCCCCGTGCGCTGCTATGTATTGGTCTGTACAGGTGGGGTCTGTACAGGTGTGTAGTGTTCTGTACAGGTGTGCCCAGGTGCCCCAGGTGCCCTTACCCGCTGTCCAGGATGGGCCCAATGCATTGCTGTGTATTGGTCTGTACAGGTAGGGTCTGTACAGGTGGGGTCTGTACAGGTGGGGTCTGTACAGGTGGGGTCTGTACAGGTGTGTACAGGTGTGTACAGGTGTGCCCAGGTGCCCCAGGTGCCCTTACCCGCTGTCCAGGATGGGCCCGATGCATTCCTGTGTATTGGTCTGTACAGGTGGGGTCTGTACAGGTGTGTGCAGGTGTGCCCAGGTGTGCCCAGGTGCCCCAGGTGCCCTTACCCGCTGTCCAGGATGGGCCCGATGCGCTGCAGGGACTTGGCCACGTTGAACCGCACGTTGGCCACGGCGTCGGCCGCCATGCGCAGCACCGTGGGCAGCATCTGCTGCGTGGTCACCTCCTGCCCACACACCTCAGACAGCACCTGCGGACAGGTGAGACACCCCTGGGACACGCCCACCTGACCCTGCCCCCAGCATCTGCTGCGTGGTCACCTCCTGCCCACACACCTCGGACAGCACCTGCGGACAGGTGAGACACCCCTGGGACACGCACACCTTACCCTGCTTCCCCCCAGCATCTGCTGCGTGGTCACCTCCTGCCCACACAACCAGCCCAGGTGTGCCCAGGTATGCCCAGCTGTCCCCCGTGTGCCCCCAGACCCCCCAGGTTTGCCCAGGTATGCCCAGCTGCCTCCGCTCGTTGTGCAACGTAGTCCCGTGCAGGTTGGATCAGCTGTCCCAGGTGCCCCCCAGGTGTGCCCAGGTACCCCCAGACCCCCCCAGGTGCCCCCCTGCTCACGTTGATGCAGAAGAGCGTGGTCACGCGGTGCAGGTAGTTGGGATCACCTGTCCCCTGTATGCCCCTAGACCCCCCAGGTGTGCCCAGGTGCCCTAGACCCAGGTGTGCCCAGGTGCCCCCCTGCTCACGTTGATGCAGAAGAGCGTGGTCATGCGGTGCAGGTAGTTGGGGTCGGCCGCCATGGCCAACACCTTGGGCACGATGGTGCCCTGGGCCCAGGTGTGCCCGAACCGCTCCACCAGCTTGCGCAGGTTACTGGTGGCGGCCTCGCGGATGGCGTACACTGCGGGGACCAGTACAAACCAGTAAGGACCAGTACGGACCGCTACAGACCAGTAACAGCACACCCAGGGGGTCCCAGAACCCCCCCAGCTTTTGCACAGTTTGCACGAGTTACTGGTGGAACAGACTGGGAAAGAGAGTGAAACCAGTACAGAGCAGTAACCCCCCCCACCCAGGGCTCCCAGTAACCCCCAGTAGCTCCCAGTACCGTGATCCACCAGCCAGGCCATGCAGAGCGAGTTCAGCTTCTCATCGAAGAACTCCACGCCCTGGGTGGGGGGGAGAAACCAGTAGGGACCAGTATAGACCAGTACAAACCAGTACAGACCACCATGAACCACTGTGTACCACCACAACACCCCTCCCAGTCCCTCCCAGTGCTCCCAGTCTCACCAGCTGCCCGGCCAGCAGCGGCATGTACTCGATGATGGCCAGGCCAGCCCTCCCAGTCCCTCCCAGTCTCACCAGTTGCCCGGCCAGCAGCGGCATGTACTCGATGATGGCCAGGCCAGCCCTCCCAGTCCCTCCCAGTGCTCCCAGTCTCACCAGTTGCCCGGCCAGCAGCGGCATGTACTCGATGATGGCCAGGCCAGCCCTCCCAGTCCCTCCCAGTCTCACCAGTTGCCCGGCCAGCAGCGGCATGTACTCGATGATGGCCAGGCCAGCCCTCCCAGTCCTCCCAGTTCCTTCACCAGTTGCCCGGCCAGCAGCGATGTACTCGATGATGGCCAGGCCAGCCCTCCCAGTCCCTCCCAGTCTACCCAGTTGCCGCGCCAGCAGCGGCGGCATGTACTCGATGATGGCCAGGCGCACCCTCCACTTGGCGTCCTCGGCCAGCTCCACGATGGCCGGGAGCAGGGACTGGGACAGCTGCCGGATCCCGATCACCTCGTTCACGCAGTCCAGGTTGGAGATGATGTTCAGCCGCACCTCGGGGCACTGGGACACGCTGGGAGTCAATTTAGGGGATATCATGGGGGAGTGGGGCCGTTTTGGGGTGGTGACAGGTGGATCGGGGTCCCTGCTGACCTTTGACCTTGTGCGAGGCCGCCGCCCGCACCTCGGCCTCGCAGTCCTTCATCAGGCTCTGGAAGGCCCCCACCAGGTCAGGTCTTGGTGATCTCGGGCCCCACCGCGCTGGGCCTGCTTGAGGTTGTGATGCCACTGTCCCCAAGGGTCCCAGGGGTCCCCGAGGGCGCCCTGCACAAATATCCCCCAAAGCCTCCCAGATCCCCCACCCGCTGCTGTCCCCATGTCCCCACAGGTGCCCCCCCAGGTGTGCTCCCAGGTGCCCCAGCTGTCCCCACAGGTACCCCAGGTGTCCCCATGTCCCCCATGTGCCCCAGCTGTCCCCACAGGTCCCCCCAGGTGCCCCCATGTCCCCCAGGTACCCCAGCTGTCCCCATGTCCCCACAGGTACCCCAGCTGTCCTCATGTGCCCCAGCTGTCCCCCCAGGCACCCCAGCTGTCCCCATGTCCCCCAGCTGTCCCCCCAGGCACCCCAGCCGTCCCCCAGCCGCCCCCACCTCGGTGAACTTGTCAGCCACCATGTAGCGGACGCGCCAGGACTTGTCCTCGGCCGCCTGGCGCAGGGTGGGCATCACCAGCCCCTCCAGCTCCTCCTGCGGCAGCAGCTGCGCGATGCTCACGCAGGCCTCGACCGCCAGCAGACGCACCGAGTCCTGGGGCACGCACGGGAGGGACAGGGGGGACAGGTGACACACGGGGAACCCCCAGGGAACCCCCACACCCCCCCGAGCAGCTCACACGGCCTCGACCGCCAGCGGCCGCACTGAGTGCAGGGCAGGTGGGCACAGGTGGGCACAGGGACCCGCACAGGTGCCCCCCCAGGTCCTTGCAGGTACCCCCAGGTGTGCCCAGGCGCCCCCACCTGCTCGTCGGAGGCCAGGTTGGAGAACATGGGGATGATCTCGCTCTTGACGTGCTCCAGCTCCAGCACCTTGGCGAACTCGCCCAGCTTGGAGGCGGCGGCGCGGCGCACCATGGGCGTGTCGTCCGAGCACAGGTTGCGGAAGTACCTGCGGCCAGGGGGGCACGGGGGTGACCAGGGGGGACCAGGTGAGCCCAGGTGAGCCCAGGTAAACCCAGGGGGCACCCAGGGACCTCCTGCAGGGGCGGCCAGGCCGGGCACTGAGGCCAAAAATGGGGCGAGGGGCCAGTGGGATGACCTTGCACTGAGCTGGAGAGGATTGGGAAGGTCAAAGGTTGTGTTGGGGACACTGAGGGTGGGTTGGGGACATCAAGGCTGTGTTGATGACCCCAGGGTTGAGTTGATGACCCCACATCAGGTTGGTGACCCCCTGGTGGTGTTGGTACCCCCAGGACTGTGTTGGTGACCCCAGGGTTGAGTTGGTGACCCCAGGCTGGGTCAGTGACCCCCTGGGACTGTGTTGGTGACCCCAGGTTGGGTCAGTGACCCCAGGCCAGGTCAGTGACCCCCTGGTGGTGTTGGTGAACCCTGGGACTATGTTGATGACCCCAGGCCGGGTCAGTGACCCCAGGCCAGGTCAGTGACCCCCTGGGACTGTGTTGGTGACCCCAGGCCAGGTCAGTGACCCCAGGCCAGGTCAGTGACCCCCCGGCAGGGTCAGGCTTGGCACTCACTGGCGCAGCTCGGCCTTGACGGGGCTGGACACGCGGGGGTAGCAGACGCTGAAGAGGCCGCAGGCCGAGGTGCGTGACGTGAACCAATCGCCCCCCGCCAGGCGCTTCACCAGCGGCACGAAGTGCCCCTCCAGGTCGGGGGGCGAGTGCTCGTGGGACACGGCCCGCAGGGACTCCACCGCCTTGTCCCGCACCACCGTCTCCTCCACCGTGGCCAGGCTCTCCAGGGGGGGCTGCGGGCACGGCGGGGGGCACCGTCACCGAGGGGCGGCCTGTGTGCCCGGGGGACCACCCAAACCACCTGGGGGGCACCCAAACCACCCAGGGGGGCACCCAAACCACCCTGGGGACCACCCAAATCACCCTGGGGACCACCCAAATCACCCAGGGAACCACCCAAACCACCCTGGGGAACCACCCAAACCACCCTGGGGGGCACCCAAATCACCCTGGGGACCACCCAAATCACCCAGGGAACCACCCAAACCACCTTGGGGACCACCCAAACCACGCCGGGGAGCACCCAAACCACCCCGGACACCACCCAAACCACCCCAGACACCACCCAAGCCACCCCATGAAACCCACGGGCCACCCAGACCATCCCACAGTCAGTCCCTCGTGTCCCCTTAAACCATCTCGAGGTCCCTCACTTCCCCAAGGGCCACCAAAACCACCCCGAGGACCACCCAACCCACCCCAGGGTCCCTTGTGTGCCCAGTGTCACCCTCAGAGGAGCCCAGCGTTTGGTTTTGGGGTTCCCAGGTGTGTTTTTGGGGTGTTTTAAGGGTATTTTGGGGTCCTACCAGCAGGCAGTGCACGAACTCGGGTCCCCCCACGAGGGCAGTGAAGGTCCCGAGCTGCTCCGCGAGCGCCAAGAGCACCTCGTCCTCATCGTAGATTGTGTCTGTACCCGATAATCAATCAACCAATCACCCCAGCTGTCGATCAATCAATCAATTGCCCCTCTCAAGCAGTCAGTCAACCCAAGCCCTGCCCATCCACCATCCAGTGCTGGTTTTGGGAGGATCTGGGCCTGGTTTAGGGGGGTTTTTGCCCCCCTCCAGCCCCGGGGGTCCCCGTACCTGTGAGGAAGGGCAGGAGTTCACTGCGGGTCCTCTCCACCCCCAGCGCCAGCGCGATGGTCGAGAGCTTCTTGATGCTGTTGAGCCGCAGCTGGGGGGGAAAAGGGGTCAGGAACCGCCTCCCCCGGGGTAAAAGCCCTCCAGGGGGACAGAGTTGCAGAGATGGGGGATAAAGGGGCTCCTTGGGGGACAAATGGGGAGAAAACAAGGCCTGGTGGGGGCAGATTGAGCCCCCCCAGGGGGCAAATATTCCCCCCAGGGATAAATTCAGGTGCTCCTGGGGGGGATTTCCACCCCCCCGAGTGCCATTAATGCCCCTGATGTAGAAGTGATGCACAGAGGAGTAATTAAATCACCCCCTCGATAATTAAATCTCCCCCATTGAGAACGCCCCCCCAGGGCCATCCAGCCAATCAGCAGCCTCGTCTCAAGACCCCCGCGGCGATGCCACAGCAGAGACGAGCCCCCCCATTGGCTCCGCCCCGCCCCTCCCACACCGCCCCCCAGCCAATGAGCGGGCGCCAGTGCCACCAGGTGTTGCCCCGCCGCCAGGGGGCGCCACGTGTGTGTGGGGGGGGAGTTTCGGACCAATCAGAACGAGCGTAACAAAATTAAAGGGGCCCGGCAACCAATCAGAGCGTGCCTTTCACCCCATCGTCGTGACGATGAAACAATCCCCCCAGAGATGTAACACTGCTCCCCATTGGCCCGCGCCTGAGGGGGGAGGCCTCTGCAGCCAATCAGAGCGGGTGTCTCAGACGAGCGACGGCGGACGGGCCCCGCGGCTGCGGAGGAACCGCGAATATCGCCACAGGGCCCCGGCTATGGCGACAGGGCCCTCGGATATGCCGGGGAGCGGTACCTGCACGTCCTCGTTGCGGAGCTCGTCGATGAGGACGGCGATGGGGTAGAGCGAGTCATCTCCGTCCGCCGCCGCCATCTTGGCCGCCGCCCCGGCTCTGAAGGGCCGCACGGGGCCGCCCGCGCCGCTGCTGCAGGGCCTGCCCGCCGCTCATTGGCTGGATCCGCCAGAGAGCCCGCCCTCCCCGTCTTCCCATTGGTTTGCCGTCCTGCTTGTCAGTGCGGGCCCCGCCCCCTGCGGACGGCGCGCCCCGTGATTGGGTGGAGGGATTTGAGCGACAGCGTTGGGGGCGCGGCCTGACGTTGCTTGGCAACGGGGCGGGACTGGGAGGAATTGGGACAAACTGGGAGCGGAGTGGGACAATTTGGGACACACTGGGATAAACTGGGACAAACTGGGATGGGCTGGCATAAACTGGGACCGGAGTGGGACAATTTGGGACACACTGGGATAAACTGGGATGGACTGGGATAAACTGGGACTGGGCCGGGATACGCTGGGACAAATTGGGACAAATTGAACTGGGACAAGTTTGGGCAAACTGGGCCCCACTGGCCCCCCAGGTACCAAACTGGTCCATAGTGGTCCCACCCCACCAACCCCCCCCAAAACAAGTGGGCGTAGACACATAAAGCCCCGCCCACTTCTGACCACCGCCCACCCTCGACCCCGCCCCCATGGACACAATGACGTCACAGAGCAGCCACGCCTTTATTGGGGTGGGGGGAAGGCACTGGGGGGCCTGGGCCAGACTGGGAGGGGACTGGGGGGCTCCTGGGGGCACTGGCCCAGGCTGGAAGGCACTGGGGGTTCCCGGGGGGTGTTCCTGGAGGGCACTGGTCCGTACTGGTCCATACTGGTTTCCCCCTCAGATGCGGCCGCAGCTCCGCAGCTTCTCCACCAGGGCCGGGACATTTTCCACCTTCTCCCCCCCTGCCCGGGCCGGGGGCTCCTGCACCTGCAGCACCCGGAGCCGGGGGGGCCCCGCGGGGACCCCCAAATCCGCGGCGGGAATCACCTCCAGGGGCTTCTTCTTGGCTTTCTGGGGGGCACAGGGGGGTCAGACCCCAAACCCCCCCACATCACCCAAATCCACCCCAAACACCTCCAAATCCACCTCTAAAATCCCCCAAGCTCCCCCACGTCACCCCACACCCCCCAAAGGCATCCAGGGGATGGGATCCCTAAACTTCCCAAAATTCCCCCACTCCCCAAAAAGGGATCCAGAGATTAGGAGGGACCCCCCCAAATTTCCACAAAGGGGACCCAGGGGTTCGGGGGGCACCCAAATGGGGGGGACACCCAGGTCTACCCAGTCAATGGGGGTTTTAGGGAGGGGTGCCCGGGATTCCAGGGGTGTTCCCAGGACTGGGAGGGGTTGGGGTGCCCGGGATTCCAGGGATGTTCCCAGGATTATTGGGGGTGTTCCCCTGGCTCTGGGGGCTCGGGGGTGCCCGGGATTCCAGGGGTGTTCCCAGGATTATTGGGGGTGTTCCCCTGGTTCGGGGGCTTGGGGTGCCCGGGATTCCAGGGGTGTTCCCTGGACTAGCGGGGGGTTGGGGTGCCCGGGATTCCAGGGGTATTCCCAGGATTATTGGGGGTGTTCCCCTGGCTCTGGGGGCTCGGGGGTGCCCAGGATTCCAGGGGTGTTCCCAGGATTATTGGGGGTGTTCCCCTGGCTCGGGGGGTTGGGGTGCCTGGGATTCCAGGGATGTTCCCAGAATTAGTGGGGGGTGTTCCCCTGGCTCTGGGGGCTCGGGGGTGCCCGGGATTCCAGGGGTGTTCCCAGGACTGGGGGGGTTGGGGTGCCCGGGATTCCAGGGGTGTTCCCAGGATTCAGGGGGGCTCCCCTGGCTCTGGGGGCTCGGGGGTGCCCAGGATTCCAGGGGTGTTCCCAGAATTCGGGGGGGCTCTCCTGGCTCAGAGGGATTGGGGTGCCTGGGATTCCAGGGATGTTCCCAGGATTATTGGGGGGTGTTCCCCTGGCTCGGGGGTGCCCAGCTCACCATGATGTTGGGCAGGGTGGCGTAGCGGGGCTCGTTGAGCCGCAGGTCGGCCGTCAGCACGGCCGGCAGGCGCAGCCGCAGCGTCTCCAGCCCCGCGTCCACCTCCCGCTCCACCCGCACCGCGCCGTCCTCCAGCTGCACCCGCGAGGCGAACGTGCCCTGGGGATGGAGGGCACTGGGAGCGACTGGGAGCGTCCCAGTGCGGAGTGGGAGCCGCCCACAGCGCAGTGGGGGCGTCCCAGTATGAAATGAGAGCATCCCAGTATGAAATGAGGGCATCCCAGGATGAAATGAGGGCGTCCCAGTAAGGACTGGGAATGTCCCAGTGCAGAGTGGGAGCCGCCCACAGCGGAGTGGGGACGTCCCAGTACGAAATGAGGGCATCCCAGTATGAAATAAGGGTATCCCAGTAAGGACTGGGGGGGTCCCAGTGGGGGCTTATGAGCATCTCAACATAGGCCGGGACCACACCAGTAAAAAATAAAACAGCCCCTCCCAGTACAAAAACTGGGGCGTTCCCAGTGAGAAACAGCCCCTCTCAGTACAAACTGGGGCGTTCCCAGTGTAAAACAACCCCTCCCAGTACAAACTGGGGCGTTCCCAGCATAAACTGGACCCCCCCGCAAAGCACGATGGGATACACCCCCTCGGGCCGCAGTCCCCCAGTGTCCCGTCGTGCCCCGCGCGCCGCCGTCAATCATCCCTGTGGGCGGGGCCTCGGGGGGGGCGGGACAGCCCCACTCCGCCAGTATCCCGTCGTGCCCCGCGGTACCTGCGGCCAGTCCAAGATGGCGGCGAGCAGCTGCCCCGTCTGGTTGCAGTCGTCATCGATGGCCTGGGGGGAGCGGGGGGTCCTGGGGGGGCTGCAGGGCACCCACCACGGCCCCCCCGCGCCACAGGGACCCTCCCGGGGCTGGGGGGGCCACAGGGGGTGCACAGGTGTCTATAGGAGGGTCCATAAGGGTCTATGGGGGTCTATAGGGGGTCTGTAGGGGGTCTATAGGGGGTCTCACTGCTCATCCAGCAGCACCAGCTGGGGTTTCAGGGGGTCTAGAGGGGATCTGTAGGGGGTCTATAGGGGATCTAGAACGGATCTATAGGGGATCTATAAGGGATCTATAGGGGGTGTGTAGGGGATCTGTAAGGAGTCTATAGGGGGTCTATTGGGGATCTATAGAAGGTCTATAGGGCATATATAGGGAATCTATAGGGAATCTATAGGGCATCTATAGGGCATCTATAGGGGATCTATAGGAGGTCTATAAGGGATCTATAGGGGGGTCTATAGGGGATCTATAGTGGGTCTATGAGGGGATCTATGGGGGGTCTGTAGGGGGTCTATGGGGTCTCACCTGCTTGCCCAGCAGCACCAGCTGGGGCTGGATCTTCCCCACCAGCCCGGCCAGGGCCGTGGCCACCTCGAGGGGCCCCAGGGCCACCCCCTCCCCCACCTCGGCCAGCACCGCCCGGTCGGCCCCGACGGCGAGCGCCGTGCGGAGGGTCTCCTGGGGGGGCAAAACAGGGGGTCAAGGGGGTCAGAGACCCCAAAACCCCTCCCAAACACACCCACAGGGTCTCCTGGGGGGGGGAAACAGGGGGTCAGAGACCCCAAAACCCCTCCCAAACACACCCACAGGGTCTCCTGGGGGGGCAAACAGGGGGTCAGGGGGGGTCAGAGACCCCAAAACCCCTCCCAAACACACCCACAGGGTCTCCTGGGGGGGCAAACAGGGGGTCAGGGGGGTCAGAGACCCCAAAACCCCTCCCAAACACACCCACAGGGTCTCTTGGGGGGGGGAAACAGGGGGTCAGGGGGGGTCAGAGACCCCAAAACACACCCACAGGGTCTCCTGGGGGGGTAAACGGGGGGTCAGAGACCCCAAAAGCCCTCCCAAACACACCCACAGGGTCTCCTGGGGGGGGGAAACAGGGGGTCAGGGGGGGTCAGAGACCCCAAAACCCCTCCCAAACACACCCACAGGGTCTCCTGGGGGAAGCAGAGTCAGGGGGTCAGAGACCCCAAAACCCCTCCCAAACACACCCACAGGGTCTCCTGGGGGGCAAACAGGGGTCAGGGGGTCAGAGACCCAAAACCCTCCCAAACACACCCACAGGGTCTCCTGGGGGAAACAGGGGGTCAGAGACCCCAAAACCCCTCCCAAACACACCCACAGGGTCTCCTGGGGGGGCAAACAGGGGGTCAGAGACCCCAAAACCCCTCCCAAACACACCCACAGGGTCTCCTGGGGGGGCAAACGGGGGGTCAGAGGGGTCCAAACCCACCCAGAGAACCCCAACCCCGCCCAGGACACACCAAAACACACCCCAAGGACCCCCAAATCCCCCCCAGGATACCCTGAACCCCTCCAGAGACCCCAACATCTGCCCCAAGACACCTCAGCACTCCCAGATCCGCCCAGGACACCTCAAAACACACCCAGATCCCCCCAGGACACCTCAAAACACCCCCAGATCCGCCCAGGACACCTCAAAACACCCCCAGATCCCCCCAGGACACCTCAAAACACCCCCAGGGCCCCCCCAGATCTCCCCCAGACACCCCCTGGGGGTGCAGCAAAGGGAGGGCCCCGCGGGGCTCGGAGGGTCCCGGGCTTTGGGGGTCCCGCAGGTGCCCCGGGGGGGGTCCCAGCTGTGCCCCCCCCCCTCACCTGGCTGGCCTTGGTGCCCACGGTGGCCACGACGACCTCTGCGGCCTTGCCGGCCTCGCGGAGCCGCACGGCCTCCTCCAGGGCGATCTCACAGAAGGGGTTCAGCGAGTGCTTCACCCCCTGCGTCTGCACCGAGCCCCCCCCGGGGGCCACGCGCACCTGGGGGGGCTCCGGTCACGGGGGGGGGTCCCGACAGCCCCGCCTGACCCCCCCAAAACACGCCCGGATTTTGGGTTCGGGGGTCTCAGGGGGATCGCGGAGTTTGGGGGTCCCCTCCCCGCCCCCCCAACTCCACCCCAGCAATTTGGGGTCCCGGTGGGGAGTCTCTGGGGCTTGGGGTCTCTGGGGTTTGGGGGTCTCAGGTGTCCTGGGAGGGTTCTGGGGGTCTGGGGGTTTGGAGGAATGTCAAGTGTGCCAGGAGGGTCTGGGGTCTGAGGTCCTGGGGGTTTGGGATCTCAGGTGTCCTGGGGTCCCGGGGGTCTGGGGGTTTGGGGAATGCCGGTGCAGGAGGGTCCGGGGTCTGAGGGATCCTGAGTTTGGGTCCAGGTTCCCGGGGTGGGCTCGGGGGTGTTTTGGGGGGTGGTCTCAGGTGTCCCGGGGATTTTGGGTGGGGTCTCAGGTAACCGCGGGCGTGATCCTTCCCCCCCCGGCAGTTTGGGGTCCTGGGTGTCCTGGGGTGTCCTGGGGTGTCCTGGGTGTCCTGGTTGGGTCCCCCGTGCCCCCCACCTTGACGGCGAAGTCGATGACCCGCTTCACCCCCACGAGCACGCGCAGCGCCGCCATTGCTGAGGCCACGCCCCCTCCAGCGAAGGCCACGCCCCCGCCACAAACCACGCCCAAACCACGCCCCGGAGCCTCCAACGCCCCGCCCCCCTCCGGAGACCACGCCCCCTCCATCTCGGGATTTTGGGGGGTTTCGGGGGCTCCTGGGGCGTTTTTGGGGGGTCATTGCAACACCCGGGGGCCCCCAAATTCCCCCACAGGTGTCCGGGGTGTCCGGGGATTTTGGGGATTTTGGAGGGGTTTTTGGGGGCTCCTGGGACCTTTTTGGGGCGGGGGCTCCTGGGACCCCCCAAATCCCCGGATACCCCCCGGAACCCCCCTCCAAAACTCTCGTGTTCTCTCCCCCCACGACACGGCCCCTCAAACCCCCCCAAAGTGAGAGCAAAGCACGATGGGACCCCAGAGACCCCCCCCGGCCCTCAATGAAGGGCGATAAAGGCGATAAATCCGCGTTAATTGTGATTAATCATTAACGAGGGAAAACCCTGATAAGGCCCCAACTGATAAGGGGGGGGAGATCAAGGGCGGCCCGAGGGCGCTGGGGCTGGGGGTCCCTCTCCTCCAAAAAGGGAACCAGGTGTGTCCAGGTGTCCCAAAATGGGGCCCAGGTGTGTCCAGGTGTCCCAAAAAGGGGCCCAGGTGTGTCCAGGTGTCCCAAAAAGGGGCCCAGGTATACCTAGGTGTCCCCTCCCCCCAGGAAGGGGACCCAGGTGTCCCAAAATGGGACCCAGGTGTCCCAGATGGGCCCAGATAGACCCAGGTGTCCCAGGTGCCCCAAAAAGGGGACCCAGGTGTGTCCAGGTGTCCCAAAAAGGGGCCCAGGTATACCTAGGTGTACACTCCCCCCCCCAAAGGGGACCCAGGTGTGCCCAGGTGTCCCTGCCCCCCAAAAAGGGGACCTAGGTGTCCCCTCCCCCCCCAAAGGGGACCCAGGTGTCCCCTCCCCCCCAGGTGTGCCCAGCAGGGTCACCTTGGGGCGGTGCCCGTGGGGGGTATAAGGGGAGGTGGGGACGCACTGGGAGCACTGGGAGCACTGGGAGCCGCCATGGGGAAGGAGGTGAGAGGGGAGAGGGGCGGAGGGAAGGAGGGAGGGAGGGAGGGAGGGAGGGGGTGGAAGAGAATTGAGCAGAGATGGAGGGATGGAGGAGGGACCTGAGAGATGGAGGGAGGAGGATGGAGGAGAGATGGAAAGACAGAGAAAGGCTGGGGGGGAAAGGAGGGATGAGGGACAGGGAGAGGAGGGATGGAGAGATGGAGGAGGATCAGGGATGGAGGGAGGGAGGAGAGTGGAGGAGATGGAGAGATGGAGAGACGGAGGGGATCAGGATGGAGGGAGGGAGGAGAGAGGGACAGAGGGAAAGGATGGAGGGGGAAGGATGGGGAGGGACCCCTGACCCCCTCCTTGACCCTCCCTCTCCCCAGACCTTCGAGCTGGGCCCGCCAGGCCCGACCCCCGCCCCGAAAAAGGGCCGGAGGAAGAGGAAGGAGAAGGAGAAGCTGGAGGACATGAAGAAGGAGATGGATGTGGTGGGAGGCACTGGGAGGGACTGGGAGGGCACGGGGAGGGCACTGGGGGGCACTGAGATGGTCAATGGGGGGCACTGGGGGACACTGGGAGGGACTTGGGGGCACTGGGAGGGCACTGGGAGGGACTGTGGGGTACTGGGAGGGACTGGGGGGCACTGGAGGACACTGGGAGGGACTGGGGGGCACTGGGAGGGCACTGGGGGGCACTGGGAGGGCACTGGGAGGGACTGGGGGCACTGGAGGGGTGGTCTCTGAGCCGGGTGCCCCCAGGACGATCACAAGCTCGACGTGAACGACCTCGAGATCAAGTACAGCACCAGCATCACCAAGGTGACCCCTGACCCCACTGACCCCACTGACCCCTGACCCCACCAATCGCAGTGACCCCGACCTGCGCCCTTCACCCCAATCGACCCCAAGGCCACCTTTGGCCCCACTGACCCCACAGACCCCAATGACCCCCTTGACCTGGTTGACCCCAACTGCCCCCCATGACCCCACTGACCCCAATGACCCCTGACCCCTCCCCCTGTCCCCATTGCCCCCTTGTCCCTGCTGCCCCGGTGACCCCAATGACCCCTGCCCCCAATCCCCATCCCCATTGTCCCTCCTGCCCCCTGACCCCTCCCCGTCCCCTGACCTCCCATCCCCCGTCCCCACTGCCCCCTGACCTCCATCCCCTGCCCCCATCCCCTGCCCCCTGCCCCCTCCCCCGTCCCCATTGCCCCCTGCCCCCTGCCCCCTCTCCCCGTCCCCATTGCCCCTCTGCCCCCTGCCCCCTCCCCTGCCCCCTGACTCCCTCCCCTGCCCCCATTGCCCCTCATCCCCCTGACCCCCTGTCCCCTGACCCTCCCCCGTCCCCGCAGGGTCTGTCGGAGGCGGCCGCGGCCGAGCGGCTGCTCCGGGACGGCCCCAACGAGCTGCGCCCCCCCCGCGGGACCCCCGAGTGCGTGAAGTTCGGGCGGCAGCTGGCGGGGGGGCTGCAGTGCCTCATGTGGGTCGCTGCCTCCATCTGCCTCATCGCCTACGGCGTCCAGGAGGGCGAGGGCGACCGCGGCAGCTCCGACAACGTACGGGGCAACTGGGGCAGCTGGGGAAACTGGGGAGCAACTGGGGCAAATGGGGCTACTGGGGCAGCTGGGGGGCAACTGGGGCAGCTGGGGCGCAACTGGGGCAACTGGGGCATCTGGGGCACACCTGCGGGGCACCTGGGGGCACCTGGAGAAACTGGGGCAACTGGGGCAGCTGGGGAAACTGGGGAGCAACTGGGGAAACTGGGGCAACTGGGGAAACTGGGGAGCAACTGGGGAAACTGGGGCAACTGGGGGCAAATGGGGCAACTGGGGAGCAACTGGGGCAACTGGGGCAACTGGGGCGACTGGGGCGGCAACTGCGGCAACTGGGGCACACCTGCAGGGCACCTGGGGGCACCTGGAGAAACTGGGGCAACTGGGGCAGCTGGGGAAACTGGGGCAGCTGGGGAAACTGGAGGGCACCTGGGGGGCACACCTGGGACAGCTGGGGGGAGAACACCTGGGGGAACACACCTGGACACCATCTGGGACACCTGAGGAGGCACAGCTGGCAGGAGAGCACCTGGGGACAGGTGGGGGGAGAACACCTGGAGACGGAGCACACCTGGGGACACACCTGGGGAACACCTGGGTCCACCTCAGGGGGCACACCTGGAAGCTGGGGCTGGGGGAGCCTGTGGGGGCTCCGGGTGCCCAGGACCCCCTGGGCTGCCCAGGACCCCCCTGGACCCCTGTGGACGGGGGTACCTGGGCACCAGGCCCTCACCTGTCCCTCCCCACGCCCCCCAGCTGTACCTGGCCATCGCCCTCATCGCCGTCGTGGTCGTCACCGGCTGCTTTGGGTACTACCAGGAGTTCAAGAGCACCAACATCATTGCCAGCTTCAAGAACCTGGTCCCGCAGGTGGGGACCCCCTCCCTGCCCCCCAGCCCACCTGGGGGCCTCCCCTGCACCCTCCCCTGTGCCCTCCCCTGTGCCCTCCCCTGTGCCCTCACCTGCACCCTCACCTGCACCCTCCCCTGTGCCCTCACCTGTGCCCTCCCCTGTGCCCTCACCCTGCCTCCCACCTCGCCTGTCCCTCACCTGTGCCCTCACCTGCACCCTCCCCTGTGCCCTCCCCTGTGCCCTCACCTGTGCCCTCCCCTGTGCCCTCACCTGTGCCCTCACCTGCACCCTCCCCTGCGCCCTCACCTGTGCCCTCCCCTGTGCCCTCACCTGCACCCCCCCTGTGCCCTCCCCTGTGCCCCAGCAAGCCACAGTGGTGCGGGACGGGGCCAAGCAGCAGATCAACGCCAACGAGCTGGTGGTCGGGGACCTGGTGGAGATCAAAGGGGGCGACCGCGTCCCCGCCGACATCCGCGTCCTGTCGGCCCAGGGCTGCAAGGTGGGCCGGGGGACACCTGGGGGCTCACCTGGGGGGTGCCAGGGCTCACGGGCGGGGGCGTGACCGCCTGTGAACCCCCCCACCCCACCCCAAGGTGGACAACTCGTCGCTGACGGGGGAGTCGGAGCCGCAGACGCGCTCGCCCGAGTGCACCCACGAGTCGCCCCTGGAGACGCGGAACATCGCCTTCTTCTCCACCATGTGCCTGGAAGGTGGGGCCGGGCACACCTGGGGGGCTGGGGCACACCTGGGCTCACCTGGGGGTCACCTGGGGGGCACCTGGGGGGCTGGGGCACACCTGGGTCCCACCTGGAGATCGGGGTTCCAGCTGGGTGAGTCCCACCCGGGTTCCACCTGCCCACCCGATTCTCACACACCTGTGCTCTGTCCCCTCCCCACACACCTGTCCCCCCCCTCCCTGTGCCCAGGTACGGCCACAGGGCTGGTGCTGCCCCCTCACCCCTCCCCTGTGCCCAGGTACGGCCACAGGGTTGGTGCTCCCCCCTCACCCCTCCCCTGTGCCCAGGTACAGCCACGGGGCTGGTGCTGCCCCCTCACCCCTCCCCTGTGCCCAGGTACAGCCACGGGGCTGGTGCTGCCCTCACCCTCCCTGTGCCCAGGTACAGCCACGGGCTGGTGCTGCCTCACCCCTCCCCTGTGCCCAGGTACGGCCACAGGGTTGGTGCTCCCCCCTCACCCCTCCCCTGTGCCCAGGTACAGCCACGGGGCTGGTGCTGCCCCCTCACCCCTCCCCTGTGCCCAGGTACGGCCACAGGCCTGGTGATCTCCACGGGCGACCGGACCATCATCGGCCGCATCGCCAGCCTGGCCTCGGGCGTGGAGAACGAGAAGACCCCGATCGCCATCGAGATCGAGCACTTCGTGGACATCATCGCCGGCCTCGCCATCTTCTTCGGGGCCACCTTCTTCGTGGTGGCCATGGTCATCGGGTACCCCTTCCTGCGCGCCATGGTCTTCTTCATGGCCATCGTGGTGGCCTACGTGCCCGAGGGGCTGCTGGCCACCGTCACGGTACCTCCCGGGGGGCAGGAGGGGCCACCGCGGCCTGGGGGTCTGCAGGGAGCTGGGGGGGTCACCCGAGGGGCAGGAGGGGCCACCACAGCCTGGGGGTCTGCAGGGAGCCGGGGGGGTCACCTGGGGGACAGGAGGGGCCACTGCAGCCTGGGGGTCTGCAGGGAGCCGGGGGGGTCACCTGGGGGACAGGAGGGGCCACCACAGCCTGGGGGTCTGCAGGGAGCCGGGGGGGTCACCTGGGGGACAGGAGGGCCACTGCAGCCTGGGGGTCTGCAGGGAGCCGGGGGTCACCTGGGGGACAGGAGGGGCCATCACAGCCTGGGGGTCTGCAGGGAGCTGGGGGGGTCACCTGGGGGACAGGAGGGGCCACCGCAGCCTGGGGGCCTGCAGGGAGCTGGGGGGTCACCTGGGGGACAGGAGGGGCCACCGCAGCCTGGGGGCCTGCAGGGAGCTGGGGGGTCACCTGGGGGACAGGAGGGGCTGGGGGGGTCTCCATCAACCCCAGGGGTCCCACCACCACCCACGGGGAGTTCAGGGGGGCTCACCTGTGCCCGGGTGGTCCCAGGGGGTGCCCCCACAGGTGCTGAGGGCCCCCCCCGCCCGGCCAGGTGTGCCTGTCGCTGACGGCCAAGCGCCTGGCGCGCAAGAACTGCGTGGTGAAGAACCTGGAGGCCGTGGAGACCCTGGGGTCGACCTCGGTGATCTGCTCCGACAAGACCGGGACCCTCACCCAGAACCGCATGACCGTCGCCCACCTCTGGTTCGACAACCAGATCCACGAGGCCGACACCACCGAGGACCAGTCGGGTGGGCACCTGGGGACACTCCTGGGGCACCCTACACACACCTGGGGACACCTGGGATACCTGGGAACGCCCCGGGACACCTGGATCCACCCCCCCACCCCACCTTACCCACCCCGGGACCCCCCGAGGGCCCCTCCCCACACACCTGGAGCCCCCCAGGTGACCCCACCTGGCCCTGGCAGGTCAGAGCTTCGACCAGTCCTCGGCCACGTGGACGATGCTGAGCCGCGTCATCGCCCTCTGCAACCGCGCCCAGTTCAAGCCGGGCCAGGACGACGTGCCCGTGGCCAAGGTGGGCACTGGGGGCACTGGGACGGGCTGGGAGGGACCGCCGACCCTTTTTTGGGGGGTGGGAGGGGCAGGGTCCCCCCTCACCTGCGGCCCCGCCTCCCCAGCGTGACGTCATCGGCGACGCCTCGGAGACGGCGCTGCTCAAATTCGCGGAGCTGACGGTGGGGCCCGTGGCGGCCGCCAGGGGGCGCCACCCCAAGGTGGCCGAGCTGCCCTTTAACTCCAGCAACAAATTCCAGGTGAGCACAGGTGGGACAGGTGAGGCCATGGGGGGCCACGGGGGGGTGACACAGGGCTGGGACAGGTGGGGACAGGTGAGGGCTCCTCCCCTTTAACTCCAGCAACAAATTCCAGGTGAGCACAGGTGGGACAGGTGAAGGGATGGGTGGTGATGTGTGTGTGAGAGGGGTGTGACAGGTGTGTCCCAGGTGTGTCCCAGGTGTGTGCCAGGTGTGTCCCCTGTCTCAGGTGTGGCCCCTGTCTCAGGTGTGTCCCCTGTCCCAGGTGTGTCCCAGGTGTGTGCCAGGAGTGTGCCAGGTGTGTCCCCTGTCTCAGGTGTGTCCCCTGTCCCCCCGCAGGTGTCGGTGCACGAGGCAGGGGAGCAGCAGCTGCTGGTGCTCAAAGGGGCCCCCGAGCGGGTCCTGGAGCGGTGCCGGGGGGTCCTGCTGGGGGGGCAGGAGCTGCCCCTCGACCCCCAGTGGAGGGAGGCCTTCGAGGGGGCCTACGCAGAGCTGGGGGGGCGCGGGGAGAGGGTCCTGGGTGAGTGGGGGGTCCTGTGGGACACGGGGGAGTCCCATCTGGGGGGTGGCTGGGAAGTGGGTGCATGTCCCCCCATGTCCCCTGTGAGCCCCCCTGTCCCCCATGTTCCCTTGTGACCCCCCTGTCCCCCATGTTCCCTTGTGACCCTCCCATGTCCCCTGTGACCCCTCCATGTCCCCTGCGACCCCCATGTCCCCTGTGACCCCCTGACGCCTCGTGCCCCCAGGGTTCTGTGCCCGCTGGCTGCCCCCCGGGACGGTGCCCCCCGGCACGGACCCCGAGGCGCTGCCCGAGCTGGCCCAGGGCCTGCTTCGCGGGGCTCGTGTCCCTCATCGACCCCTCGCGCCACCGTCCCCAGGCCGTGAGGAAGTGCCGGACAGCCGGGATCAGGGTGGGGACACTGCGGGGACAGGGGGACACTGGGGGACAGGGCAGACACTGGGGGACATGGGGACAATGGGGGAGACATGGGGGCACATTGTGGGGACATGGCAGGGATTGGGGACATGGGGACACTGGGGGGACAGAGGGACACTGAGAACATGGGGACACTGAGGGGGATTGGGGACATGGGAACAGGGGTATGGAGGGGACATTGGGGGTGACATGGGGACAATGAGGGAGGCACAGGGGATGTGGGGACATGGTGGGGGGGGGACAGAGGGGATTTGGGCACGGGGAGACACAGGAGGGGACACGAGGGCCCAGGGGGAGGACGAGGACATGGGGGAATACTGTGGGGACACCGTGGAGACACTGTGGAGACCCCAGGTGACCCCCAAGCCCCCCGCCCGCCCAGGTGATCATGGTGACGGGTGACCACCCCATCACGGCCAAGGCCATCGCGGCGTCCGTGGGGATCATCTCGGAGGGCAGCGAGACCCCCGAGGAGGTGGCGGCGCGGCTGCGGCTGCCCCTGGAGCAGGTGGACCCCAGGTAGGGGGGCCCAGGTGACCGGGGGGGACACACCTGGGTGTTTGGGGGCTCCCAGGTGTGCCCCAGGTGTGTGTCCCCCCAGGCAGGCCCGGGCCCGGGTGGTGACAGGGACGGAGCTGGCGGCGATGGCCCCGGGGACCCTCGAGGGGCTTCTCCGCGCCCACCCCGAGATGGTTTTCGCCCGGACGTCACCCCAGCAGAAACTCGTCATTGTGGAGAGCTGCCAGCGCCTGGTGGGGACACTGTGGGGACACTGAGGGCAATGGGGAACATTGGGGACATCGTGGAGAGCTGCCAGCGCCTGGTGGGGACAATAGGGGGGCACTGGGGGGACACTGGGGGGAACATTGGGGACATCAAGGAGGACAACAAGAAGGACATGGGGAAATGGGTGACAACAATGATGGTGCCAGTATCCCCCATGTCCCCAAGATGGTGCCAATGTCCCCATTGTCCCCTTGTCCCCAGGGCGCCATCGTGGCGGTGACGGGGGACGGCGTGAACGACTCACCGGCGCTCAAGAAGGCCGACATCGGCGTGGCCATGGGCATCGCCGGCTCCGACGCCGCCAAGAACGCGGCCGACATGATCCTGCTGGACGACAACTTCGCCTCCATCGTCACCGGCGTCGAGCAGGGTGGGGCTGCGGGCACCTGAGACACCTGGGGGGGCACCTGAGACACCTGGGGGGCACCTGAGACACCTGGAGGGGCACCTGAGACACCTGGGAACCCCTCCCCAAACACCTGGGAACCCCTCCCCAAACAGCTGGGGGGCACCTGTGGGGTTGTCCCACCCCGGTGACACCTCTCCCACCTGTCCCACCCGTGACACCTGTGGTACCTGTGGCACCTGTCCCACCTGTCCCTGCCCCCCAGGGCGGCTGATCTTCGACAACCTGAAGAAGTCCATCGCCTACACCCTGACCAAGAACATCCCCGAGCTGACCCCGTACCTGATCTACATCACGGCCAGCGTGCCCCTCCCCCTGGGCTGCATCACCATCCTCTTCATCGAGCTCTGCACCGACATCGTGAGTGCTGGGCCCACCTGGGCTCACCTGGGGGCTCCCCTGGGCCCAGCCTGTGCCCTCACCTGCCCCCCCGACCCCGCAGTTCCCCTCGGTGTCCCTGGCCTACGAGCGGGCCGAGAGTGACATCATGCACCTGAAACCGCGGAACCCCCGGCGGGACCGGCTGGTCAACGAGCCCCTGGCGGCCTATTCGTACTTCCAGATAGGTAAGGGGGGCCCAGGGACCCCACACACACTGGCCTGGGTCTCCTGATCCAACAGGCGCTGGGGGACACCTGAGTCCCCTGAGCACCTGAGTCCCTGGGTGTCCCTGCTCCCAGCTCCCCGGATTTCCTGAGTCCCTGGGTGTCCCAGCCCCGGGGCCCTGGGTGTCCCTGGATTTCCCCCTCCCCGCTCCCCATCTCTCCTGACCCCACTGCCCCCACTGCCCCTCACTCTCTGTCTCCCCCACCCCCCAGGCGCCATCCAGTCCTTCGCGGGCTTCACCGACTACTTCGTGGCGATGGCGCAGGAGGGCTGGTGGCCCCTCCTGGTGCTGGGGCTGCGCCCGCGCTGGGAGGACCAGCACGAGCAGGAGCTGCAGGACAGCTACGGGCAGCAGTGGGTGCGTGTGCCCCCCGGGGAGCCCCCCTGTGCTCACCTGAGCCCCCCTAGGAATCCCCCACGCTCACCTGAGCCCCCCCGGGGAGCCCCCCTGTGCTCACCTGAGCCCCCTGGGAGCTCCCCCTGCGCTCACCTGAGCCCCCCAGGAGCTCCCCCCGCGCTCACCTGCCCCCCGTGCCCGCAGACGTTCGCGCAGCGCAGGTACCAGCAGTTCACCTGCTACACCGTGTTCTTCATCAGCATCGAGATGTGCCAGATCGCCGACGTGCTCATCCGCAAGACGCGCCGGCTCTCGCTGCTCCAGCAGGGGGTGCTCAGGTGCGGGGGGGTTGGGAGGGGGTGACAGGTGTGCTCAGGTGTGTCAGGTGTGCGAATGTGAGTGTAGGTGTGTCAGGTGTGCCAATACGTGTATAGGTGGGCCCAAGTGTGCTCAGGTGTATGCAGGTGTGTCAGGTGTGTACCCCAGGTGACACAGATACTATAGGTGCCTCAGGTACCCCAGGTACCCCAGGTGTCCCAGGTACCCCAGGTGCCACAGGTGTGTCTGTCCCGCAGGAACCACATCCTGGTGGTGGCCATCGTGTTCCAGGTGTCCATTGGCTGCTTCCTCTGCTACTGCCCCGGGATGCCCAACATCTTCAACTTCATGCCCATCAGGTGTGTCCCACACCTGGAGCACCTGGACACACCCCCAGGCCCCTTTCCCTCTCCCCCCCCCTCGGAACACTCGGGACCCCTCTCGGGACACCTGGGGGTCCTCCCGCACACCTGGGACCCTCCTGAGCCCTCCAGGGATATCTGAGTCACCTGACCAGGTGTGTGCCCCCCTCTCCCCGCCAGGTTCCAGTGGTGGCTCGTCCCGATGCCCTTCGGGCTCCTCATCCTCGTCTACGACGAGATCCGGAAATTGGGAGTCCGGAGACACCCGGGCAGTGAGTGATGGTGGGGGGGACACACCTGGGGGGGCACACCTGGGCCCCCACCCTCACCTGTGTCTTCTCTGTCCCCCCAGGTTGGTGGGATCGAGAGCTTTACTACTGAGGTGGGGCCGCCACGGACACCTGAGATCCACCTGCACACCTGGGGCCCACCTGCACACCTGGGACCCACCTGGACATGTGGGGCCCATCTGGGCACGTGGGACCTCTCCAGCACATCTGTGTCTGTGTGTGTCCCCCTCACACCTGGACCCCCCAATAAAGCTCCCTGAGCCCTCCAGGTGTGTCCAGGTGTGTCCATTGGGGCCGGGCGTGTTCCAGGTGTGTCGGGGGGGGGGTGTCAGGAGGACCTCAGGTTGGGGGGGAAGAGATGCGTGACAGGTGTGTGACAGGGGTGTGTGTGACACGGGAGGGTGTGTGACAGGTGTGTGTGACACAGGAGGGTGTGTGACACGGGTGTGTGACACGGGTGTGTGTGACACGGGTGTGTGTGACACAGGAGGGTGTGTGACACCCCAAACTTGGGGGAGCGGGGGGGGAGGATCCCAAACTGTGGGAGGGGGAGCCCCAAACCCCAGGGAATTCTGGAATTAAACAAAAACGTCGCCAAAATCCAAGTCCATTTTTTCAAGTTCCTCCCCCCCGGGCCTCCCCAGATTCCCCCCAGCTCCCTCCCCTGCCCCTCCTGACCCATCTGACCCATCCAAACGCCTTCCCAAGGTCCCCCCAGAGCATCCCCCTGCCCCAACACCTTGGTCGTTTTCTTCAGGGGGTCCCAGCACACCAGAGCCCCCCAAATTCCCACATCTCCCCAATCCCCAGCCCCTCTCTTTCCCTCCAACCCCCCCAGACCCGCCAAAACCACCCGAGAGCTGTAGAAAACATGGAGTTTTATTGCCATTGGGGGCAGAGGGGGTAATAAATAGGGGGCTCGGGGGGTCCCCAGCTCTGGGGTCCCGGGGTCTCAGGTGCGGCAGCAGAAGCCGCAGCCCCGGTTCCCGCAGCAGTTGCAGCAGAAGGAGCAGAGCGGGAAGTGGGAGCTGTGACGGCGGCGGCGGCTCAGGAGGGGCTGGGGGGGATGGAAAAGGGGGGGTCAGGAAATGGGGGACCCCCAGAAACCCCCGAGGAGGTGCTGGGAACCCCCCAGAGGCCGGGAAGCCCCTCAGAGCCCCAAAACCTCTGAGGGAAGGACCTCTCCCCTGTGGGTCCCCCCGGACTTCTGGGTGTCCCCAAATCCCGGCTGAAGGTCCGCCTGGACACCCCTGGACACGTGGGTGTCCCCAAACGCCAGGTCAGGGTCCCCCCGTGCCCCCCCCGGACTCACCTGCCCGTCGCCCACCTGGTTTTGGGGTGGCACCTTCGGCACAGCCTGGAAGGGGAGGGGGGGTGAGACTCAGGTGTGAGACCCTCCCCCCCCCACCGGGACACCTGAGACCCCCCAAATTCCGGGTCCCTGCTACTGGGGCAGGGGGGGAGTCCCGAACACCTGAGGGGGGTGGGATGGGGGGGTGTCACTCACCTGTCCATCCCCCACCTGGGTGAGGGGCTTCAGCTCCAGCGATGACTCGGGGGGCACCTGGGCCTGGGGTGGGGGGCAGGGTATGCTCTAGACACCTGAGTACCCCCCAAAACCCCCGGGACCCGCCCCCAAAAACACTCCCCCCGAAAACCTGGGATCCCCCAAAAACACCTAGGAAATCCCCAAAAACACCTGGGATCTCCCAAAAACACCTGGGATCCCCCAAAACACCTGGGAAACCCCCAAAACACCTGGGACACCCCAAACACCCTCCGATCCCCCAGGAACCCCCCTCAGCTCCCAGAGACCACCCCCCAAATCCCCAAGGAGTCCCCTGGGAACCCCCCGCCCCTCACCGCGTGCGTGGGCCCCGCGGGCAGGAGGAGGAGGAGGAGGAGAACGAGGAAGATCCCGAGGCCCCGGAGCGGCTCCATCACTGCCCTGGGGGGGTCGCGGCCCCTCTCACCCCCATTTATCCTCCCCCCCTCTCCCACCCAGCCCCTCCCCACTCCCTTCTTGGAAGAACCCGCCCCTTCCCCCCCCCTCACCTTTCCCGGGGTCGTGACCCCGGTTTGGGTGGAAAAACGCCAAGTTTGGGGTTTCTGAGATGTTTCCAGGCAGGTGGGGGGAGGGATGGGGGGGGCGCAGCCCCCTCACCCTCAGGGGGGTCCCAGGGGTCCAGGACCACCCCCCACCTCACATGGAGGGGCCCGGGTGTTGGGGGGACACTCGGGTGTTTTGGGGGACGCTCTGGAGTTTGGGGATGCTCAGGTGTGTCCGGGGGCTCAGGTGTGTCCAGAGGGGGCTGAAATGTTGGGGAGGGGTCGCTAAGGTGTTTGGGGGTCACCCAGGTATTGTGGGGGGTCACTCAGGTGTTCGGGGTGTGGGGGGGATGCTCAGGTGTGTCCTGGGGGTTCAGGTGTCAGGACCCCTGCCCCCTCGAAGGGACTCAGGTGTCCGGGGGGGACACTCAGGTGTCCAGGGGGGGACACTCAGGTGTCCAGGGGGTCACTCAGGTGTTTGGGGGACACTCAGGTGTCCGGGGACACTCAGGTGTCCAGGGGGACACTCAGGTGTCCAGGGGGTCACTCGGGTGTCCGGACCCTCCTGTCCCCCCTCCTCCTCCTCGCCCCCCTGCCCGAGTGCCCCTGACCGTGTTTGTTGTCCCCTCCCGAGGTCACCCCCGGGTCAGACCGAGCGGCGCCAGTGCGGGGACACGGGGACAGCGCCGGGGACACCGGGGGGGACACCGGGTGGGGGGGGACACACGACAGGGTGGCAGCACCGGGATGGGGACACTGATGGGACAGCCAGGGTGGCCTTGAGGCGACACCGATGGTGACTGGGGCGGTGGCACCGCTGGGACACGGATGGTGACAGTGATGTGACACCGATGGCGGCACCGATGTGGCGCCCGTGGGGCAGCGCTGGTGGCACTCGTGTGGCACTGATGATGGCACCGACGTGACAGTGGCACTGACGTCACGCTGATGGTGGCAGTGATGTGACACCAGTGGTGACACCGAAGTGGCACTGGTGTGGCACCAGCGGTGACACTGGTGGCGACAAGGACAGCGCTACCGACAGCGACAGCGGAGGGGACAGGGACAGACGGCAGCCCCGGTGGGGACAGCAGTGGTGACACTGAGGGTGACAGGGACAGGGATGGTGGCACCAGGGGGGTGGCCCAGGGGGGGTGGGGGACACCAGGGAGGGGTGACAGTGACACCTGAGGGGTGACAATGACACGGGGGTGAGAGACAAGGAGGGGGTGACAATGTCCCGGGGGGGGGGGTGACAGCTCCGGCGCCGCTCTGACGCCACTGACGGTGACACCTCGTGACAGTTGCGACACGGGGTGGCCCTGCCCGTGTCCCCTCGGGGTCAGGGCCGCCCCTCCCCTGCCCTCCCCCTCCCCACAAACGACCAAAATTCCTTTTTTTTTTTTTTTTTTTGCCTGTTTTTTTGTCGGTTTTTTTGGCCTCCTGGGGCAGACCCTCCCCTCCCACCCCCCTCCCCTTTCGCGACCCCTCCCCCGCCCTCCCCACCCCCACCCCCAAAAAAATCGGAGGGGGAGGGTCGCCTCTCCCCTCCCGGGCAGTACAAAACAATTAATTAATTACAATCACGGTAATTACAAAGGGGGGACAGGGAGGGGTCGCGAGGGGGGTGTGGCCTGGGGGTCCCCGAGGAGAACTGGGGGTCCCTGCATTGTCCCCAGGGTGGGGAGAGGGGCACAGGGACCCCCGCAAAGTGGGGGATGGGGGTCGTGTCCCTGCGTGGGGGGCGGGGGCTGTGTTTGCAGGTGCCCCTCCCCCGCCGTGACTGGGGTGTCCCCTTAGGGGTCCCTGGGGTGTCCCCAAAAGGTGTCACCCCCATGACTGGGGGGGAAAGTCCGCAGGGGGTGCCCCCAGCTGTGTGTGCCCCCCACCCCACACCGTGTCACTGCGGGGGTCCACTCAGGGGTTGTCCCCAAGCGTGTCCCACCCTCGTGACAGGGCGCGAGGGTGTCCCCAGGGGCGTCCGGGGGTTGCCAGGGGGCGTCCCCAGGGGTGTCCCACCCCCCCCACCCCGGTGTCACTGGGGGGTCCCCTCGGGGGTCCCCTCCAGCCCCCTCTGCTGCAGCTGCGCCCTCAGCACGGCGTTCTCGCTCTTCAGCTCCTCCATCTGTGAAGGGGGGGGCACAGGGGGGGTCAGGGCCGGGGGTCTCACCCCCTTTCACCCCGAGGGGACCCCTTGTCCCCCTTCCCGCCCTAAACCGCCCCTCTATGAATGAACCCCACCGTGAGAACCGAGAGGGGGCGTGGCCCACGCGCGGTGGGCGGGGCTTACGGACACCACTACAACAGAGGGGCGTGGCCTCCCAGGGGCGTGGCCACGCCGCTCGCCCCCGCGCGGGCGGTTTTTGGGGGAATTTCGGGTGGATTTGGGGGCGCGGGGCGGGGTTTCACCTGCTGCCGGAGCAGGTCGTTGTCCATCTGCAGCCGCTCGGCCTCCTTGAAGGTCTCCTGCAGCCGCTGGTTGCTCTGGCGCAGCTCCCGCACGTAATCGCAGGCCTTGGACAGGATCCCCCCCTTGCTCTGCGGGAACCGCCCCCACCACAAATCAGCCTGGATTTCCCCCCCGCGCCGGGACCGCCCTAAAATCAGGCCCGATCCCCAAAAATGGGCCCTGACCCCCCCAAATCGGCTGGGACACCCCAAAATCAAGCTGGGACTCCCCAACAGGATCACCCCAAAATCAGCCCTGACACTCCCCCCTCCCACCCTTGTTCTGCCAGACCTTCCCAAAATCAGCCCGAGATGCCCCCCTGGTCCTCCCTCACCCCGACCCTGCAGGACCACCCAGAATCAGCCCAGGAGGCCCCCCAGACCCACCAGGACCACCCAGTTTCCCTCGTCCCCCCTCACCGCCCCCGATTTGCCGCTGTCGGCGCCGCAGTCGGGGATGATTTTGGAGAGCTGGACGATCCAGTTGTTGATCTTGTCCCGGCGCCGGCGCTCGACTGGGAACGGGGACATTGGGGACACCGTTGGGGACACCGTTGGGGACACAGGGACGTTGGGGGTTTGGGGACAGGCAGACACTGGGGGGATTTGGGGACATCATGGGGGACATTGGGGGACTTTTGGGGGATTAGGGGTACAGAAGGGCACTGGGGGGACATTGGGGGATCTTGTCCCGACCCAGGTGACACTGGGACCCCCTGGGTAACACAGGGGTGACACTGGGCCCTCCCAGAAGCCACCCAGGTGACACAAGCGTGACACTGGGCCCCCCCAGGTGACACAGGGGTGACACGGGGGTGACACGGGGGTGACACGGGGCCCCTCCTCACCCTCGTTGTGCTGCGCCCGCCGTCGCTCGTCCCGCGGCACCCGCGGCCCCTCGAGCTTCCTGTGGGGGACAGGGGGGCACAGGTGGGATGGGGGCGCCCGGCACAGGTGTGTCCAGGTGTGTCAGGGCGTGCCCAGGTGTGCCCAGGTGTGCCCACAGCATGCCACGGCAGTTTTGGAGCGTATAAAGGTGCATTTTGGGTACGTTCGGGGCACGTGGGACGCGTCCAGGTGTTCCAGGTACTGCCCAGGTGCATCCCCTGGTACCCCCCAGGTGTCCCCCAGGTGTCCCAGGTGCCCCCCAGGTATTCCAGGTGCCCCCCAACTGCCCCAGGTGCGTCCCAGGTGCCCCCCAGGTGCCCCCAAGGTGCACTCACGGGGAGTACGGGTGCCCGTGCGGGGCGAGGCTGCGCTGGGCCCCCCCTGCCTGCAGCACGTCCTGGGGGGTCATCATCACATAGAACTGACCTGGAGAGGGGTGGGGATGGGGGGGTCACACCCCTGTGTGCCCCCACAACACCTGAACCCCCCCCCAGGTGTGGGGGTGCCCTCCCGCCCCCCATCAGGGGTGGGGGTCCCCCGTTACCTCCAGCCTGGGCCAGGGCAGGGTCGGCCTGCACGGCCACGGCCCCCTCCCCACCCCAGGTGAAGCGGGCCTCGGCCCCCCCCTCGCTGCCGGGGCTGCCCCCGTTGCTGAAGGGGTTCTGGATCACGGCCTGGGGTGGGGGGGGACACACACAAAGAGAGGGAGGTCACACACCCGGGTCACCTGCACGGGGACCCCCCCCAGAAACTCCGTCCAGGACCCCCCAAACCCCTGACCGCACAGGGACCCCCAGGGACCACCCCCCAAACCTTCACCCAGGATGCCCCAAACCCACCTGCTGCGCAGGGACCCCCCAAACTACCCCCAGGGATCCCCTAAACCCCCTCCCTCCAGGGACCCCCAACCCCCACCCAAAAGACCCTGCAGGGGCACCCCCAGACAACCCTCCACGACCCCTCAAACCCTCCAGAAAGCCTCCCCAAAAACCCCAACCAGGACACCCCAGAAACCCCCAAAAGCCCCCCCAGCCCCAGGACCCTCCCAGACCCCTCCAAGATCCACCCCCAAACCCTCCAGGACCCCCCCCCCAACCTCTCCCCAGAAACCCCCACTCCTGGGACACCCCCAGATTTTCCCTAAACCCCACCTGGGATCCCCCTTAGGACCCCTTCTAACCCCTAACCCCAGAACTCCCCCAGACCCCCGGTGACCCCTCCAGGGACCCCCAAACCCCTGGGACCTCCCCAAAACCCCCCCTGGGACCCCCAGCCCTGACCTGGGGAGCTCCAGCGAAGGTGGACACGACGCTGACGGCGGCGCCTTCGGGACCCTCGAGCGGCGCCTCCGTCACCTGCACCACCCTGTAGGTCACCTGGGGGGGCACCGGGGTCACCTGGGGCCATGGGGGTCACTGGGCCCCCCCAAACAAAGGCACCCCCACCCAGGTCCTGCACCACCTTGTAGGTCACCTGGGGGGGGGGTCACCTGGGGGGTCAGGTGTCACCTGGGGTGACCTGGGGGGAGGTCAAAGGGGTCCCCACAGCACAAAGATCCCCTTCTTGTCTCCCCATTGGCCCGGCCTGGGACCCCTCCCAGCCCCCCCAGGTGTGCTCCAGGTGTGCCCAGGTGTGCCCAGGTGTGCTCCAGGTGTGCCCAGGTGTGCCCAGGTGCCCTCACCTGGCCACCGTTGCTCTCGCTGCGGAACTGGTACTGCAGCCCCGCATCAGGGAAGGCTCCGGGGGCTCCGGGGGCTCCGGGGGGGACGTTGGCGATGGCCACGGGTTCCTCCCCCGGCGCCCTCTCCCCTGGCAGCACCGGGGGACATTCCAGGTCAGGGAGACTCCAAACCCACGCCCCAAATTCTCCTCCCAAACGCCCCCAAATCCTCCTCCCAACCCCCCTCAAAATCCTCCTCCCAAACCCCCTCAAAATGCTCCTCCCAAACCCCCAAAATCCCCCCAAATCCTCCCAACTCCCCCAAAATCCTCCTCCCAAGCCCCGCCCTCCCCAATTTATGGCAAACACACCCCCAAAGTCAACTGTGGATCCTCCAAAATCCCCCCCCACAAAAGTGCGTGACACCCCCCCACACCCCCAGAAATCACCTCCACATTTGTGGGGACCCACAACATCCACCCTGAGACCACCCAGCCCCTCAGACACCCCCAAAATTCTGCCCTGGATTCACAGAGACCCCCAAAACCCGGCCTTACACCCCTGGACCCCTGGGGACACCCCCAAACCCATGTTGAGTCCCCCCCAAACATCTGGGGACCCCCAGATTCCACCCTGAGACCCCCTCCAGACATCTGGGACCCCTTCAGCCCCCAGGCCACCCTCCCCCCCAAATTTGGGCCCCTCACCCTCCTGCAGGTCGACGCCTCCTCGGCCTCTTTGACCTTTATCGTGACTGGGGGTATGTCAAAGGTCAAAGGTCGTGACCCCGGGAGGATCCTGACATCGGGGAGCCCCTCCCAAATTTCGGGGTGTCCCCCACCCCCGATTTTGGGGTTGCGCCCAATCCTCCCCACTCCGCACTCAGAGCTCCCTAAGCCCCCTTTTGTCCTCTTCCCATCCCTCTCCCCAACTTTTGGGGTCCCTCCCCCAAATCCACCTCCCCCATTTTGGGGTCTCCCTGCCCTCCTCCTCTCCCTCAGCCCCTCCCTCGTCCCCCCCAATTTGGGGTCCCCTCACCTGGGGGCAGTGGAGGCGGCGGCCTGAGTCCAGCCTCGGGGTCCAGCATGTCCATGGGGGTCGTGGGGTGTCCTGGGGTGGGGAGGGGTAGGGGGGTCCCCAGGGATGGGGAGGGGGTCAGGAAAGCGGGGAGGGGCTGCAGGGGAGTGTCCCCTCGCCTTTGGTGGGGAGGGGGGTATCCCGGGTGTGGGGAGGGGTGCGGAGTGGGAGCGGGGGAGGGTGGGGATGGGCGGGGGGGCAGAGGCCCCGGGAAGGGGGAGGGGGGTTGGTTATTTTTTTGGTTTTTTTTCGGGTCCGGTCACGGGGCCAAACAGCGTCACGTGCGGCCTCCTCCCCCGCCGCCGCCGCCCCTCGCGCGGGGAGGGGGTCTCCTCCTCCCTCCTCCCCCCGCGGGTCGCCCTCCTCTCCCCCTCCTCCTCTCTCTCGCGACTGTCGCGACTTCCCGGCTCCGTCCGCGGCTTCGCGGGGCGGCGGCGACACCGGAACGATCCGGGCGGCGGCGGGGGAGGGGCGGGAGGGGAGGGGCGGGGGAGGGAGGGGGAGGGGCAGCGGCCGCCGGAAGGGGAGGGGCGGGAGGACGGCGGGCGTGGGGGAGGGGCGGAGGGGGCGGAGCTTCCGGGTCTGGCGATGGGGGGGGAGAGGGGGGAGCGGGAAGTGACCCGGAGGGAAGCGGGAAACGCCGGGAGTTGGACACCGGGAATTGCACACCGGGAAAGACCCGGAATCAAATACCGGGAAACACCGGGAAACACCGGGAAACGTTGGGAATCAAATACCGGGAAGCACCGGGAGAGAACAGGGAAAGACCGGGAGTTAAATACCAGGAAATACCCAGAGAGAAGCAGGGAACACCGGGAAAGAGCAGGAATTAAATACCGGGAAATACCCAGGGAGAAGCGGGGAACACTGGGAAAGACTGGGAATTAAATACTGGGAAACACCCGGAGGCAACTGGGAGACACCGGGAAGTACCGGAGAAAAACGGGAAATAAAGGAGGGATGCGGAAAATAAAGGAGGGAACTAGGAAAACCCCCCAGGGACCTCCCATAGATCTTGGAAATCGCCCTGGAGATCCTGGAAATCCCCCCCCCCTCTGGAAGCGCGTGGGATTTGGGGCGTGATCCCACAGATCTGGGAGAACAACCTCATTGATTCCAGAAATAGCTCATGGATCCTGGAAAACGACCTGTGGGTCCCAGAAATGCCCCGCAGATCCCAAAAAAATGAACTTGTAGGTGCCAGAAATACATTGTAGGTCCTGGAAATGCCCCATGGAAGTCGGGAAAACCCCATAGGAAGCAGGGGGAGTCCCTACAGGATCCAGGAGGATCCTAGATCCCAGGGAAGGCCCTGCAGGCTGCAGGAAAGGCCCTACAGAACCCAAAGGGACCCTACAGGGCCTGGAAGAGCCACTTTAGGACCTGGAAGTACTCTGTAGAATCCAGGGAATCCTCTGGAATCCCCTACAGCAACCCCAGGGGTTTGGGGGGGTTTAGAGCCCCCCAACTGTCCCCCCTCTTTATGCCCCTCCCCCCCTTTAGGGACCCCAATCCCCTCCAGGCAATTTCGGGTCTGTCCAGTTTATTTTGGGGGGGGTCTTGGGGTCAAAGGTCATGGTGTGGGGGGGTGGAGCTCGTTAAGGGCCGTTAATGAGGGAACAATAAATAATTACAGGGGGCGGGGCCTCAGGGTGGGGGGGCGTATCTGTTTCCTGGGGGCGGGGCCAGATGGGGATGGGCCAGGCCCTTATTGGACAGGTCCCTGTGAAGGGCGTGGCCAGAAGAGATGGGTGTGTCCATGAGGGGTAGGCGTGGTCAGAAGGAGAGGGCGTGGCCAGCAGAAGTTGGGTGTGTCCAGGAAGATATGGGCGTGGCCAGCAATGGGTGGGCGTGTCCAGGTCACAACAGGAACTTCAGGGCCCCAGTGGGCGTGGCCAGTAGAAAGTGGGCATAGCCAGCAGGAGGTGGGCGTGTCCAGGAGCAGGTGGGCGTGTCCATTAGGGTGGGCGTGTCCATCGGGGTGGGCGCGGTCACTTGACCCGGATCTCGGCGTATTCTGGGGGCTCCTCGGGGGGTCCCCGGGCGGGTTTGGGGGGCGGGGCCGGTTCTGGGGGTGCCCCCGGCCCCTCCCCACCCCCCAGCGCCCACCGTCCCACGGCCCCTCGGAGCCACTGGCCTGGGGGCACCGGGAGGCACCAAGGGGGCAGAGTCACCCTGTGTCCCCCCAGGGTTCCCCCACCCCCAAAATCCCCTTTGGGACCCCCCTGTGTCCCTCAGACCCCTCACGTGTCCCCCAGCCCTGTTTTCCGCCGTACCTCCAGGTTCCCTGGTGACCTCTCGTGTCCCCCCCACCCCACACAGCCCCTCTGGACCCCCCAGTTGTCCCCCCCTCACCTGCAGCGGGCGCCTCTCGGGGTCCCCCCCCTGCCCTGGGGGGGCCACCGGGGTCACCTCGGGGGCTCCCGACGCCTTCCTGTGGGGGATGGTGAGGGGCACTGTGTCACACATGACCTTTGACCCTGCTCCGCCCACCCCCCAAAATCCCAGCGGGATGTGACCAATCAGGGATGGGTGTGGGTTTTTCATGAGGGTGTGGCCTGTGGGGCGTGGTCTCTGGGGGAGGCGTGGCTTCCCCCACTGGGGTGTGGCCTCTGGTGGGTGTGGTACTTGGGGCGTGTCCAGGGGAGGTGTGGCATGTTTGGGGCGTGGCTTACAGGGGTGTGGCCCCCCAGTGGGTGGGGATGGGGGATGGGTAGAGGTCCCTCCTCCCAACGGGCATGTCCCCCCCCCCCCGCGGGTGTGGCCCCAGGTGGGTGTGGCCCCCGGTGGGCGGGGCCCGTGGGGGGCGGGGCTCACTTGCGGCGGCTCTGGCTCAGGTAACACACGAGGGCGATGACGACGGCGAAGGCCACGACGGCCCCGACCGGGCCCACCTTGGCCCAGACCAGCCCCGCTGGGGGCACAGGGGGAGTCAGAGGGGTCAGGGGGGTTAAGACTCCCCTCGAGGGGGAAACAACATCCCCCCCGGCGCAATAAACCCACCCCAGTGGGCTAAAAACCCTCCCCATCCCCTCCCCCCCAGCCTGGGGAATTCCCATGTTCCACCTCCCCTCTCTGCACCGCTGCCCAAGGTGACCCCCAGTTTTGCCCCCTTCGCCTCCCTTGTTGCCCAACGTGCCCCCCCATGTTGACCCAAGTGCCCCCGGGTGCCCCCGAGTGCCCCATGTTGCCCCAGGTGGCCCCAAGAGTGCTCCCCATGCCCCAGCTGCCCCCAAGGTGCCCCCGTGCCCCCCAAAGGTGCCCCCCATGCCCCCAAAGGTGCCCCCCATCCCTCACCGGGGTGGTGGAAGCGCAGCTGCTGCCGGGCGGTGCCGTGGGCGTTGCGGGCGAGGCAGAGCACGGCCAGCCGGGGCTCGAGGGTCCCGCGCAGGGTCAGCACCCCCGTCACCGTCCCGGGGCCCGTCCCGGGGCCGGGAACCCCCCCGGGAGTGGCCAGGGCGTAGTCCCGGTGCCCCTCGGCCACGGTGACGTTGTGGGAGGGCAGCTCGAAGGCCACCACGGGCTCGGGCACGGCCGAGGCGGCGCAGACGCACCGGGCCCCCTCCCCGACCGGGGTGCAGTGGGACTCAGGGAGCAGAATGGGGGGGTCTGCGGGGGGGGAGAGATTGAAATGGGCCCCAGAACTGTGTCCAGGGGACCCCAAAACACCAGAACTGCAGCCGGGGGACCCCAAAACCCCCCCAGACACCACAGGACACCCCAGAACTCCACCCAGGGGGAGCCCAAAACCCCCCCAACCACCACGAGACCTCCCTGAGCCCCCCCTTAATGACCCAAATACCACCCTTGGTGATCCCAGAACCCCTCCAGGGCCCCCTGAGGACAACCCCCTCCACCCCTCCAGCACTCCAAAGTGATGCTGAATGCCAGGCTGACCTCAAAACCCCCCAACCGCCCCCCCTGGGCCCCCCCTCACACTCCACGGTGATGTTGAAGGCCAGGCTGCTCCCCCCGTGCTGGTTCTCGGCCCTGCACAGGTACTCCCCGGCGTCTTCGGGCGTGGCCGCCGCCACCTCCAGGGTCACCTGGGGCTCGTACACGGCCGTGGCTACCACGCGGCGCCCGCGGGCCACCGTCAGGATGGGCGCGGGGTGGCTCAGGGCCCCGCAGGTGACGGCCACGGGGTCACCTGCCACCACCCACAGCGAGCCATTCAGCACCGGCGGGCGGGGGGCGTCTGGGGGGGAGAGGGAGGGTCAGGGGTCGCCGGCTGCTGGGGGGACACGGGAGATCCCCCTCCAAAAAGGGGTGACCCAGGAAAGAGAGGGGACGGCCCAAAAAGGACCCCCCGAAAGGGGCCCAGGATTGACCCCAGTTAGCTGGAGAAGGGACACGGCGAGGGGACGACACTTAAAGAGAGCGACACCCCCTCCCAACCTCCCCCAAAAAGGGGTGACCCTGGAGAGGCCCCGGCTGCCAGGGGGTGCCCTGAGGTGGTCCCACCCCCCCTCCACCCCCCCACTCACAGGCCACGTGCAGCTCGAGGCTCCGGTTGTGGCGGCCGTGCCGGTTCTCGGCCACGCAGGTGTAGGTGCCGCTGTCGCTGGGGCTCACCTGGGGCAGGTGCAGCCGCAGGGACGGGACCCCCGGCTCCTCCCGCAGCACCTGCGGCCCCCGGAACCACGAGAGCAGAGGAGGGGGGCGGCCCTCGGCCGAGCACCCCAACTCCACCTCGGCCCCCTCCAGCGCCTCGGGGGGCCCCGACACCTCCAGCACCTGAGGCTCATCTGGGCAGGAGGAAAAAGGGGGGATTTGGGGGAAATCCGGGTGACCAAGGGCACCCCCACCCCCCCAGTGATGTCCCCAGGGGCATCCCCGCTGCCACTGGTTGCACTGGGGGGGGGTCCAGGTGTGTCCCCCACCCAAAAGGGGTCCCAGATCCCCAAAATGGGGGAGGGGGAGAAGCCCCTCCCAAGTCTCCTAAAAAAGGGGACCCAGGTTTGGGGAAGTACCACGTGTTTCGGGGGGGTCCCAGGTGTCGAGGTGGATACAGGTGTGTGTGGGAAGGTCCCACGTGTGGGGGGGGGTCCAAGGGAGGTCCCAGGTGTTGAGGGTCCCAGGTGCCCACCGAGGTACCACTGGGGGGGGGTTCCCACCACTCAGAGCCCACCCCTTTCCCGCACTCACACTGCACATCGAGGGCGACGCTGGCGGCGAAGGCCAGGCTGGAGTTGGGCAGGGTCACCTGGCAGCCCACCCGGTGCCCCCCGAGCTCCCGGCGAGGCCGGAAGCGCAGCAGGGCCACGACGGAGCCGGCGCCGTTCGAGTCCTCGCGCGACTCCCGCTCGGAACGTTCCGGAAGGTCCTCGGCCCCTTCCCAGGACACTCGCGGGCGCTGCCGCGGGCATGAGTCGGGCACCCGGCACCGCAGCTCGGCCGGGACCCCCGCCACCACCTCGGGGGGCACCTCCAGCACCGGCTCCTCTGCGGGGGCAACGTGGTGGGTGGGGGGGCTCAGCTGGGGCAGGGGGACACACCCTGGGACACCCCCCGTGGGACTGGGGACAAGGACCCCAGGACAGCCTCCAGGATTGGGGATTAGGGGAAATGAGGGCCCAGGGGTGCAATGTCCCTGCCCAGCCACGAAAACAGGGCCCCAGTGCCCCACTTCCCCCTCCCCCCCCCCAAACCCGGGTCTCAGCCCCCCAGACCCACCTCCCCACCCTCAAACCAGGATCCCAATCCCCCAAACCTCCCTCCCCATCCCCAGACTGGGCTCCCAGACCCCCAACCCGGGGTCTTCCCCTCCCCAGCATCCCCCCTCCGCGGGACTCACCGAGCACCTCGAGCGTGGTGTGCTCAGGAGAAGCTGTACTGGTTGTAGCCCCCCAGGTCCCCCCTGAAGTAGTACCTGCCGGCCAGCTCGGGGCTCAGGGGCCCCAGGAGCAGGGAGCAGTCCCGCACTCCCGGGTCCCCCTCGAGCCGCGCCCGCCCCGCGAAGCTCTCGTGGACGGCGCCGGGGCGGGACCGGGCGACCACCGGGGGGTAGTTCTTGGGGTAGGGGCTGCCGAAGTACCAGAGCCCCTGCACGGAGCTGGGCCGGAGCTCCTCGGGGTACCCGAACCGACACGGCACCGACACGCACGACCCCGACAGCCCCGACACCGCCGGCGGCATCCAGGCGGCCCAGGAGCCCCCCGAGAGTCCTGGGGGGAGACAGGGCTGGGAATAACGGGGCTCTGGGGGTCCTGGGAGCCCCCCCGACAGCCCTGGGAATGGGGGTGGACGAGGGGGTTCCCCCGGGGCTCTTAAGGGCAGGGGGACACCACGGTTGGGGGGAGGGATGGAACAGAACCAGAAATGGGGATTTGGGGGTCCCAGCCCCTCCCAGTGCTCCCCCCCCCAAGTCCTTCCCAGTGCTCCCAGTACCTGGTGGCAGCAGCAGCAGCAGCACGAGGAGGGTGGAGGGGAGGGTGGTGACCACCGGCCTCATGGTGGGCGCTGGGGGACACGGGGGTCACCACAGTGCCACCCCAGTGTCCCCAGTGCCCCCAGTTGTCCCCATCCCTCCCCACCATCCCCGCTGTCCCCATTGTCCCCTGTCCCCCCACCACCTCCCGTGTCACTGTCCCCCATTGTCCCCATTGTCCCCAGTCGGTCCCAGGCGGTGCCGGGGCGGGTGACAACACCCGGCACTGCCCTCCTGACCCCCCTCCCGACCTCCCTGACCCCTCCGAGCCCCCTGAGCCCCCTCAGCCCCTCTGAGCCCCCACGCCGCAAATTCCTGACGTGCCGCCGTCACCCCACGGCCCGAGGGGACAAAGGGACCCTCTGTGTCACCCCCACCCCGACACCCCCGGGGGGGTCAGGGCGGCCGGGGGGGGACCCCGCGGGTTTGGGGGCGGCCCAGGGGTTTGGGGGGGTCTCAGGCCTTTGAGGGGATCCCAGCAGCTTTTTTGAGGGCCCCAGGAGTTTGGGTGGGTCCCAGAAGCCTTGGGGGTCCCAGGGGTTTTTGGAGGGGTCCCAGGGTTTTTGGGGGTCCCAGGGGTTTTGGGAGGGGGTCCCAGGGGTTTTGGGAGGGGGTCCCAGGGGTCTGGGGATGCCCCCCCATCCTTAGGCCCCAAGGGGACAGCACAGGGAAGCTCAGGGGGGTCTGGGGTGACCCTGCTGTCCTGGCGGTGCCATCAGGGCTACAACAGGACGTTTGTCCCAGCTCAGTGATGTCACCCTCGCCCCCCTTCCCGGGAGCAATGTGGGGGCACCCGGACAGCTGTGTCCAGGGGGGCCAGGAGGGGGATCCGGGAGTCAGGATCCCATGGAGACCCTTGGGACCCCAGATTTGAGAGGACTGGGGGCTCCCAGGGGTTAGGGGGTCCCAAGGATTGGGAGGGGCGCCAGGCCTCTGATAGGGGGTCTCAGGGGTTGTGGGGGTCCCAGGAAGTTGGAGGGGTCCCAGGTGTCTGGGCGGGAGGGGGCAAGGATTGGAAGGGACCCAGGAGCTGGGAGGGTCCCAGGGGTTTGGGGAGACCCAGACGTGTCCTCCCCCATCATCCCACCTACCGCTGTGGGTCTCGGGTGTCCGGGGCGTCCCAGGGTTCGGGGGTTCCCAGGGTCCGGGGCGTCCCAGGGGTCCGGGGATCCTGAAGGTCCGGGGGCCCCAGGGTCCTAGGGGTCCCAGGCGTCGGGCGGTGGCGGGGGTTGACTGTCGGGGCGGGGGAAGGACCGGGATTATGTACCGGGGAGGGGAGGCAGGGCCACCCCGACGTCTGGGACCGCCCGGCCCCCAGGCCCCCCCGTCTTCCCCCTCGGGCACCGCGGCCTTGGGTGACGTGGGGGGGGCCTGTGGCACCCGACGGCCCCGAGACTGTGACCCTCCCCGCCCCAAACCGGGGAACCCCCCCAAATTTCTGGGCCCCCCCCTCTAAACCTGGGTGTGTCCCCCCTAACCCAAGAGCTGAGCTCCTGGACACTTGGGACCCCCAAAATTCTGGGACCCCAAAACACCTGGGAACTCCCCGAAACACCTGGGACCACCACACACACCTGGGACCCCCACACACACCTGAGATCCCCCCCCAAAAACCACTGGGACCCCAAACACCTGGGAGCTCCCACACGGGACCCAAAACACCTCAGACCCCCAAACTCTCCCCAGGCCCACAATGGGCTCGCCCACACCTGCGGGGGGGGCGTGGCCGGTGGGGGTCGTGACCCGGAGAAGGGGCGTGTCCAGGTGCGCTGGCCACGCCCCCACCTGCGGGCCCATCATGGCGGCGGCGCTGGGAGCGCTGCTGGCGCTGCTCGGTGGGTGGGGGCAATTAACAGGGTCATTAAGGGCCCGGGGGGGCAATCAAGGGGATTGGGGGGGTAATTAAGGGTCTGGGGGGCAAGTAGGGGCTGGGGGTAATTAAGGGGTAAGGGCAGGGCTGGGGGGGACAGTTGGGGCGCTTGGGGCTAATTGAACGGGTAATTAAAGGCCTGGGGGCAGTTAAAGGGCTGGAGGGTAATTAAGGGCCTGGGGGTAATCGAGAGGGTAATTGGGGCTGAGGGGGCCTGGGGTAATTTGGAGGGGCACGTGGGGCTCCGGGGCAATTAAGGCCTGGGGGTCGGTTAAATTAGGAGGGTCATTAGGTTTAATTAAGGGGAGCACCTGGGAGGGCAAAAGGGGGGAGTGGGGGTCGGGGTGGGGGGACAGCAGGTGACACTGACCCCTCCGCCCTCTCCCCCCCAGCCCCTTGTGTCACCCCCCTGCAGGTGACAGTCCCCGACCCCCGCACGGTGGCCCTGCTGTTCCAGCCGGTGCTGCTCCGGTGCCAGTTCCAGGTGGGGACCCCCGGGCCGCCCCCCATCGTCACCTGGAAGTACAAGTCCTTCTGCCCCTCCCCCGCCTCCGGGGACACCTGGGGGGGCCCCGAAAGCGCCGCCGGGGGGGGGGACACGCTGGGGACCTGCCCCGACTCCGCCAGGACCGTCCGGATCGTGGCCACCAAGCAGGGGGACGTGGTGACGCTCGGGGACTTCTACCGGGGCCGGGCCGTGACCATCCGGGGAGGTGACACACCTGGGGACACACCTGGGAGAGTGACACACCTGGGGACACCCAGGACACGCCTGGGGGGGTGACACACCTGGGGGGGTGACACACCTGGGACACACCTGGGGGGGGTGACACACCTGGGGACACCTGGGAACACACCTGGGGACACCAGGGACATGCCTGGGGGGGTGACACACCTGGGACACACCTGGGGGGGGTGACACACCTGGGGACACCTGGGAACACACCTGGGGACACCTGGGACACACCTGGGGGGGTGACACACCTGGGGATATGCCTGGGGACACCTGGGGGGTGACACACCTGGGGACATGCCTGGGGTGGTGACACACTTGGGGACACCTGGGACACACCTGGGGATACCTGGGGGGGAAAATGGGACACTGGGGGGATACACACCTGTCTCACCTGTTCCCAGGTGCAGAGTTCACTTGTCTCACCTGTCCATCTCACCTGTATCTCACCTGTCCCTCTCCTGTCCCACCTGTCTCAGCTGTGCCCAGGTGCAGAGCTCACCTGTGCCTCACCTGTATCTCACCTGTCCCACCTGTCTCAGCTGTGCCCAGGTGCAGAGCTCACCTGTGCCTCACCTGCATCACCTGTATCTGACCTGTGCCTCACCTGTCCCTCACCTGTCCCACCTGTGCAGGTGCAGAGCTGAGCCTGGGCCCGGCCGCGTGGGGCGACAGCGGCTTCTACATCTGCACCGTCACCTCCACCCAGGACCTGCAGGGCAACAACGAGGCTGTGGCTGAACTGGTCGTGCTGGGTGAGACTGGGGGGCACTGGGAGTGCGCTGGGAGGGACTGGGGGGGCTGCGAGAGCACCTGGGCTGGACTGGGAAGCGCTGGGAGGCGACGGGAGGCACTGGGGCTGTACTGGGAGGCACTGGGAGTGTGTTGGGGGGCACTGGGGCTGTGCTGGAGAGCACGGGTTGTACTGGGGGGCACTGGGAGGCACTGGGGCTGTACTGGGAGGTGCTGGGGGGCTCTGGGTCTGTACTGGGGGGCACTGCGGCTGTACTGGGAGGCACTGGGGCTGCACTGTGCCCCCCCCCGTGTCCCCCCCGTGTCCCCCCCAGGGTCTCTGCCCGAGGGCACCCGACTCCTGCCCGAGGGGACCCTGCCAGGCACGGGGGGCACTGGGGGCACTGGGGGCACTGGGGGCACTGAGGAGGGTTGGTTTTCTTTTAAAGGGATTTTGGGGGTTGTGGATGTTTTGAGGGGGTTGGGTGGGTTTTTGGGGGTTGGGGTTTGGGGGATTTGGGTATCTTTAGGGTTTTTGGGGGGAGATTGGAGGTGTTTGGGGTTTTTTTAGGGTGGGTTTGGGGAGCGTTCGGGGTTGAGTGTGTTTAGGGGCGCTTTGGGGCAGAGGGTTTTGGGGGAAGGGGTTGGGGGTGTGAGGGGGTTTTGGGGCAGGGGTTTTGGGGAGGGGGCTGGAGGGTGTGTGGGAGGAGGTTTGGGAATTTTTGGAGTGGTGTTTGGGGGTGCTCAGGGGTCCCTGACCCCCCTCCTGCTCCCCTTCTGCCCCCCTCCCAGACTGGCTGTTCGTGGCCCTGGTGGCCCTGGGAGGTGTCCTGGTGGCCCTGGGGGTGGGGCTGTGCTGGTGCCAGTGCTGTCCCCACACCTGCTGCTGTTACCTGCGCTGCCCCTGCTGCCCCCAGACCTGCTGCTGCCCCGAGGCCCGTGAGTCACCTGGGGGGGCGTTTGGGGGTCCTGGAGTCACCTGTGGGCATCCCTGGGCTCACCTGGGAGGGAACTGGGGGTCCCTGGGGTCACCTGGGGAGGTATCCATGAGGTCTTTGTGAGAGGGCTCGGGGTGTGTGTGGGGTGTTGGGGGGGATCCCTGGGGGGGTTATGGGGTCCCTGGGGGTCTCTTGGTGGGGGGGAAAGGGGGACACACCTGGACACACCTGTGTCCCCCCCCCCACAGTGTACCTGGCAGGGAAAGCGGCAACGTCGGGGGGCACCTTCAGCCCTGCCCCCCCCACGCTGGCCCTGCAGCTCCTCGGTGAGTGACGGGGGGGACACACCTGGGACACACCTGGGCCACACCTGGGCCCCCCAGGTGACCCCCACCTGCCCCCACAGGGAGCAGCCAGAGCTCTCAGGTGCCGCTGCTGAGGGACAGTGATGGGAGCGTCGTGTCAGGTGAGGGGGGAGAGGGACAGCCGTGACTGGGAGGGACTGGGGACACTGGGGGGCTCTGGGGCTGCACTGGGAGGCACTGGGGCCACACTGGGACCCCTCTGTGCCTCTACCCCCCCAGGCCCCTCAGTGCCTCCCCCCACCGTCCTGCGCTACCTGGAGCAGAATTTGGCCACCTGGGACCCCGCGGGGCAACCCCCCCACTGGAGAGCAGGTAAGTTTGAGGGGGTAAGGAGGGGGAAATTCCCATCCTGGGGGGGAAATTTAAGCCCCCCTTTGGGAAATTATTTGCCCTCCTGACTCACACCGCCCCCTCCTCATTTCACCCCCCAGGACCCCCCTCGGGACCTGCCCCCAGTGACATCAGCTCCTTGCACGAGGCCTCCTGGACCCCCGGCGCCCCGGAGCCCCCGGAGCCCCTCAACCCCGCCCCGACGACCCCGGAGCCCCCAAGGGGCCCCTGAGCCCTCCCGGGGCCGCTGGCGCTCGGCTGAGGTTCTGGGGGCTCTGAGTTCGGGAGGAGTCACCCCCAGCCCGACCCCCCCACGCTCCCGCGCTCCCGGGACGATCTGCTGGGGATCTCAGACCCCCTCGGAACCCTTCCGGACTCCCGGCGCCTCCGCAAGGTAGGAGAGGGTCAGGGGGCTCAAGGGATTTTGGGGTGGGCAATGGGGGATTTCAGGGTGTCTGGGGGCTGGGGGTTCTCAGGGGTCAGTTTGGAGGGGGACAATAGGAGGGTTTGGAGGGGGTGTGGGGACGGTGTGGGGTGCTCTGGGAGGGTCTGGGGGTGTTTGGGGGGGTTGGGGTCTCACTCTCACCCCTGTCTCTCCTCCCCAGAACGATGCCCTGAGCCGCGAGAGCCTCGTGGTGTGACCGGGAACCCCCCAAGATCCCCAAAGCTCCTCCTCCCCTGCCCGGGGCTGTTTCTGGGGCCGTTCAGGGATTTTTTACAGTGCCTTGTTTTATTCTTCGGTTGTTTTTTTTTTTTTTTTTGGGGTCAAATAAAGGATTTTTAGAGAAAACTGGACTGGGTGATGTCATCAACCCCTCGGTTACAAAACTGGGGAGAAAAGGGGGGGCTCCTTGGGAGGGGGCGGGGGTGGGAACACCATGAGAGGGAGTTTGGGGTCCCCGGAGGGGATCTGGGGGATCCCGGCGTAATTTTGGGGGGGATTTTGGCGGGAACTGGGGAGTGGGCGTGACCGCTGGACATCGCCCCACCCACGGTGGGCGTGACCGGTGAATGATTGGCTCTGGAAGTGGGCGGGGCCTGGCCTCGTTCCCGTCAGGCCCTGCGGCCGCGCCGCGACCCAAAAAAGACGAAAATCACCCCAAAAAAACCCCCAAACCTCCCCAGGAACCCCCCCGGGACGCCCCGGCCCCGCCATGACCCTTTTCCACTTCGGGAACTGCTTCGCCCTCGCCTATTTCCCCTATTTCATCACCTACAAGTGCAGCGGCCTGTGAGGGACTGGGGACACTGGGAGGGACTGGGGACACTGGGGGGACACTGGGAGGGACTGGGGACACTGGGGGGACGCTGGGGGTGGACTGTGAGGAACTGGGGACACTGGGGCAGTGGGAGGGTGCTGGGGGGACAGTGGGAGGGGACTGGTGGCACTGGGGGGACACTGGGAGGGGACTGGGGGGGCACTGGGGGATACTGGGAATGGGTCTGGAGGGGCTTTGGGAGGCGTCCAGGTGTCACTGGGCAGGATGGGGGAGGTGTTACTGGTGGTTACTGGTGTCATTGGTGGTTACTGGTGGTTACTGGTGTCCCAGGTCGGAGTACAGCGCGTTCTGGCGCTGCGTCCAGGCCGGAGCCACCTACGTACTGGTGCAACTGGGAAAGGTGGGGGCGCAACTGGGACCCCCCTCGAGATCCCCCCAAAACACCTGGGACCCTCCAAACACACTTGGGAGTCCCCTGGGACTCCCTAAACACACCTGGGATCTCCCTGGAACCCTCCAAAGACACCTGGGACCCCGCTGGAATCCTCCAAACACACTTGGGAGTCCCCTGGAACCCCCTAAACACACCTGGGACTCCCTAAACACACCTGGGATCTCCCTGGAACCCTCCAAACACACCTGGGATCCTCCAAACATGCCTGGGACCCCCCTGGGACCCCCCCGGACACAGCTGGGACCTCCATGGGAGAGTTTTGGGGTCAGCTGGGCTGGTTTTTGGGGGTCCCACACTCCTGAACCTCCCCGGGGTGCGTGTGGAGGGGTGTTGGGGGGGTCACCTGTGTGTTTGTGGGGGTCTCTCACCTGTCCCTCCCTCGGCCCCCCCCAGATGCTGTTCTTGGCCACCTTCTTCCCCACCTGGGAGGGGCCATCGGGGGGCTATGACCTGGTTGGGGTAAGTTTTTGGTGGGCCCCAAAAAAAAGAGGGGAAGGGCTGAGGGGGCTGCAAGGGGGAGGGGGAGTATTTGTGGGGTTCCCAGGGGGACCCTCGGGTCCCCCCAAATCTCTGGGGATTCGGGGGTCCCACAGGGGTTGGGAGTGCCTGGGGTAGGGGGAGGTCTCAAGGGGTTTTGGGTGTCCCGGAAGGATTTTGGGAGTCCTAGGGAAATCTGGGAGTCCTGCCATGGGGAGTTGGGTGGGGGGGTGTCTCAAGGGATTTTTGGGTGTTGTGGGAGGATTTTGGGGGTCCCAGGGCTCCCCCAGAGATGTGGGGGGTCCCGGGGGTGCCCCAAGGAGGCAGAGGGGGACTTTGGGGGAGGGCACCTCCTCCAGGTGTCCCCCCCAAAAAAAGGGAGCTGTTCCCCCCTTTACCCCTAAAACTTTTCCCTCTCATCCCCTGCACCGCCTGACTTCCCCCTTGTGCCCCCTCACGTCCTCCCCCAAAATTCTCTCCAAATCTCTCCTTTTCCTCCCTATTTCCCCTCCCACCCCCCTGTTTTTCCCTCTCTTTTCCCTCCCGTTCCACCCTGCTGTGCCCCCCAGGAGTTCCTCCGTGCCACGGTGGACGTGGCGGATCTGGGGGGGCTGCAGCTGGCGCTGGGCCGGGGTGGGGGCCGAGGGGAGCTGCGGATCCTCGTGGCCGCCCTGGGCTGGGCCAGCGCCGAGCTGCTCACGGCCAGGTGGGCTGTTGGGGGGGCTACAGGGGTTGGGGGCACTTGGAGGGGTTTGGGGGGTGATTGGTGGGACTGGGTGGGCTGGGAGGGGGTTTTGGGGGTCCTGGGGAGCATTGGGAGGAGCTCTGGGGGCTGGAGGGGCTTTGGGGCACCTTTAGGGGGCTGTAAGGGGTCCATGGAGGGTTGGGGGGCTTTCGAGGGGGGGTCTCTGATCCTCTTGACCCCCATCTCACCTGCCCAGGGTGGGGGGAGGGATTACGGGGGGGCTTTAGGGGGGTCTCTGGGCCTCCCTTGACCCCTCCTCACCTGCCCAGGTGCGTCCCCCTCTGGGTGGGGGCGCGGGGGGTCGAGTTTGACTGGCGGCACCTCCAGATGGGACTGGACTCCAACATCAGCCTGGTGAGGGACTGGCAGGGGCACCGCGGGCAACTGGGAGCACCTGGGGGAGCACTGGGAGGGGCTGGGTGGTAACTGGAGATTGCTGGGGGCACTGATGCATCACTGGGGGGCACCGGGCAGTAATTGGAGGTCACTGGGCAGTAACTGGAGGTCACTGGGGGGCACCGGGCAGTAAACTGAGGGGCACTGGGCAGTAATGGGAGGTCACTGGGCAGTAATGGGAGGTCGCCGGGCAGCACTGGTCGGTCACTGAAGGTCTCTGAGGGGCACTGGGCAGTAATGGGAGGTCACTGGGGGTTACCGGTCCCTGCCCAGCTCTCACGGCCCTCACCTGTCCCCAGGTGCGCCACGTGGCTGCGGCGCGCTGCTCTGGGCCTCGGGGCGCCAGGACCTGCCGCCGCACCTGCGGCTGCCGCTGGGGGGGCTCCTGGTGGCCGCCGCCTACGAGGGGCTCCTGGCGGGCTGGGCCGGGCAGGCGCTGGGCCTGGGGCCCTGGGGGGCCCTGGGGCTGCGGGCGCTGGGGGCGGCGGCGCTGGGGCTGGGGGCCCTGCGGCTGCTCGTGCCCCTCCTGCCCCCGCCGTGACACCCCCAGGGCTCGCCTGTCCCCAGTAAACCCACCTGGGACACTCCTGTCCCCAATAAACCACCTGGGCCACACCTGGAGCAGCCCCGGAGCTTCATTGGGGTGTGCGGCAGGGGACACACACACACATGTACTGTGGGGGGGGGCCCAGGTCCTTTCACGTTTCCTGCCATTTTCCCCCCTCGTTTCCTGCCATTTCCCCCTCACATTTCCCATTTTCCCCTCACGTCTCCCACCCTTTTCCCCCTCATTCCCCCATTTCCCCATGTTTCCTCCATTCCCTCATTCCCCGTCCATTTCCCCCTCATGTTTCCCATCATTTTCCCCCTCATGTTTCCCGCCATTTTCCCCCCTCATGTTTCCTCCATTTTCCCCCCTCACGTTTCCCGCCATTTTCCCCCCTCACGTTTCCCGCCATTTTCCTCCCTCATGTTTCCCGCCATTTTCCTCCCTCATGTTTCCCGCCATTTTCCTCTCACATTTCCCACCCACACGCACTGTAGGGACCCCATAGATTCCCCAAAGCCCCCCATAGAGCCCCACAGGCCCCTGTGCTCAGCCCCATCTGGGGGGGCAGAAGGGGCTGGCTCTGTTCCCCCAACCCCAGGACACCACGAGACACCCCACGAAGACCCCCGAGACCCCCAGGGCTGGTGCCTTTATTAAGGAGGGGACACACACGCCAGAGTGGGGACATACACACCGGGGGGGTGTCCCCCAGTTTCGGAGGTGGGGGGGGTCACTGCTCCCCCTGCCACCAGTGGTAGAGCTGGTCCGTGAGGATCCCGGTGTAGGTGACCACGGCTGCCGAGCCCTGTTCGTACGCGACCCTGGGGGTGCACGGTGTTGGGGGGGAATAAGTTGGGGGTTTTGGGGTGACCCCAGGAATTTGGGGGGTTTTTGGAGGGGAGGGGGTGTCCTTACCGGATCCGTTGCTGGGCCGCGGGGAGGCTGAGGCGCTCCAGGAGGTTCTCAGCCGCCTTGCCCACGTGGCCCAGGTAACCTCGGAGGTGGGTCAGGGGGCCCAGGGCGGGGCGAGGGGCGGAGGGGCAGCGGTGGTGGCTGTGGGGGACGGGGTGTGAACTGGGGGCTGGAGGGTTGGGTGTGATGCGGGATGAGACAGTTTGGGGGTGGTGGAGGGTGTTTGAGGGCACAATGGGGGTTATGGGGTGTTTGAGGCACAATGGGGGTGTGAGATGGGCCGGGGTGATGGGGAGTGTTTGGGGCACAATGGGGGTGTGAGATGGGCCAGGGGGTGATGGGGGGTGTTTGGGGGCACGATGGGGTGTGAGATGGGCCAAGGGGGTGATGGAGTGTTGGGGAGCACGATGGGGGTTAGGGGGCTGTTTGAGGGCATGATGGGGGTGTGAGATGGGCCAGGGGGTGATGGGGGTGTTTGGGGCACAATGGGGGTGTGAGATGGGCCAAGGGGTGATGGGGGTGTTTGGGGCACGATGGGGTTATGGGGGCTGTTTGAGGGCATGATGGGGGTGTGAGATGGGCCAGGGGTGATGGGGGGGTGTTTGGGGCACGATGGGGGTGTGAGATGGGCCAGGGGTGATGGGAGTGTTTGGGGCACGATGGGGGTGTGAGATGGGCCAGGGGGTGATGGGGTGTTTGGGGGCACGATGGGGGGTGTGAGATGGGCCAGGGGGTGATGGGGGTGTTGAGATGGGTTGAGGAGGCCTGGGGGGGTTGAGGTGTGGGGCTGGTGGAGGTGATGGGGGACTGGGGAGTTAGGGGAGTTGGAGCTGGGTCAGGGCCCGAGGGGAGGTTGGGGGTGCGGTGGGGAGCGCTCGTGTTCCCTTGGGAGCGATCAGGGTGCTGGGAGGGTGTGGAGGTGCCGGGGGGATTGGTGTTTTGGGCGCTTGGGGGACATTTGGGGTGCTTGGAGGGGGGGGTTGGGGTGTTCTGGGAAAGGATTTGGGGTACCTGGGGCATGGGTCAGGATGTGGGGGTGGTCAGAATACCCCGGGGAGGGTCTCGGAGGCTCAGGGAGGGGCAGGATGGGGGATGCTGGGAGGATGGGGAGTTTGGGGTGCCCGGGGAGGAAATTGGGGTGCTTTGAAGGAGTGGGGGTCAGGGTATCCCAAATGGGAGGGGGTCTCCCCCAAAGTTGGGGGTTCTCACCTGAGCACAGCAGCAGCAGCAGCAGCAGGAGCGACGCCGCCATCAGCCCGGGGCGGGCCCAGGCCATGCTGTGTCCTGGGGACCCCAAACTGAAGGAGGGCCCCCCAAACCAACCCCCTCACAAAGAACCCCACCCCTCTTCCCCCGCCTTCTCTCCAGATTAGCCACCCAAGAGCTCCCCAACCTCCTCCTCCCCAGTTTCCCAACCTCCGACTCGCCCTTCCCAAGGATTTTGGGGTTTGCCCCCTCCCTTACCCCCAGAAGACCCCCCTGCCAAAACCCACCGGTGGTGGTGGGGCCGCTCCGTGTCCCTCCCTCGTGGGGCCCCCATTTATCGGGGTGGGGGGCGGTGCCGAGGGCAGGGAGGGGATTTTTGGGAGGAGGGGGGCAAAGTCCAGGTAAACACAGGGGGAGGGGTCCTGGGTGGGGCCTGGGGGGGAAATGGGGGAAAAGCAGAGTGGAGGGGCAACCCCAGCTGCCTCAACCCCTTCCTCTGCCCAAAACCCACTTTGGGTGCCCTAAAATCCCAACCTCCCTCTGCCCCATGGGCCCCCCAACTTCATCCATGGCCCTTCAAGCCCCACACTCCCCCAAAAGGCCCCCCAAACCCGCTCCCCCTTCCCCCCTGCTTTGGCCCGTCCCCGCATGGGGGTCCGGGAGGGTCCTTTTGGGATGTGCTGAGACTTTTGGGGTGCATGGGCTCTATTGGGGTTCAGAGGGTGGTCTGTTGGGGTGCCCTGAGCCCTTTTGGGGTGTGGGTTGTCGTTTTGGGTCACTCCTCGCCCTTTTTGGGGTGCAGGGGCTCTATTGACATTCAGGGAGACTCGGGGGGGGAGGTGCTCTGAGCACTTTTGGGGTGCACTGAGCCCTTTTTTGGGGTGCAGGTTGTTGCTTTGGGGCATCCTGAGCCCTTTTTGGGGTATGGGGCTCTACTGAGGTGCAGGGAGAATCCTTTTGGGGTCCCTTGGAGCATCTCCTTGGAGCTCTGAGAGTCCTTTTTTAGAGTTGCTCTCCATTGGGGTGCTTTGAGCCCTTTTGGGGGTGCGAGGGTGTTGTTTCGTGGGCGCTCTGAGCCCTTCTGGGGCCGGGGTGGCTTTGGGACATGGGGTGTGGTTTTGGGGTGCCCCGAGCCCCTTTTTGGGTGCCTCCCCCCCCAAGCAGACCCACACGTGGAGCATTTCCATCATCGTTTATTGCGGCTCCTCCAACAACCCCCAATCTCAGGCCCCGCGCACGGATTCCGGGGCGCTCCCCCTCAATCCTGGGGGTCCCAGGGGGTCTCGGGGATCCCCCAGAGGGCCCTGAGGGCGGCGACCCCCCCGTCCCAGCGCTTCCTCAGCTCCTCCGCGTCCCGGTTCAGCCTCTTGCGCAGCTTTCGGGCGAACGAAGCCCCCCGGGCCTTCAGGTCCCCCCAGCTCTGCTCCAGCAGCGCCTTCGCCTCCACCCCGTACTCGGCCGCGCGGTCCCGCGCCTCGTTCCGCAGCGCCCGGAACTCCCCCACCACCTGCCTGCGAGGGAAAGCGGACACAGGGTCAGTCTCCAAGTGCCTGTGGGGCCCCAAATTCCTAAAGAGTCCCTATGGGGTCCCTGTGGGGTTTGTGGGTGCCCTGTGCCTCGTCCCGCAGCGCCCAGAACTCCCACACCACCCACCTGTGGGGAAACTGGGGCATGAAGTCGGTTTGGGGGTCCCTGAATCTCTACTCCCCCTCCTCCACTTTGGCCTCCCCCCCCTTTATGGGGGTGCTGCTTTTCCCCTCCCCATTTGGATGGTCCCAGGGCCCCCCTCGCCCTCCTCTTTGGGGTATTCCTACCCATTTTTGGGATCCAGGCCCACCCCCACTGTGGGGTGTCTCCCCCAGTTTCTGGGGTCCCCCCACTCACTGCAGCCGCTGCACCACGGGGGTCTCCCGCAGCCGCTCCGTCGCGTTCTCAGCCGCTGCCTCCAGGACCGCCAGGACCCTCCAGACCCGCGAGGGGGGCCGAGGTGGGGTGGGGGGCGCGGGAGTGGCTAGTTCGGCCCCGCAGCCTGTGGAGAGAGGGCTCAGGGTCACTTTGGGGGGGATCACCCCAAAATCCCCTTCTGTCCTTGGGGCACCCCAATATCCCACCCCCACCTCCAAATCCCCCTCCTGAATTCGGGGGGGAAACCCCGAAATCGCCCTCCCCCCTCCCCAGTTTGGGGGCAAATTAAGGGGGTTTTTCATAAGGTGGGGGTGACATTGAGGGGGATGATATTGGGGGACATTTTCGGGGGGGTGACACTCACCTGCCAGCAGCGTTGCTGCCACTAGCGCGACCCAGAGCTTCATGGTGGCACCTGGGGAGGGTGCACAGAGGGGTTGGGGTAAGGGCCACCCCAAAAAGACCCTCCAAAGGGTCCCTGGACTGTCCCAAACCCATACTCTTGTCCCCCCAAATAGGGCCCAAATGCCCCCAACCCACTTTGTCCCATCCCCAAATTGTCCCCAAATGTCCCCAGCCCACCCTGTTCCATCTCCAAATTGTCCCCAACCCCCCCAATTATCTCCTCCCCCTTGTCCCCAAATGTCCCCAGCCCCTCCCCCAGCCTGTTCCCCCTCCTCACCTTATGGGGTCCCTCCGGCTCCGACCCCCCCTTGGGGAGGGTCCCTAAATATCCCCGGGTGGGGCAGGGCAGGGGAGGAGCCCAAGTGACCTTTGCCCCCGCGCCCCTCCCCCCCTGCACCCCAGCAGCGCGGGGGGAGAAGGGGGAAACACCCCAAAACCCCTCCTCCAACCCCTTTATCCCCACAAAACACCCCAAAATTGGGATGTGGGGGGGGATGAAGGGGTGGGGGATGGGGGTCACCCCCAGCCCATGCTGTCCCTTCCCCCGCCCCTCCCCCGGCACGGCCCCCTGGACTTGGGACACGACGTGGCAGGGGGGGAGGGGCAAGGTCCAAGCAGGGGGGAGGGGCACCCCAGAACTGGGGGTCGAGGGGGATAATTTGGGGGAGGTGAAGCCCCCCAAAATGTGTGTGGGATCCCGCCCGAAATGGGGCAGGGACGAACCTCCAAAACCCAGGGTGACCCCTCCCTCCCCAAAAACCAGAGTGACCCCCCTCGTCGGGAGAACCCCCTAAATGGGGACTGGGGTGACGGCCTGAACCCCTCAAACCAGCTCGGGGGGGAGGCAAATGTCACCCTCCGTTCACTGTCCCAGGGGCTGGGACCCCTCCCAAATTGGCTCTTGGGGCCCCAAAATTGGTGTTTGCCCTCCCTCCCCAAATTGGGGACCCACAACGATGTGGGTGGGGCTGTTCTGGCAGCCACCCCCCCCCCACCTCCAAATTCGGGGTGACCTTGAGGTGGTTTTGGGGTACAGAGATACCCCCCCCCCAATAACCTGAGGTGCTCCCTCTGCCGATATCAGGCCCCCTGGTCAAATACTGTGGGGAGTGCCCCCATATCAGGATCACCCCATGCCCCTCCTCCCTCCTCCCTGTTTTTTCGGTTGTTTTTTTTTGGAGTGGGGGGATTTTGGGAACAACAGGGGGGGGAGAAGACGTACCTGCCCCCGCCGCCAAAAACAGCCGACACCCCCAAACCCGAGGCCAGTTGCTTTATTGGGAGCCCCCCTTGCTGAGAGGGGGCCCCCCAATCTTTGTTTGGTGGGGGGGGGGCACTGAGAGGCCCCCCAGTGTTTTTTTTTTGGGTGGGGGTCTGGTCTCCTTGTGACCCCCCCTTGAACCCCAAAATCCATCCAGTCTCTGAGGGGTCCTCTGGGGGAAGGGGTGGCAAGAATTGGTCTCCCCCCTCCTCAACTCCTGAGGGGAGGGGGGCGAGTCCAGGTGCAGGGGGGAAAACCACCAAAAATGGCTTTGGAAGGGAGGGGGGGCTGCCGGCAGCTGGGGGGGGCCAGGGAGAGAAGGAGGAAAATGAAGATGGAGAGGAGGAGGAGGAAGAGGGTGAGGGTAGTGAGGAGGAGGGGGAAAGGGGCTGAGGATGATGAGAGTGATGATGAGCAGGACGGCAGCGATGAAGAGCACGAGGAGGAGGATGGGGGTCCCGGCTGATGGTGAGGATGATGATGCGGCCCCTCAGCTGATGGTGAGGCCGAGGAGGAGGAGGGTGGGACCCCTCAGCCGACAGTGAGGCCGAAGGTGAGGATGAGGAGAGCAAGGAGGACCTTCAGCCAATAGTGAGGATGAGGATGGATGATGATGATGAGGTCCCTCAGCTGATGGCGAGGCCAAAGGTGAGGATAAAGAGGATGACGAGGGCCCTCAGCCGATGGCGAGGCCGAAGGTGAGGATGAAGAGGATGACGAGGGCCCTCAGCCGATGGCGAGGCCGAAGGTGAGGATGAAGAGGATGACGAGGGCCCTCAGCCGATGGCGAGGCCGAAGGTGAGGATGAGGAGGGTGGGACCCGTCAGCCGATGGTGAGGCCAAAGCCACAGTGGAACTTGTCCTTGCGGTGGTTCAGGAAGGCCCCGAGCGCCAAGGTGAGGGGCAGCGGCGGCAGCTTCTTCTCCAGCACTGCCCCCACCTGCCACGAGCTGTCCAGGGACCCTGGGGGGACATTGGGGACATCAGGGACACCGTGGGGGGTCACAGAGGACATTGGGGACATCATGGGAGGGGGGCATTGACAGGGGCATTGGGGACATCCAGGGGGCCCCAGGGGACACAAAGGGGGTTGCAGAGCACTGAGGGGATGTGGGGACACCTCAGGGACACCTTGGGGGACCCATTCCCCCCTCCCTCACACATCAAACCCATCTTTGGGGTCCCCCTTCTCTCCCCTTCCCCTTTATTTTTTGGGGTGTCCCCCCACTCCTCCATTTTTGCTCTCTGGCATCCCAACCCTTTCCTCCCCCTCTTCCTTCCTTCTCCCCTATTCCACTACCTCCCCCCTCCATTTTTGGCCCCCCACTCGTACCCCGGAACAGCAGGTTCCCCCGGGGCAGCTCCAGCTGGTACCCGAAGGCGACGCTGGAATCCTGGAGCCTCGTGCTGGCCTCGAACTCCACTCCCACCTGCAGCTGGGGGGGCACCTGAGGTGTCAGACCCCCCCCAAATATCCCAGGTAACAGCCCCCACACACACACCTGGGGTCAGACCCCTCCAAATCCAGGGTCTCCTCTGCTTTGGGATGTCCCCCTTCCATTCTGGAGTCTTACCCCTTGTTTTAGGAATGCTGTCCCCCATTTCTGGGGTCTCCCCCATCTTTGGGGTCTCCTCCCCCATTTTTAGGGTTCCAACCCCCATTTTCAGGGCCCCACCCCCTGTTTTTGGGGTCCCCCGTACCTGCTCGCTGGCTCGGTGGTAGTAGGTAGCGTGAGCCCCCGCCTGCCCCAGCGTGAGGGTCCCGATCCACGTGGGGGCTGGTGGGGGATTTTTGGGGTCACCCCAGGATTTGGGGTCCCCCGCAGCCCCCCCCTCCCCGGGTTTTGGGGTCCCACCTGTGCAGGGCTTTAGGGTCCCACCTGTGTAGGGGCTTGGGGTCCCTGTGCAGGACATTTTTAGGGTCCCACCCATGCAGGAGGTTTTTAGGGTCCCCCCCAGGGTTTTTGGGGTCCCACCTTTGTAGGGTTTTGGGGCTCTCACCTGTGTAGGTGTTTGGGGTACCTGTGTAGGGGATTTTTGGGGTCCCACCCATGCTGCCCCTGGGTTTTGAGGTCCCACCTGTGCAGGGGATTTTGGGGGTCCCCTCCCACACCCCCAGGGTTTTGGGGTCCCACCTCCGCAGAGGGTTTCTGGGGTCCCATGCACAGCCCCCCTGGGGTTTTGGGGTCCCACCTGTGTAACGCCCAGCCAGGGACACCACGGCCCCCTCCTCTCCTGGGCGCCGGTGATAGACCAGCTCCCCCCCCAGCGCCAGGGTGGGGGTCACGCTCTGCAGGTAATGGGCCACCAGGATCCCTGCAGGGGGAGGGGACAACAGCCCAGAAATGAGGGCTGAGGGTCTGTGAGGGAGGGGGCACCCCTCTCTCCCCCTCCCTGAGAGACTGGGGGGCTCCCAAGCACACAGATTTTGGGGAAGACCCCAAAACGGGGCTTGCCTTCTCCCCCCACCCCAGGGATTGGGAGAGTGCGATTCTGGGGGCTCCACCAAACCCCCCAGATTTTGGGGTCCCCCCCTTCACCTGATACCAGGATTTGGAGGTCCCTCCTCTGCTGATCCCAGCAGGATTTTGAGCCCCCCCCTCACCTGATCCCAACAGGATTTTGCCCCCTCTCCTGTACCTGATCCCATGGAGGGTTTTGGGGGTCTCCCGTCCCTGATCCAAGCAGGATTTTGGGGCCCCCCCCTCACCTCATCCCAGCTGGATTTCAGGCCCCCCCTCACCTGATCCCAGCAGGATGTCGGGGTTCCCCAGGGTCAGGGCAGCCGTGAAGTCGCCCCCCCGATACTCCCCGTCCACCTGCCAGTTCACGAACTTCGCCTGCTGGGTCTGCAAAGGTAGGGGAGGGAGACACAAACACACCCCAAAACCTCAGGATGGCCCCCTCCCCTTCTCTGGGGGTCCCCCATTTTTGGGGGTATCCCCCCCTGTGTACAGGTCTTTCCCCCACCCCAACTCCTTCCCCACCCTCGGCCCTTCACGGCATCTCACCCTTTCTTTGTGGGGGGAGAGATTCCCGTTTTTAGGGTGTCCCCCCAGTCCCAGGGGGGTCCCCCCAACCCTCGAGGGGTCCCCAGTCCGTACCTGGAAGGCCACCTTGGAGCGGAGCCTCCCCGTCACCTGGTGGATCACCTGGGCGTTGAGGCTCCCACTGTTGTCCATGTCCCCCACCAGCACCGGGAAGGCCTGGGGGGTTCAAAATCCAGGGATTTAGGAGCTCCCAGAACTCCCAGAAAGGGGGGAAGTGGAAAGGGAAGGGAAAAGAAAAGGTTTGGAGAAAGGGACATTCAGAAAGGGAAGGCGAGAGAAAGATTGAGAAGGGGAGGGAAACGGAGAGAAGGACTGGGAAAGGAAAGAGAAGGGAAGGATTGGGAAGAGAAAGGAAAGATTGGGAAGGGAAGGTCTGGGAAGGCCAGGGAAGTCCCCCAGAACCCCCCCAGCTCACCTCAGTGGGGCTCAGCTGCTTCGTGCCCACATAGGTGGCCCCAAAATGGTAGTTGGACTCCCCCAAAGTGCTGAGAGCGACCGTGTGGTTCACCTGGGGGGGTGGGCAGAGGGTTTGGGGGGGCTGGGAAAGGGGGGAACCCCCTTCTCCTGTTCTGACTCACCTACACCCCCAAAAACCCACCTGGAAGTGGTTGCTGAGCCCCTTGTTCACTGTCAGCTTCACCCCCTCCATCTGCACGGGGAACAGCTCTGGGGGGGCACAGGGGGCGTTAGGGGAGACCCCCAGGGTGGGGGCAGGAGGGATGGGGTGGGGGGCTCTTGGGAAAAGATCTGGGGGGGTTCTGAAGTGATTGGGGGAGGATCCCCTTTGGTTTTGGGAGGAACTGCAGGTACCTGAGGGGATCTGGAGGTCCTTGGGGGGCTTTAGGAGGGAAGCCCCTGTTTTGGGGGTCACTGGAGGGGACGTGGAGGGATCTGCGGGCGTCTCTGAAGGCATCTGGGGGTCCCTCAAGGGATCTGGGGGTCCCTGGGGGGATTTGGGGGAGGGAATACCCTGTTTTCGGGGGTCCCTGGAAAGCTCTGGGGGTCCCAGGGGAGGTTTACGGATTTGGGGGGAATAATTTGGGAAGAGATACCCAAGGTTGGGCGTTCCTATGGGGGCCATGGAGGGCTCTGGGGGTTCCAGGGGAGGTCCAGGAATTCGGGAGGGGGTCATTTTTGGAGTGTCGTCCCCCCCCCACTCACCCTTGCAGCGCCGGTGACACTCCTCGAAGGCCCCTGGGTTGGGCAGGGGGTCGCCCCCAGGGGGCTCCGCGGGGCTGGGGGCCCCAGACCCCCTAGGCCGCTCACGGGGGTGGACCCCAAAGCCGGGGGCACGGGCAGGAGGGGGAGGGGCGCCGTGGGGGCGGGGGGACCCGGCGGCCCAGACGTTGCCCATGGCGGGGGTGGGGGCTGGCGAGGAAAGGAGGGTCAGACACCCTCCCAGCCCCACAGGGGGTGCCCAAAATGACCCTCCCCTCCCCAAATTCCCCTCTTTAAATGTCCTCCTTCCCCCCAACTTGAGGGGTCCCGATCCTGCCCACCCTCCCCCAAATCTTCCTCGAACCCCCACCCCAAACGGCTCCCACACAAGGGGGCCCTGGCCCTCCCTCCCGTTCCTCCCCCATCCCCGGGTGTCCCCAAACCACCCAAAATTGCCACAAAACCGCCCCCTCCCCAATCTCCCTCCAACCCCCTCCAAATCCCTCCCAAAGGACTCCCACACATGAGGTGGCCCCAGCCCCGTCCCTCTCGCCCCACTTCCCCCCCGGGTGTCCCCAAACCGCCCCAAATTACCCCCGAAATCCCCCCCAAAACCGCGCCCCCCCCTTCCGAACTCACGCGGCCGGGAGCGGAGAGCGCCGAGCGCTCGTCACGCCCCCCTCAACGCCCATTGGTCGCTGCTGCCCGGCCGCGCGCTCTCATTGGCAGGAGCCGCTCACGGTCCCTCTCCCCGGGCGCTCCCATTGGTTGGGTCCTCCCTCGCTCCGCGCCCATTGGCCAAGGCCGCGGCCATAGAGGCGGCCAAGGGCGCGTGGGGCAGAGCGGCCGCCGCCATCTTGGGGCGGGGCGGGGCGGGGCGTGCTGGAGGACCGTCGCCATGGCAGCAGAACGGGGCGGAGCTTCCACTGTCGCCACTGTCACCGTGGGGCGACTCCCGATACCCTCCCGAGAGTTCCAGTCGCTCCCAGGGCACACATACCCCTCGCTGTTCCCTCGAATGATTTATTTCTCTTTTTTTTTCTTTAAACGTTTATTGCGCTGACATGACAGCAGCCCCATCCCTTGGCCATCGTGGTGATGCCATGACCCAACGACGACGTCATCACTTCGATGACATCATAAACTGCCAATGACGTCATCACCTCATCCCATGGCCACGGGGATGATGTTGTGACCCAACAATGATGTCACGGGGACGCGGCCTCCAGCCTAGCCCCCCAAAGACTTCAGAACCCCCCATCATCCCCCACCTCTTCCCCCTTATCCTCTCCCCTCATGTCTGTGGCTCCCCCTCGCCCCCTGGCTGCCCCCGTCCCCCCACACCCTGCCCAGAAGCGCCGCCCCCACCCCTGCCAGGGCCCCCCGCACGGCACCGGACGAGAAGTAGAAGATGAAGGGGTCCAGGGCAGCGTTGAGGCTGCTCAGGAGCGTCGCGTAGACCCTCCAGGGGGGGCTGCGGCCCTGCACGAAGCCCACCACGTGCGATAGGTTGTAGGGGGCGAAGCAGAGCCCAAAGTTGACCATGGTGACCACGGCCAGGCCCACGGCACGCTGGCGCTTCACCCGCGGAATGTTGGATCGCGCCATCAGCGCCCGCACAAAGCCGACATAGCAGAACACGGTGACGCCGAAGGGCACCAGGAACAGGACGAGGAAGAGCTCGAGGCGCATCGGGAGGACAAAGCTCAGCTGCTCCTCAGAGAAGTCATCGTAGCACCTGAAGGGGGCGGCGGGGGTGGAGGGGGTGGCAGGGAAGAGGTTGGGCGGCTTGGAGAGGTCGGGGTCGGGGGTCCTGGAGAAGCTGAGGTTGGAAGTCTTGGGGAGGTTGGGGTTGAGGATCTCAAAGAGGTTGGGGTACGTCTTGGAGTCACGGGGATAGAGGGTATTGGAGAGGTTTGGGCTGGGGGCCTTGGAGAGGTTGTGGTCAGGGGTCCAGGGCTCGTGGGTGTTGGGCTCAACAGTGTTGGGGTTCTTTGGCTCACCAGGTTTGAGGCCCCTGGGACCGGAGACCTCAAGCCTGTCAGGGTCGAGCCCGCCACGCCTCCCCCCATGCCCCCCAAGCCCCCCGCCGTGGTAGGAGGCCACGAAGACGATGGAGCAGTGGGAGCAGGCCAGGAGCCAGAGCACGGCGCTGGCGGCCGCCACGCGGCCCAGGCGGCCCCGGCCCCGCAGCCGCAGCGGGAACGCCACGCCGAGGTAACGCCGCACGCTCAGCGCCGCCAGGAACAGGCTGCTCAGGTAGATGCTGGAGTAGAAGCAGAAGTTGGCCACGGGGCAGAGCGCAGCCGGCAGCGGCCACACCATCCCCGCTGCCGCCTCGGCCATCTTGAAGGGCAGGAAGAGCAGCAGCAGCAGGTCGGCCGCCGTCAGGTTGAGCAGCAGCAGGTCAGACGGTGACAGGCGGTGCCGCCAGGCCTTGGCCGCCAGGGTGGTGAAGGTGAACACGTTGGCCGGGAACCCCACGACGAAGGTGACGATGTAGACGGTGAGGACCAGCATGGCTGGGGCTCGGCAGGCCTGGGCGGGAGAGGAGTCAGGCTTGGGAGGGGACAGGGGTAGGTCAGCAGGGACACAGACGTGCCAGGAGGTGCCCTGGGACATTTCCCCTGGTGCAACCACGGGGCCACGGTGGGGACATGGAGCAGAGCTGAGTGTCTGGGTGGTCTCACCCTGGGGCTTGGGGAGACCACCAGGGGTTGGGGGGTGCCCAGGTGGAACCCAGGGGGAACCCAGATGTTCAGGGAGGGGTTCAGGTGCCCTCCCCCAAACCCTCCCCCATCTCCCCTTCATACCTGGTTATCCTGGTGGGATTTTGGGACCCCCCCAAACTCCCAGGGCCCCCCAGACTTCAGGAGTCCCTGGTCCTGTGGTGAGGGGGGGTGGGCAAGGGGGGCCACCCTGCTGTTTGGGTGCCCCGATTTTAGGGTGTCCCCGGGGTGGGGGAGGGATGGGGATGTGGCTTTGCCGACGCTGAGGAAGTTCCGATGTTTCCTGACCACAATGTCTGGGGGTGGCTCTGCCCCTCCCACATCACTCCTGGGGTGCTCCCCCACCCCCTCCAAGACCCCCCGACCTCCCTCGACTCTCCCCACACACACCCCCATCACCCAGACCCCCGGTCTGGGGAAAAGCAAGGGAAAGAGGGATCCAAAAAGGGGGGGTTTATGGGGAAGGAAAAAGGAGGCACTTCTAGTGGGAAGGTGGGTCCTCTGGGGCAGTTTGGGGAAGTCCACACAGGTGCAGGGGGAGAGACAGAGGTGGTGGGGGACCAGGTGTGCAGGGGGACACAGGTGTCTGTGAAGGCACTAAGGTATCCTAGAAGGGGTACCCAGGTGTCCTGGGGAGGGAAAGAGTTTTCCAGGTGAGTCCCTGGCTGCCAGGGGAGGCCCAGGTGACACCCAAATGACTCCCTGGCCTACAAGTGACACCCAGGGGGGAGGATCAGGGAGATTTTTGGGGGATTTAGAGGTTTAGGGGGTGGGGGGATGAGGGGTGGGGAAGAGGGGTTGCCTAAAAATCATGGACCCCCTCAGGTTCCTGTAATGAGCGGGTCAGAACACCCCAGACCTGTGGGTCAGCAGGGTGGGTGCTGGGAGATGGAGTGCACTTTAGAGCTTTCCTTGAAAATAAAAACTTGAGCAAAACCACGACAACTATTTAATTCTTACTTATTAACTGGTTTTTTTATTTAAATAATTGGTTTTTTAACATATATTAACAAAGTAACTTTTTTTGCCTGGTTATTATTATGCATTTAACAACTGCCTAATTAATCATTAGCCCCTCTCTCAACACCATACATGGTGAGATTTACAAATGAAATCACACCGAACTAACACCCCAGTCACCATCACAGGGCACCACAGATGCACGTAACACCCTAAAAAAACTGAGAAATATCACTCAATTAACAAGAGAACTCCTAAACCTATGCATTGAATGACCACAAAAAAAAACCCAATTAAAAAACCCTAAGACAGCACTGCCATCTAGTGATCAGAAAATTAAATCGCTTTAAAATTTTACAGCCAACATTGGCACCTACCGACTAATCATAGTAATTACACTGATTTTATGAACAATATGGAGTTGTTGTCTATGGTATCGACTCCAAGAGGTTGCTTCTCGCATGTCTCTATCCTGACCAGGGATCAAAGGGCCAAAGGGAAAGGAGGAGAAGTTCCCCGAGAGTTGCTGCCCAGGGGCTGCTGCCCCTGAGGAACAGAGTGAAGGCTGTCTGTGCTCAGGTGCCCTGGCTGAAGTGCGCAGTACGCCCCGCCCTGCACGGCCCCAAGAACGCCCCTGTCCCCGCAGGCTCCGCCGCCGCCCCCCCTTCCCCTTGTCCCGGGAGAGCTCCCGGAGGGGACCGCGGAGCCCCCCGCCTTTCCCCGGCCCCAGCAGCGCCCGCCGGGGCTGCGGCGGCGGCGGGGCCAGGGCAGGGCCTCGAGTGCTGATTGGGCAGCCCCTGCCGGGCCCGCGCAATTCAAGGACAGGCGGGGCCGGCGCAGCTGCCGCGGTTTGAGGGGGAGGGCTGAGGGTGGGGCTGAGGGTGGGGCCGAGGGTGGGGCCGGTGCCGCTGCCGCTTTTTGAGCGTGAGGGCTGAGCTGGGGCCGTTGTGTTGGGGTTGCTGTGCTGTGCTCGCTGTGCTGGGCTCGCTGTGCTGGGCTGGGAGAGCGTCGTGTCCTCTTCT